AGGGAACGACGCGGGAGGCGAAACTCTGTGTTTCCCCCCGGGAAACTCTCTCTCCCTCTCTCCCTCACACGCACGCTGTGCCAGACTGCCAGTAATCTCCAGTTGGATGACGGTTTGCCTTGCCAAGTCTGGCGGCTCGCTTCTCCACATCGGCAGTCCAACCCCGTGGGGCGAATCAATTTACATCCGGGGCAAAGCAATGAGAGGCTGTGGAATGCGGATTACGTACGCCTATGGAGAGAGAGAGAGAGAGAGAGAAGAGGGGGGAAAAGGAAGGTTGCCTCGGAGAGGAATCGGCGGATAAATGGAAGGGGGATAAGAATATGGGGAAATGAAGGGGAAGAGTGGATGGATGATATGGAAGACATTATTACTATAGATAGAATCGTGGAAATGGCAGACTTGAAGTCAACTGAAAATATCTTGATTAGGTATCATTAACAATTACACTAATTACATCTTGTATAGTATATAGTACTAGTAAGTAGCCTCAACACCATCGCATCCCAGAAAATGTAATGCAATGCAATTCCATCACCCATTCATAGGACAGAGGAAAAGAAAAAGAGGGGAAATAGTCGAGACTTCTTACAAGTTCTCACCCACAGCTCCGAGAACTTCACCCACGGCATCACCAAGTTTGGGGAGTCCCAGGCCCTTCACCAAGTCCGCAACATCAGGAGCCAACTGGACCACCAGCTTGCTGCCACCATCGCCAACTACCGTCAGCAAACTCTCGCTGACCGGACCCAGATCCGCAACCAAGTCGCCCGCATCGCCGACCGTCTTGATGACCTTGCCAACGCTCTTGCCCAGGCCAGTCAGTCCCAGTTTCTCGAACAGCTCAGCCACGGGCTTGCTCAGCTTAACGATAAGGTCCTTGGCGTCCTCGCCGGTAATCACCAAGATGCAGTCAATCACTGGTCCCAGCTTCTCGAGGAGTCCGTTGGGATTTTTGGCGTCAGGGTTGTAGTCCCAGTTCTGGCGACGCTTCAAGCTACTGCCAATGGCACCCAGCAGGTCACCAACGGGCTCACCCAAGGCGTCGAGGCCAATGCCGTCGAGGAGGCCCTTGACATCCTGGTCCAGTTGAATCAAGAGATAGCCAGTGTCCTTGCCGGTGACGACCAGAAGCTGCTCGACGGGGGCGCCCAGATCCGTGACCAGCTCGCCAATGCTGCCGGCATCCTTGATGATGTGGCCCACGGGCTTAGCAAGGCCGGTCAGGCCCAGGCTGGAAAGAACGTCCGCAACGGGCTTGCTGAGCTGGACGAGCAGCTGTTCGGTGCCATTACCAACAACGGTCAGAAGGTGATCCGCCTGAACGCCCAGATCCTGAAGGAGATGGCCGGTGCCGTGGCAGTGGCCGTTTTCACATGAGGGAGTCTGAGAGGGAGATCCAGCGGGAACCGAAGAGGTGGGTGCACCCCACGGGGACGAGGGGCTAGGGTTGCCAGGGTAGCCAGAGTTGGCCGGTCCAGATGGGCCGGCAGGGCCAGAGGGCTGACCAGCGGGGCCGGAAGGCTGGGAAGCAGGTGTAGAAGGACCAGATGGCTGTCCAGCAGGACCGGTAGGACCAGCGGGAGCAGCAGGGCTAGGGGATTGGCCGGCTGGACCGGTAGGAGCACCGGGGCCAGCGGGTTGGCCAGAGGATTGGCCAGAAGGCTGACCAGCAGGAGCAGCGGGAGCAGTTGTAGTGCACTCAGGGGAGCCGGGGGAGGCAGTGACGGGAACAGTCGTCGTCAATGTAATCGTAGGCTGGGGCTGGTAGCCAGGCAGCGTTGGGACCTGAGAAGCAGGGTAGGTCGACACCTGGGAGGGCTGAGGACGCGAACCAGAGCCGGAGCCAGGGTAAGAGCCTGCACCTGAGCCGGGATAAGAACCAGAGCCGGTGCCAGGTGCGGAACCGGAGCCAGTGCCAGGAGCAGAGCCAGCACCAGAGCTGGGAGCAGCTCCTGAGCCGGGGTAAGACCCAGATCCAGGAGCAGTAGAGCCAGAGCTGGGAGCAGCGCCGGAGCCAGAGCCAGAGCCAGGGTAGGAGCCAGATCCCGATCCCGAGCCAGGATAGGAGCCAGAACCGGGGGCAGAGCCAGAGCCAGAGCCGGGATAAGACCCAGAGCCAGGAGCAGAGCCAGAGCCAGAGCCGGGATAAGGGCCAGAGCCAGAGCCAGAGCCAGAGCCAGAGCTCGAACCACCATTGGGCTGGCAGGTGCATTCGCCGTCGCGAGCATGAAGCTGGCCGACGGGGCTCGCGAAGGAGCAAGCGGCCAAAGTGAGGGCCGTTAGGATTGATGCCTTCATATTGAAACACAAGCGAAGGAATGTGACAAAACGACAAAAGGAACGGTGGTCGTCAAGCGAGGGAAGCAAAAGAAGGAAGAAGGCGGAGAGATGAAAGAGAGACTTGCTTGACCTGCTAGTGAAGAGAGAAGGGGGGTGGAGAGAGCAGCAGTAGGGCATATTTATATGCGAGCAGTATCCAGTAAAAAGTAGAAGTAGCTAATTGACACCCAAGCTTAACGTGAGGCGATTTCTCCTTTTCGCTCGCATTTCCCCACAGAACTGGAATTGCACCATATCCCACCCACCGTGCTCCTTGTGCCAAGTTCGCATTATCCAAGATTATTGTCTTTGGTGGCTCTCCGGCTGGTACCTGACAATGTATGATCTGGAGGATCGACAAGTGTGGACGGCACTTGTACGTGATCCGTGAATGTCAAGGAAGGGGATCCACTGGGCTGCCAGACCCATCGAGTTGATAGTGGAACCCTAATTTTTGGGATCGTCCTGGCTGAATAGGCTAGACTCGAGTCGTGTCGTGCACGCATGCAATCGGGCTGCATCCGTAAGTGCCGGTGGCAGGAGCACCAAGCAGAAACTATGTGTTTAGCATCGTTGTAGCAAACAAGTTTCAGGGGGAAGAGGGATAAGGCAACTGTGCCAAAAGGGGAGAAGGGGGGCAAAAAGTGAAGCTTTGTGCATCATTACCTCGGTTGATGGTGTTGATGTTAGTTGATGCCTATCCTACTCTACTACTATGAACATACCCTACCTCGGTCTTAGTGACATGGATAACCCGGTCTTTTCGCTTTCAGCTGGCAAGACCACCTCCATTGTGGCTGTTCATAGTGGACGCCGCAGCTGAAACCCAACCATAGAGCTGACCCCATCGTGAAAGTACAAATTGTGATTAACAATCCAAAGTACTAAAAAATCAGGACGTGGCCGAGAGAGAATGACAGGGCAAAAGGGTTTGTGTCTGGACCGAAGGGATCGACAAGGCGCTTAATGCAAGCGTGCAGCAAACTATCGAAGTGGCGCCTCGAGCAGCTTCAACCGCGCACGAGCAACGAATTAACTTCCGTTCTACTGTTCGTCGGGCAGCTTAATTGTCATTTTCCGATCCTCCGAAAACCAGGTTTGGTAGGTTATTGTTGCTTTTTTGACCCTTTTTCTGTTCCGCTTCTTTTTCTTCCTGCACGCAGTTTCTATTTGCTAAGGCAATCTTCTTCTTGCAGGGCGCCCCTGAGCGGAGTTTCCTGTGCCCGAAATTCAGGTTCAAATGGAAGATGTCAAATCAAGTTCAAATTAGATGATGTGTACGCAAAAATATTATCGTGGAAATCTTTATCCCCCCACTGGTCCAACTTTAGAAATGCAAACCCAGAGCGACTCCCAGGAACGACCGCAGGAACGAGATTAAGCCCGGAATCCATCCGGACGACGATGAAGAATCAGAAGGAGGACGACGCCCTCCAGGACCACCAGGCCCGCCACCCCAATAGCGCTGACCTTCGCTGTTGGGGTTCGAGGCATCGTGACACTGCGGATGGTTATAGTCTTCTACGGTTCCCATCGGCCAGATGGGCACCACACAGATCTCGTGGTCGGCGCACCCGCTGCATTGCTTCCACGTCGTCCAGGCCAAGTACTCCATCAGATCCTGGAAGAGCCCAATCACCGTGTTGTAGTCTGTCTCCTGCCAGGCCTCGACAAATGTCGCACAAATCCTACGAGTAACTGCATGCACAGCCGTCGCCGCCACCCCAGCATCACCATCAGCCGCAAGCATCCCGCCCGGAATAAACTGCATGGAGCAGCGCTCGGCCTCTTCTTCCCCATCACGATCCCCGTAGTCAACAAACGGACCCAGCACCGTATCAATCTCCGCGTGGATCGCCTCCACCGTCGACACCTGCCCGGATGCCAGGTAGCGGATTTCACGCGCGTACCGCTCCACCACCATATCCGTGACGGTCTGCCAGTTGAGTGTAGCCTCCTTGGCCTCATGCTGCAGTACCAGCTGGTTCAGCGCTTCCCGGATCGGGTCCAGCTGCTGCGACGTAAACTGCTTCAACCGGGGCAACGTGAACGTCTCATTGACCGAATGGAACAGGTCCAGTCCATACGTATACGCCGACACAAAGTTGTCATAGTTCAGCGTCACACGGTTACCTCCAATCCCATCATACCGTGCAGCAATGGCCTTGAACCACAGTCCTCCATCCCCTCCGCCTCCAGGACCACCCTTTTTCTTCTTGTTATCCTTCTTACCACCAGGTCCCCCAAACGGCTGACTCGGTTTCGTCTGCGTCACCCTCACCTGCTTCAAGTCCCGGGCAAAATCACACAGAATGATCTCAAACCCAGCCTCCATACGCAACAATCCATCCAACCGATCATCCCACTCCTCTTTCGCCATGCGACAGAACGTTTTCGCGCGTTCGCGCTCCCCCATCATCTCTCCTTCGCCTAATCCATCCCGGAACAGGATCCGATCCTCCAGGTCGAGCGTCCCGTTGTTCGTCTTTCCAGCTGCCATGCCATCGACGTATAGCAGTCGCAGATCCTTAGCAGCGACGTAGGTATGTAACCATCCTGATTCTTGTTGCTGTTCCTCTCCCTCTTCCTCATCGCGCTTCCTCAACTCCTTCCTCTTCTTATCATCGTCGTCCTCACCCGGCGGGGGTCCTCGATGCGGTCTCGCGAACACCATAGCATGTTCCGGCTCAAAGGCAAGCCACTCCGTCCCGTTGATGGGTTCGGCGATCGACGTACCATGGTAGAACTGCGTGCCGGCGGGAACGGTGGCGAGGAAGAATGACATGCCGTTGTGTTGGAGAGAAGAACCCCATTGTCGCATGGAGGAGTGGATGGAGTTGAAGATGTGATTAGCATACTGTGTTGTTGATGGCGATGCTGCTGTAGCTGTGGTGCTGCTAGCGGCCCATAAAAGGGACGATAGCAGGAGGGGTTTGACACCCATATTGTATACAGGTAGGTGTTGTTGTGCTGATGGGAAGCGGAACCGGAGCCAAGAAGCAAAAAAACAATTTTTTATCTTATCAGGGGGTGCGGGCAGATTTAATACTTAAGGCTCCATCGCCAGATATTATTAGGCACCGGTGCTGGGGCCGGATGGACAAACTACGTAGATAGTAGGTAGATAGATAGGAGGCGATAATATAATACTTAAGGAAGCAGTCCCGCACTAAGGGACGCGTCAGCCAACAGAGGCGGCGACTAGCGGTGGGTTTTTGAGTTAGTAGCCCAGTGAGTGAGTGGATGACGAGTCACACACACGGCGGTTAGAATGGTGCTGAGAAGATTACTTACTCTTGCTGCGAGGGGGTGTGGGTGGGATGGAGAGCCAATGGAGATTATCTAGACAGATGGGAAAGCAGCTCGGGGGTAAGACAGCGCATGTGAGGGACTCGGAGTGTGCTATCGAGAAGCATCTCCGATAGCAATTCCGACTGGCAGTGGCACAAACCGGAATGTGAAAAAGGCTTGTTCGGCACTGCCAGAGAGTGGATCTGGTTTGCAGTCAGTCAATCAATCAATCAATTCAGCCTTACCGAATGTGGTTGCCTAGAAGCGAGGAGTGGATGACTTGCAGTTAGACTCCCTCTTGTCTGTTATCTAAAAAGTTGTAAGAAGATAGACCGTTTATAAGCACTAATATTATATTACTTCGTCTTTATTCTACATTATAGGGTGGTGAGATTGTAAGATCTTAAACCATCATATATTTGTACCTAAACAAATAATCTTATCCGAAAATTTTCCATTCCGTTCCTCGGAAGTTCGGACTTTCATCTGCCGGTCGGGTTTGTCGGATGTATCATCTGGAATAAGCAATCCATGCCGAGAGTTCTGAGGTGAGCCAGCTTCGGACCACCGAACGGTGGGACTGAAGCTTGATCGGGATAAGAATTTAGAAGGTGGCTCGGGCTGATGGTGGATTGACTATTTGTCTATAGATTTGTTTTTTGTATGATCTTGGGCAGTATTCTGTTGGACGATGTGATGAAGGTTTAGCGGGGACAAAATATATTACAAGTAGAACAAGTATGAGAACCTGAGAAATCGACGCCGAAAATGCCCTCCTTAGTTCGCGGCCAAATCTACCCCTTTGCATCCTCTTTTACTCTTCTACACCTCCCCTATCCTCTTTGAAAGGGCTCCATCCAGCTCGCAAGTTGACCGTTTCTTGACTTTAGTTCCGCCATAACATTTGTATCCCCCGCAAGGAGACTTGAGCCAGACTGGAATATGTCCGCAGTCCTGGATAACTCACCCTAAACTTCAAGGTCTAATGCACAAAAAAATCTTGCTGTTGTTAGGTAATATCAGTGAAAGTAAGCTTACCATAAACTCGTATATCTTTTTATTTGACATATAATGGATATTGTATCCAGTAAAACAACAGACAGCAGGCAGGCCGCCGAAAATGGCTCACATTATACCGCCTGTCTGCCACTCTCTACAACTTGCCATCTATAGTCAACCCATTACCTACTACTCTATTAACAAATAGAATCCCCCCAACCAATTATACTACTTTCTTCCATCTACATGCCCGCCTCACTTTACATATTACTTATATCAATACAAGCTCATGTCAGATTTTATATATTTCAATCCATGTATTCTTATGCTCTCTCTCGCTATCTTCTTTTACAGCTTCCTTGATTACAGCAGTCTCAGCTATTTTCTCTTGCTCTTTCTATTCTTATTAAGGAACATTAATTGTTTGCTTTGGGATACTTGGGACTCCTTATAGTGAATAGTTATTACAAATAAACTGGGGGCCTGAGTACCTATATTCTTGTACTCTCAGTTAAGTATCTTGAGCATCCTGTACAGTAAAAATATTTTATATTTAATTTTATATAGCTTGATCCCGGAGATACTGTCTATTCTCTACACTGGATTAGACTATTCCATCTATCCCTATGTTATCTGCCTAATTATTCTTCAGCCTTTTATAGTTCTTTTATTTTCTCTTTCTAACTCATTATTATTTTTACCAGCTAATTAGCAAAAATACTGCTGCCAGATAGGAGATGTCACATTACATAAATATCCTAGAGCAACTGTCTCATGCCTAATCTGGCAATGAGAGATCCATTTGTTCCACTTGGGTTGCAAGAATATTTCGGTTCCGAGGCGCTTTCACGTCGTATTCTTCCAAGACCCGAGTCTATTGGCGGGCATCATATGGTGGAGTCAGTCATTCGTTGCCTGCGAAAGTATTCCTCTCGGGACAAAGACGTCGGATCGCAGTATAATTTACCAGTGAGACTGGTGACCCGAAGTGCCAGCCGTTCCTCATTATTAAGGTCACTGTTTATTGCGTCAGAACCTGGCTCTTACATTGGGGAGGTTATCATACTATGTGCCGGTATGAAGGACGGTTCGACTAATTGAATTTCTGTTAGGCTCATGGTCAATGCAGCAGGAAGAGACATAAGCTCGCTTACTTGTCCCAAATCACGATATCATCAGGCTTCCAACGGTGGCGGTATTGCAAATCATGATTGTCTGTAATCAACTTCAAAACTAGTGGGGTCGTTAGCAAATCCATCAGAATACATTTTTTTAGAGGAAGCAGTTCCTGGGTACTCCTGGCATACAGTAGGCTTTCATCAATTCCTGCTCATGATCGGTAACACCATTGATTCTCCCATTAGCGCGCATAGAGATTGGACTGAACCCCCACAGTGCTTTCCAGCCAGTTACCGGATTGGTTACTACGAGGGGACTGGTCAATTGTCAGCTTTCTATTCGAATAAAAGGAGGATTCGCAGCTGTGCCTTACTGAGTTGCCTCGAACGAACCACCAAAATTCTGTGGATGGCCTCTCGGACCTAGCCAAAGGTTGATTCCTTTATCGGCAAGTGGCATGATGTCTGGTTCATGATGTGTTGCTTCAGTGGCTCTGAGTTAGCATGTTCCTGCCTGATATGTCGAGGAGCGTACAGGAGAGTGAATCAGCCATCCTCTGCCATGGCTCGGACAAGCGGTCATAGGCCCCGTAGCAGGAGGCAAAAAGGGTGTCGCCTCCGGTCATTGGAGCTTTCACCATTTTTATCGCAATATAGTCCGATGGAATATTCTCGTAGGAGGTACTCGCCGGGAATTAGTAGGGGATTAACAGAGACCCAACGATACAGTGTCGACTTACTCAGCATGCCAACCTCGACTGGCAAATTGCTTATGCTTCGTGTTCAGATAATCGTCAAATTTATCGCGATTATGCTGCATATGTACTGAGCATTCGTCTTATACTTTAGGGTAAGATAACTGCACTTACCTCGGATGACACTGCATAGATCTCGGGGTCACGTAGAACCTCGTCGTCTCCCAGGCAGGAGTTAACATCGGGGTGTATTGGGTTAATATGTAATTTTGCTTCCTTAGGTTTGCCAGTTAATTCTCCCATTCTCTGAATGAGGCATTTCAGCTGGTCCATGTCGATGTCCTGGTGGCGTAGGACGATCACTCCTCGCTCAGATGCTGCATTCATTCCATCATTAGCACCTGACGGCCTGTTCTGCGACTAATAAGCGGACAGTCATTGCTTACCTGTAATTGCTAGATCCTTTACCTTGCTGTCATCGGAAACTATAGAGGACAGCTGAAGATCAAGGTATTCTCTTCCCAAAGCATTCGTGGCATCAACGTAGGCATACATATCCAGAGCACCAGAGGTGCGCATGCGTGAATGAACAATGGTCATATTGATTGTCGATACCGTAAAAATTATCGTTAGTTTGGAGATTCGAAGTGTGCAACCCGTACTTCTCAGGTGCCTTTAACTGTTAATATAAGTGGTGCTTGTTTAAAAGAAGGTTGCACCGGAAATGGGACGCCAGTGTCAAGGGTCCCGCAATCGTGCATACTTTGGACGGAGCCGTAAGTATTTCCAGTCGCGGAAAATACTACCGTTTGGATTAGCAATCAATACAACATGACGTTGAGACATCCATTGAAGTAACTACATTTCTTTGATTCTACACGATGCACTTGATTGGCGTTCCGACAATAATCATAGCTTGTTATTCTCACGACGCTCGATTGTGGAGCTACGGCTCCTTGTGACTCCCCTTTCCGGTTGCTCATTCCACACGCTTCCCGTCCTAAAGGAATCCACTCCACATCCGGAGCTCTATTCATTGCAATTGTGTCCACCAATCAATGCTGCGTAGGCTGTAGGCAGTATATGCACGATTCACGGTCGCTGCTTCCGGTCTTTCTAGGCACGGAACTAGCTTCCATTCTCCAGTCAGGTGGTAAAGCGCGATCTCGATACCATCTATCGATATGAACCTTCGCCTTGAATGTTATACAGGAAAGAAACACCCAGCTCGTAGATTGTATTGACACATTCAGTTGTTGTAACCCATTCCTCATTGCTTGACTAAATCAGATGAGGATTCCCAGGCGTATTAGCTCTTCTCGACTATCTTCGTTCTTGCAATCAAGCCCATCGCGAAGCCCGTTTTAGCAAAGTTGTAGATAACTTCATATGAGATGCCATATTGCATTTGGATCTGCTGTAGCGGCTATAGTTATGTCATCGAAAATATCGAGGCTTATCGAGATTTAGCGTCTCATCAGCAATGGGAATCAAAGGGAGTGGTCTATATAACATCCGACCCTCCTTCTCTTCAGTTTCCAGTCTCTTGTGACGGTTCAGACTGCACAGGGTTTATCCCACGATCTATTCTCACGACCTACGGGCGAGAATATTGCACACACATATCATTTTTAGATAAATAGTGATATCGATGCAATAACCTACTATGTTTTACATTCATAAGCCATCTTTGTAATCCACTTCTTTTCAAAGCCTGAAGCATGGATATATATAAGCTAAGCCATTGCTTTTATAACGCGTGGGTCATTCTTTCCAAGGTATACAGCATTATCAGTTAATCTTTATATGCATCAGTGTTCAGTCTTCTGGGTAATACTGTAAGTATACGATCTAATCTTTCTAATATAATCAAGAGAGAACCTTGAACTGTCTACAGAACACCAGTCAAAGGACTTTTCTTTTATACTCATGGTATTCATATAAATAGTCAGGTCTGAGAATACTGAGGACAGATAACAAATATATCCATTATTACATCTTTCCTTGTTGGGTTATAAGAACTAACCTCTTTATACTGGCAGAACAATTTCCTGCGTAGCTCTGGACTTATCATGGCTCTTTAAAATAGATATCATTTCCACTAGTTGATGTGACCTCTGCGAGAAATATCTAAGTGTAGATTATAGGCAGGACTTTTTTCCTCGATAGAATTGGAGCAGGGAATAGACTTAGGGATAGTGTAACAGGATAAGATCGAGGCTTCATACATACCCCGCGTTCTGTGCTACTGCGGACTTTAGTCAAATTCAATGCAGATGATATATTAGGCTGGGTATATTATTACCTGATTGCGTAGCCCATTTCCCTACTCGTGAGAAGGGGTCTGAGATTTCAATGCAAACGAACCCCTCAACTAGCTAGATAGTATTATAAGGCGGAACTGGTAGGCAGAATTGATACCATCAGACCACTGCTTACAACAGAGGCGCTATTCACAGGGCTGACTTGGAGAAGCCACCACGATGCTAAGCCCAAAGTTGCGCTGGTCCAATATAAGACCGTTCGAGATCCACTACCCCAACGACTGTGAGACCGTCTTTGCCGCAAGGTATCAGTCGCAAATCAGTTTGGATTTTCCGTGATCATACTTCGGGTGGACTAAATCCGGTATCAGGGTTTCGAAGAACTTGGTATCGATTATACATTACGTGACCTCCCAAGGCGGGCAGCGCGGGTCTGGCGAGAAATTAGCGTGGGATCAGCCCGGAGGAAAGGTGGAGGCCTGCCTCCACCGTCAGACAGACCCATATATAGAGGAGTCCAGTCGTCCGACTCTATAGGAGTGTGTTTTGCTCCTCCTGTGCAGCTCCATCCTCTTCCCAAAAGCAATTCGTGCTCACGCTCTCGACCACCTTCGGGGCCTACTGCTTAAGCATAATCATCAAGGTTAGTAGCATCCCCCTGTGCGGTAGGTTGACTCAGGACAAATCTAGTTTATTTACTAACATCCCACGGCAGGACAGCACATCACTGGCACGGCATTGTTATAGGTGACAACATGATGCCAGAGAACAAAGACAGCCCCAGGCCTCACTCGCCCTCGGTCAACAGGATAAAACGGTTTTTCGAGGCAATGGCCATTATGTCAGTGACCTCCTTGGTCGTCAGTACCTTCGAAGCCATCTTTCTTGCGCCGGTGGATCCTCGTTCATGGTTTCATTATATATTATTCATCTCATTTTACACGATGTTTTATTTCCTGTACGAGAAGATTAAGTCGATGTAGATACATATACATATGAAGTCTTAGAGTGTCTCCAGTACTCATTGTCAGGATTACAATGGCCAGGACTGGCGATACCATGGTGAGGAATTTGCTAATATACTGTATGGGGTGTCATCTCTCAAGCATCTGTCTGCTTTATATGTACTATGTATACCTATCTATATCCAAAACAAAAAGTCCCGAATGTCTGCAGAATATAGATGAGTGTATGTACATGCATCGGGGATGACAAGGACCAAGGGACATCGTAACCAGGCTAGGATCACAAGTAATACATGTGGCGTGGATATCGCAAAGCCTTTACACACTCGCCTCAATGCATTTCACCCCAGCGTTGTCACAGTTGTAATCCTTCTGACTGTTAAATGCAGTCATCTCAATCTTTTTGTCCTCTGCAAAGGCCTTCGCGTCGGAACCCTTGCACTTCACAAAAAGACTCATGAAATCAGGACAATAATTGTTAATCTCCAGACCAGTAAATCCCGCACTCGTAGTCTTGATGAACCCAACAATCGTCTTGCAGGATGGTACTGGATGGCCCGTTCCAGCTTCAGTGCAAAGGTTGCTCTCAATAACCTCGATGATGGCGCTCACGCCACCGCCTGCAGCTTGGCTAATGGCGCCGCAGATCATCTTGATCTGGAAGTCGCTCAAATTATCTTCAATTCGACCATGGCCCTGGCATTTGCCATTAATATTATCCCTGACTTCAAGGGCGCTTTCGCTGGAACCGTGGGTCGAAGAGACAAAAATTTCAGAAATTGTCTTATTGAAGATACCCATCTCCGACGACAGAAAATCGGATCCATCATGGGTATGATGGTAGTCTGTCGTAAAGACAGAGACGAGCCTCATATCATTGTCTAGGAGCTTCCTAGCGTGCTCCTCAATCAGGTTGCGCGTGTCCTCGGAGGGGTCCATGCCATAGTGCTTTACAGCGCTGGCAGCGGAGATACAGAAACAGGCAAGGGTTGCCAGACGCATTGTCGGTTGCTTTGGTAGGTGGATGTCTTCCGTCTCGACACTTGATAAAGGCTGATGCGTGGATTCAGAGGGGATATCGCAAAGACCAATGCGCAGGAAAAGTCACAGGAGTTCAATGATTATTGAAAATGTTCTGACAGAAATTTCTGCTGGTATCATCGCTGTTCAAGTACCTGCGCATGAAGCATCTGAGAAATGGAAGGATTTGTACCCATGTTTCCCAGGCTTCCCATGAGGGGTTTCGGATTCCTGTTCTTGTTCCGTACAGACATCTAACATTGGCCTGAGAGTAGCTGGTCAGATTGGGCTGACGCAGCGCGATGTCTTGGATGTCTAGCCCCCATGTTACATCTGGATCGGCGTGCCTTTCAGGGCGATGCTATATCAACACCATCTCCACATCTCAGACCCCCATTACTTCGATCATTGGACTGTTGATTCGCCGGTGTATTCCGAGATCCCTGATATCAGAAAAAACCACGCAATATAGTGCGATATTGGTGTCCAGTCAGAAGCATCACGCTGAATCGTGAATCCTGTATCGTACCATCCGCAGATAATCTCTGCCATCCCTCGTCAGGCTGTCTCGCGGCTTCCAGGTGGGAAGTTCATTTAATCCTCTAGATAGCTCGAGAGTACTACAGTATTCCCAAAGTAGAAACCAGGGGGTTTCGGCTCGGGCCCTCAGCCGGCGAGTCCGCCCGAAGTGCCCATTTTTCCGCGGTGGGCGCAGTCATGAGGCTAAATTAAAGTCAGGGATTATGTTGGATTGTCCTGGTAGGAGTGGCAGGAGGCTCGGAGGACTGCGGGTAATTAATTCAAGACTGGGGGAAATTAGAGACTGGGGTAATCAAAGGCTGTGTGTAAGTAGACCACGAACCCCTTCACCGGAGTCCTCGCTTCGCCTGACCGCAAGCCTCCTGATCGCACCAGTTCTTCTATGCGCCTACGGACCTTGCTTGTCACATACAAATGGAGAAAGAGAAGGGGGCAGGATTTTCATTCATGAGAAGAAAGAAGAGCGCCGCAGGAAGCGCTTCACTCTTCGGGGCCAAGGAGACATGGAAAAGAAGGTAATACCTAAGACTACGAGTGTGGTCCGAGGCCATCACATGGCGCAACTCAAAATGCGCCACTTGGTGGGGACGTTATGCACCGACGATCCCCTGTTATGACCCTGATTTTCTCAGATCCGAGCTTTCTCCGGATCAGGGCAACCGGAGGCTCAGACACCAAGACTTTGCGCTGTAGCCGTCTGCTTTCGGGTTCGTTCCGGACATCTCCCGCCTCCAGATCCCGTCTCGAATCCTTCGCGCTTACTTGCCCCTTCACAAGCTGCGGGGCTACCAATCACTGATCTCTCCTCCTTTTCTCCTAAGATTATGCAAATATACGAGGTAGCCATGCATATTACAAATCCATCCTCCAGCTTGACACCGTAACGATGCCTGTTCACCATTACCATTCGTTACTATTAGACAATCAATCATCTTCATCATCTTACTGTTCACAGCGTAATATCCTGGGACTTCAAGGGCGAAGAGCCGCCCGAGATTTCTGCCAGTTACTTGTGAGTACCTAGATATGTTTATATGGATATTAATATAGGAAGAGACACAGATATTAGGCCACGAGGAGAGGGAACTCTCTAGCCTCGCCAAGTGATTGCAGGCCAAGGAGATACTAGAGATACGGGGATTCTCACGTTAGATTGAGGATAGAGAATAGGATGTCATTTAGGCATGCACTGTTCGGTTGTTCCCACCACAGAAATCTTACGAGAACCAGCTTTTGTCAATTACATTCCATAATATTAGTTGATAAGCTGTGAAGCATCGTTTATAATGGTGAAATGGACCTAGGCAGAATCAGACCCGTCTTGTCGATTCTCTATATCCGAGTCCGTCGCGTCCACTCAGTCATCAGCTGGCTCAGCTTCTCAACCAAGGATCCTGCAAAAGCTCCTTGGCTGTCGCTCTTTCCTCAGGCAGCCAAGTAAGAGTTTTCCGCATGAACCGTAGGAAGCCAGACTTATCACTGAGCCGACTTTCTAACCGCTCCATTGTCCGGTCATGCGGAATAGGCGCAAGGCCCAACCATTTGCCTACGTAACAGCCATTAGCAGGGGGGAAAAGCAACAGAAAACAACCGGTAAGATGCAATATCAGCTGATACATATTACTTACCATCAGAGCCCCAAAAATCGCTTGCCCTTTCCTGGTTCCTTCTTAAAAAATCAGGGGGAGGTGGTCCTAGTGCAGCGATAATTTGGGCTAGATGCGCAGCATCATACAGATCACCATCTTCATCTCGTGCTGTGAAAAGCTTGCTCGGCTCGAGAAGATCCCAGGCCTGCAGTTCATTTCAGTTAGCACAAAAGGCTGTCACGGAACCATGCTGGCTAGGAGAAATCGTGACCTACAGTTAAACCTACACTCCAGATATCGACAGGATAACTCCAACCTATATAGAGCAATGTCTCAGGTGCCCGATACTCCAGGGGCATGATATCACCGCCGTGCGGCCCTGGACCAATTCGTGTCTCACCAAAGTCAGACAACAACATTGGACCTACTTGAGGACGCATCAGGCGTGATAAATAAATAGTCCGCGCGGGAGAGACCGGCTTGCGAGGTACTGGTGACACAAGTTCTTTGTGTTCCAGTGCACTCAGCGACTGGTTATCATAGGCTCCGAGGAGCAAATTCCCAGGATGTATATCTATTATGAATTTAATTAGTTCACTTACTTGCAGCTTACCTGCACGAAGGAAAGAATTCTTTACCAGTGTGAACACTCTGTCCTTGTGTATGAAGAAAGTCTACCGCCTGTAAAAGCTCGGTAATAGCACCTTTAACGAGACCCTCATCAAACCCGCCCTGTTGGAACACTATCTTCATGTCCCGTAGACTCATCTGCGCGGCCTCGAAGATAAGGACTGTATGTATCCCATCTTGACTGGAAACAGTGAAGGAATTTAACAACTTGCGAATATTGTATCGTCCCTGATGTGAGCTTGTTTGTAGATGATGCTTCAAGTGATTATAGAACGGGACTTCGCGGTGAAACGATGAAGTATGCACATAGACTTTCAATGCGACATAGTGGCCGTTTCTCTGCAAGTCAGTTCAATCTAAAAAAATATTATTAAAGTCTCTCAAACTTACGTCAAATCGCGGGACAGCCATGTAGTTGATGAGGAGCCAAAGCCAAGTTTTGCCACTACTTGGTAGCGGTTCTGGAATGTTTCACCCAGTCGAACGGGATAAAAACGGCGTGCTTCGTAATCAGGTAACTCTTCCTCCTCCACTTTTTCGTCAGGCTGGATAATGTTAAAGCCACTAGTTGGAAACTTCTGGGCATTCTGCGTGTTTCTTGACGTTGTCGATGGGATATCGGAACCCATGGAGGAGGACTTTGTTGGTGATGAGATCGCTCTCCAAAGAGACATTCTTGATCCAGGAGCAGATACGGAAAGTGTTGGAGAGTGTGCGCGGTATACGATATTGTGAAAAAGAGAGCAAGCTGATATGTTTCGCCTAACAGCTGACACCGATGGAATCATGGCTAGCAGAAGGATGACACTGTTGCTGTAGATGAGCGAGTGAATACTAGGTCCGGACCCTTGGTCACTGCCGGCATCATGCCAAGACCTCTGTGCCTTAAACCACATCTTTGTATTATGACGCACCCTGACTTTACTATGCAGGAGGGGAGGGGCCTGAGCGGGGGAATGACGGACTCCCAGCACATGCTCTAGCCTAACGCCGTGAGCCCTGCAATGGAATTTCACCCCCGAGGTCCTGCATAGGGCTCGATGTCTTTCAGGAAGTATATATCGAGACGATTCTATTTTCCCGGGGAGCTATATATTTACGCTGGTACGATATATTAAGAAACACATCTTGCTAGTCCATTGAAAATAGTATAAAAGGTGCAAGGTAATAGCCCTATGGATTACTTACCGTAATAGCATACAGGGATATTGGTATGAGTGACAACAATCTGAAAGAAGCACCTCTTATACAAATAGAAAGCGGACCGAGCTAATCCCTCTGCGCTAGAAGAAATCTCCCAACAACTACCACCAAAGCGAACATATCAGTTCTACGCAATAATATATAAGGCGGGGGGTGCAGTGGGCAACTCACTCTTACGGAATTCCTCGGTCTTCTCCTGAACAATCCAATGACCGCAGTCGATATCCACGATCTCAGAAGACGGAAAGAAGGAATTTATCAGCGGTAGTGCTGACTCAGGAATAAAGTTGCTCTGAAGAGCTCTCAGGAAGAGGACGCGACCATTGAATTGCCTAATGGCTTGACTCTCCTCGCCTACACGATAAGGAAATTCGCCAAGAGGCCTTATGGCTGTGCTCAAGGTTTCGACGGGCACACGAAGCTGGAGGAAAGGTGTACCTGGCTTCTTGTGAAGGTTGCTAATGAGCCAAGCCCGTATAGCAGGAGACTGTATGATCCTCTTTTAGCCCTATCGTCAAGAGCTGCAGTACCAATAGCACCACAAAGCACGCCGTCTTACCTTTTCATATTGAGACAAGATTTTATCAGCTTGCAAATGGTCCGTGATCCTTTCGTCTCTTAGCCTTGCTAATCCTTCCAGATACCGGACAAAGTCTGACTCCAGTGGTAAGCGGATTGGGCAATTATCGATGGCCACTACATCCTTGATTAGGGTGGGGGATTCTAAAGCTAGTGTTAATGCTGTTTTTGCGCCCCTGGAGATCAATGGGTTAGATACGAGACTGTATCACATGAGACATGAGAGTTGAGCTAATATAGCCGAAACATACATAGAGTGGCCAATGATAGTCGGTGCCCGAAGCTGGTGTCTTTCAATAAAAGATTTCACGTCTAGTGCCATCTCCATGTAGTCGTGTTTTGGATGATGACCGGATTCGCCATGGTTGCGCATGTCCTGGGTCGAAGTTTAGATTGCCACTAAGTATGTAAATATTCGGGCCACCCAGCAAAGGAATTACATACCAGAGCATATACAGGCCGGAAGAGATCTTTAGCGAGCAGTCTATTGAGGTCGTTAGAGTGAACCTAAACACAAGGAAAGCGGAATGACTTCCCTGCTAACATGTCTGTTCTCACGCTTCGAGCCTAAGAAACCATGCAAGAAGAGAATTGGCGTGCTTGAAGTCGAATTATGGCTCGTGGGACTGTTGCTGGTAGGTGGTCGATGGAGTTCATAAGCCAATGGGACCCGTCGTGCCGCGGTATGGAATTGCCGGCAGAGATGTTTTGAGTGCAACATTGAGGAAAATATGATCCTGACTGGTTGATATAAATATTAAAGAATGCTGATTGCATTAACTAGAAAATGTGGTTTACAATCTATCCCTTGCAATAGTCAACCAGTCAGTTACTGGATCGTTGTCCCGGGAGAGGTTTGTCAGGGAGTTCATAAAATGACGCGCTGATCCTTGTATATGTAATATTACGTTGCTTTTGGTAACGCTCATGTTTCGGCCGCAGAATCCGAAGATCCTCAGGCCTATATCTCATCAAGTTCTGTTATCAAGACAAGCAAGTCATTAATCTCTGTTATACTATGTAGTATTATTACTGTTGTGCAAATGTCGGTACTGCCGTGGGTTTCATAGTATGCGTCGTCACTTCATTATCGGAACCGAGTTATGTCATACTATGTACTCTACGCCCTTTCGGTGACTCCCACCGTTCAAGACCCACCCGGGCGACCCTTTTCTTATATAGTGAAGAGCTTCTACTTGACCGGGATGCAGCAATTACATCGCACCATTCCTATTATATAATTCTCATGCACAATGCGTCGGTCTGCCCGGCAGGACGCCTCTGAGCTTGGCCAAGAGCATGAACTAAGATCTAATACTGACGTTTATCACACCGATCAGCCGGCGGATGGGCCCGGTGTCAGTCTAGCCTTCCCTGAAGGTGGACGAGAGGCATGGATGTGCCTTTTGGGATCCTATTTGATAATGTTCCCATCATTTGGCTTTGAAACAGCAGGTACGCCAAGCTTTTCATAACTGCATTTACATGGAAGACCCAAAAGTCACTAGATAAGTAGGGTTATCAAACAACTGACATGAATACTCCAGTTGGCACTGTTCAGGACTACATCAGCGAGCACCAGCTTGCCGAATATAGCGTCCGCGATGTTGGCTGGATCACCGCACTTTTCGTGTTTCTAACTCTATTTCTTGGAGTTCAGGTCGGACCACTGTTCGATCGATACGGGCCTCGAATCTTATTAACATGCGGATCCGCAGCCAGCTTCACTTCCTATATGCTACTAGCTGAGTGTACAAAATACTGGCACTTCGTCCTGTGTCTTTCCATTCTCGGAGGTATAGCTTCAGCCATTGTTACAACGGTCTCAATTTCAGTCCTGAGCCACTGGTTCCACCGCCGACGCGCCCTAGCATCAGGCATTTGTATGGGCGGATCATCAGCGGGAGGCGCTATCATCCCACTACTTCTACGGACCCTGTTCTCGAAATATGGCTGGACGTGGTCTATCCGAGTTATCGCCTTTCTAGCACTAGGATGCTATACAGCAGGAATCATCCTAGTCAAAGGCCGCCTACCAACTGGCAGCAGCAGTAAAGTGACAATCGACTCCCGGGCCTTCCGGTCCCCTCGGCTTTTTTTCTTAACTGTGGCGGTCTTCTCTTTCGAATTCATCATCTTCGGCTGCGCGGCACTATTACCAACATACGTCCGATTCGCTGGCTTCTCAGTAGACGTACAATTCTACTCGCTCACAGTCCTGAACAGTATGAGCTTACTGGGAAGAGTCCTTCCCGGATTTGCGGCTGACCAAATCGGGCGTTTCAACATCCTGCTCTGCCTCGTCGTGATCACGTTAATAATAATGGCAACAGTCTGGCTGCCTTTTGGCTCTCATGATGAGAAGACCCTATATAGCGTGGTGGCTATCTTTGGATTTGGCTCTGGAGGTTGGATCTCCCTTGCTCCTGTATGTGCTGGCCAGCTCTGTAGGACTGAAGAGTATGGACGGTTCTACGGTACCCTGTATTCTGTGGCTTCGTTCGGAGTTTTACTCACTGTTCCCGTCGGAGGTGACTTGCTGCAATCAACCACACCTCAGATTCTCATTGGGTTTTATTCAGCGGTGCTCTTGGTTGGGCTTATTGGTCTAATATTGTCTCGATGGGCTCTGCTGGACTGGAAGTGGAAGTGGAAGGTTAAGGTGTAATCCCTTTTAGAAATCGAGTATTTGATCATTTCGTCGGCCAAATTGATGTCTTTGCGTACGAGTCGTAGTTTAAGTATCTCAATATGATAGTAAACATAGGTGTGTTACCGTGGATACTTTCAGTCACTCTGCTGAAAAACATCCCCATTCTTATAGATAGAAGTCACATGACCGACTCGATAACATGATGTTATCAAACACCGATACACTCCTTCCTCCTGGCCAGGCCGATCATCATTTCCAATCCAACAGTCTCTTTTCCTTTACATTGTCCAACTTAGATTCATAAACAACCAAGCGATCTTAATAATCTAGCGACACTTCATCAGAATTTACATAGCCTACCACATAATTGAACAACAAACACCACAGACATCGCAGAAAACAGACCCCCGACTTATCCAGGAACCAACTATGCGCCCCCGCACGCTCCTCCTCACCATAGACGCATTTAACACAATCTTTCACCCGCGCCAACCCGTCCCCGAACAGTACATTTCCGCCTTTAACTCCTTCAAACTTCAACCATCTCAGGCTCACGAGCTCACACCATCCATCCTGCAACCCGCTTTCAAATCAGCTTACAAAGCGCAATCCCGCCGCCGGCCGAACTATGGGCGCGCGGATGCCATCCGCGGCCAATACGGCGGGCCTAGGCAGTGGTGGGAGGAGCTAATACGAGCCACGTTCCAGCAGGTCTTGGCAGATCAATCTACCAAACTACCAGATGAGCTGATCCAGGGCTTATTGGATCGCTTCGCAAGCTCTCAGGGCTATGCGCTCTACGATGACGCGGGCGTATTATTTGAGCGCCTCAGGCAAATCAAAACCACCGGCCAGAAACTAGGCGTTTTTGAACGGGTGGTTGTGGGAGTTCTGTCCAACTCAGATGACAGGGTGCCTGCTGTGCTCCAGTCACTGGGACTAAGTGTAGGAAAGGGAAGAGCGGATCAGGAAATCGAGAGTTTGAAACTACCAGGATTCGAGGATCTTTCTAGTATTTCCACCGATGCGTATGGAGAGAAGGTCGATGATATTGATCTCGTGATCACGAGTTATCAGGCTGGAGAGGAGAAGCCTAGTCCGGTGATCTTTGACGTGGCTGAGCGGCAGGCGAGGAGGCTGGTAGGGGCTGGTGAGGAGGAAGTTGATTGGGTGCGTGTTCATGTGGGCGATGACTATGACAAGGATTATCGTGCTGCTGTTGATGCGGGGTGGAATGGGGTTTATGTTCCCCGAGATGAAGGTGGGGGGAGGGAGGGGGTGGTGATTCGATCGTTAGTGGATTTGGTTCCGATGCTGGAGGGATTGAAATAGACTGTGGCTGTTCAGGTGTACAGTATGATGGCTTTATCGGTGTATATATCACTTGGAGAGAGTGTGACTTGAGATACAGTTGTGTGATGCAGTACTTTACGAGTCACCCGGCGAAGTACACTCACCCGGATACAACGGCTGCTTAATATCACCACACAAGGCACCTCCCCTGCCAAGTACTATTGACCATAGCACCCCGAATGATCGCCAACATGTCACAAGAAAGCTTTGACCTCAACCTGGCCTGCAGGTGGCCATCCGTGCAGCGTCGGCAATTGCACTGGCCAGTTGCCAGTTGCCTGGCACAGCCGGTGGCGCCAAGCAAATGCGCAGATCCGAGCATAGGGATTACTATAGGTCGATGCCTGGATGGCAACACAATTAACTATGACGCATCCCTTGGCGATCTGCTGGTCTATGTTACAAATCGATAGGTCCCTGTTAGTCCCTCTCGAGGGAGAGCACATTATTTGTGCAATCATATGATGGTGCAAGGGGAACCCATGATGTAATGACGTCGAAGGGGGGATCAACTGCATTTATAACCCCGATCTTATCCACCAGATTGCTGCAGAATTTGATTACTTCTTCACCTAACTATTCTTAGATCATTTCTTAAGTGAAGAACTACTTCAAAGCTATCGATATGGATCTCGTTCAGAAGTATGGCCACCTCAAGCACGATCGACGCCGGAGCTCTCTGCAGCAGCAACTCGCGGAAGAGGAACGCCACCGGAATCAGATGGGTTTGTTGATCCCAACTCTGGTCAATCGATCGATATAACAGATATACTAATGATTGAGTAGCTATCAACTCACTGTTAGGGAGCTTTGGCGGTTCAGCAAACGACCATCCAGACCGACGATCCAGTGGTGCGGGGAATATGGCGAGCATGATTGAGGAGTTCAATAAGTCGGTGTCCCTCTATATACACACAATCATGAATTGAAGCTTACAAAGATTGCAGGCGGAAATCAGTGTCCCCGGATACCAATGTCGAACAAAAAGAGTGATGGAACCATCTATTTTGTTGGGTGATGGAGCAGGGCGGCTATGGTTAATGGAGTAATGAGGCTTACGACTGTCATTTGTTGAAAACAACACATTATATGGAGTTGGATAAATCCAAGAATTCTATGACTACTACTATTATTATTACAATGTGCTATACCTTTACTCAAATTGTAGCCCACCATAATTACTCTCTGCACAAAGCTCGATGCTTGGTCATGCTGGGATGAACAATGATCATAGCGAGGGATATGAAGAGCCAATCAGACGAAGCAGATCATATCGCTGATCAATACCTAAATAGAATTAGACCAACTCACCAATCAAGTGACCGCTTTCCCAAAGAAGAAGCATAATGATCCGTCAAATGATATCACGGTGGATGCATCAACTTATCTACTCACGCGTCTCGACATGTTGTCGCGCAATTGCTCCCCACTAGCTCGTTCTAAATGCCCCCAGTAGCTGTACGCGCCTCCCCTGTCACTATCCATGTTGCTCTAGCTAAAACCGTCTAGACGCCCTTTCGTGCCTCCTCTCGTCGCAGTGCAGGCCCGCAGTTCGCGTCAACCCCGCGGTTCTTCCTTTCCCAAACACCCGCTTCATCGAGGCCATCCCAGGAAGTCGACTCCATTGACCAAGATGACTTTGCATATGCTACTCCTGCTCCATCCGCACGTAATATAAAACGTGTGAGAGAGCAGGTACCCACTCCTCGCCCAAAAGAGTTCATTGAAGACTCGGACCAGCCAGACGATGACGCTGCACCAAACGAGGGCGAACTCCAGAGTAGCTCTCCGCCAGAACCAGGAGAGCTCGACGCCGCATTCGATGAAGTATTTGGATCTATACGAGACCGCCAGAAGAGACGTCGCGTCTCTGGTAATAATGGTGCTAATGACACTCCCTCCGTTCAAAGACGGAGACCCGCCGACAGGATCCTGACCTCCTCCCCGGATCCTCCAGGAGCAGCAGACGAGTCAACTCTATCGGTACAATTCCACACACCAAGGCAGACACGCCCAGAATCAGGGTTCCGGAAACCCGTGCGGCCTGCAGAAACACCACATCCTGTAACACCAGCAAGCATCAATCCATCCTCTCTCCAACCCCGTCGTTTCGTGCTATCCGCATCGCAACTACCTCCAAGTAGCCAGACTCAAACCAGCACCGCAATACCACCCTCGACCGCAACTCCGGCTCCAACCTCGCAGCGACGAACACCAGCATTCGTCCTGCCTCGTTCCCCCTCCCCTCAGGAGGACGATGACCCCACCGGCATCCCCACACCGTTCTCGCCTTCCTCTCGTGCTCTCCGGCGGCGCGGCCGTCACCGCTCCACAGCGCACAACTATGTACCTGGTGGCATGGCAGCGGAAGTGCGCAGCTGGATTTTAGAAATGGGTGCGAAAAGGGAACAGCAACAGATGAGTCCGAGCTATTACCGGAGAACGGATTCATTCTCATTGGACCTCTACGCGATAGCTATTCGGGTAACAAGTGCTCGCCAATCGGCCCTGCCGAGCTGTGGTGCGCTGGTGTTCGCACAGGGTCAACTCATCAATTCTTCTGAGACCAACGAGACAGATACCGAGCCCCAGACTCAGATGAAGAACGTGCTTCTTCTTGGACCACCCCGACAACAGAAGTCCCGGCATACAGCGACTAACGTTCCTGATCTTAATCCCGGGGATGTGGTCGGGGTTTTTCGAGGACTGGCTTGGGAGGTAGAGCTGGGAAAGCCTGCTCCGGCTTCAGAAATAGGCCTTGACCTGAACGATCTCATTCCATCGGACCGTTCACACGTCCAAAGCGCAGGTAAATGGCACGTGGGCATGGAGTGGGAACTAATCTCGTAATAAGATATGGCGATCATGTACATTATTTGATACCCAAGCACGCGACAATGCGAAGCTTCAACATTATGCTGAACATTCGTCCATCGAATGAAATGCAAAGGAGATGAATCTATATACTATGCAAGCTTTTACCCCCCTCAACACCATGACCAAAACGCCATACCCACACAGCACAAGACATGAATGTACATCACTCAGCATCCCCTTCCTTAACCACAACCTTCAACGCATCCACCGCAACCTTACATCCCCACTTAACAACCTTCAACTCCTTCCCAGAAGGCACAATATCCGTCTTCGCGACCACCTTCCTCAAGAAGAAGATCAAGCCCTTGACAATCTGGGGCGTTTCTCTCGCGCGCAGGAAGATCTCCAGAAGCGCCTTCTCATCCTGCTCATCCTCATCCTTCGACTTCGACTTCTTCTTTTTCTTCTGCTTCTGCGACTGCTGGATCACACTAATCAAGAGCAACTCCACAAAGGCCTTGCTCTTCGGCTGCAAATATGCGAAGTTAAGGATCTTAAGCACGCCCAGATTCAACGTCCCATCTGCGATAAGCGATCCGTACATCTTCGCTAGGTTGACGACGGATTTCATCTCGAGTTTGTTTTGATCGTCTTCGTCGTCGAATGCGTCGTCGTCATCGCTATCGTCCATGTCGCCGGACTCGCCCATGCGTTTGAAGATGTTCCATAGCGTGTACATGAAGGATACCTTGATGCGACGGCCCATTTCGCCACAGAGGCGCTTCGCGATGAGCGTGTAGTAGGGGTTGTGGGCTTCTTCTTCCATGGCGCAGTGGGTGAGGACACGGGGGATTTCGAATTCCTGGGCGCGTTTGAGACGGAGTTTGAGGAGGCGGACGTGTGCGTCCTGGTAGTCGGTTGCGGACATGATAGCGACGAAGATGGAGCGGCGGACGTCAGTGTTCATGCGGTGCGCTTTGGCGATGTTGACGAGGTCGGGCTCGGAGTCGCTGTCTGAGACGTCGGCGTGGGTGCTGTTCGTGGGGAGGCCGTTGAGTTCCTTCCGGGCGGACTCGAGGGGATCTTCGCGCCAGCTGGCGCCGACGAGCCACCATTTGCCCTTCTTCTCGGAGTTGTGGATATCGGTGCGGGAGATGCTGATGGGTTCGGAGGCCCGGATGACTCGTGTGTTGTTGAGAGAGCCGAGAATCTTGCGCATCTTGGTAATGTGTTCGGAGCTGATGCTGGCGTTCACGTTGGATTTCAGCTTGTTGTTCTTGAGGTCGGTGATGGTGTCGATCATGAACTTGGTACGGACGGAGAGGGCGGCTTCGCCGGCTTTCGCGACGGCGGGTTGGATGAGAAGGACGATGTCTTTGAGGGAGGAGGGATCATCTTGTCGGAGTTGGGGTCCGGAGTCTGGGGTGGTTAGTACGGGCTTAAGAAGGAAGGGATGGGAATAACGTACTTCGGATGATCTTGAGGAGCAGTTCGGTGTTCTCCTCGGTGATTTCTTCGAGGAAGAGCCGGATGTAGTCGAAGACAAGAGTGCTTCCGATAACGTGGAAGTTGTACAGTTGAGACAAAAGAGAGATCAGGTTGATGGTCTCCTTTCCTTCGAACTTACCCCGTTCATCGCCGCGGGCATCGAAGGTCTCGACGATCTTCTGCACGATTTCCGCGCCAAAGTCCGTACCCACAATTTTATACACTGCAGCAATGAAACCCGCATGTAGAATGATGAAAGTATCCGACAGAGCAGATCTCTCGCAGATCAATCCGAATAGCAGAGAGATCAAGGTCGAAGTGACATTTTGACGAGGATGATCCCGGTAGAGCTTCTCGAACTCCGCGAGAATAGAGACCATGTTAGCTTCAGACAGCTTGTTCAAGTGACCCTGAGCCTGTCTCCTCAGGCGAACAAGAGACTCATCTTCTGAATTGGAAGCAGCGCGAAGCGAAGGAGGAATGTACTTCTGGGGACGGCTTTCGGCTTCTTTGACTGGAGCGACGTAGGGGTTTTCCTTCTTCTTAGGAGCCGGCTCCTCTTCCTCATCCTCATCCTCATCACCTTCTTCATCTTCATCGAAATCGCCCATGGACTCGTCGTCGTCAAAGCCTTCAAGCCCATCTCCCATATCACTATCATCTTCCTCCTCAGAATCCTCCTCCTCAGGCTCCTCCAGGCCCTGCGCCTTTCTCCGCTTACTCCGTAGCCACTCATCAGCTTCCCTCTTGCGCTTCCGGCCCTCATCTGCAGAATCCTCATCCAAATCACCCAGCAAATCACCCAGACCATCCTCTTCGAACGACTTCGGGAGCTTCTTGCCCTTTTTCAGACCGAGCTTCTTCTCCAGCGCAGCGATTTCCGCATCGTCCTCCTCGAGCTTCGATTGAACTGTCTTCGATATCGGGCGTCGCATTGTGACTTTGTTGTCCTCATCCTCATCAAGGTCAATATCATCATCCTCCTCCTCAGAACTCTCCACAGCCTTCGCCTTTTTCAGAATAGACTTGGGCTGCTTCTTCTCCTCCTTAGCAGGAGCAGGAGCAGCACCCTTCCCCTTCGCCGCTTTCGCCTTAGCAAGTTTCGCCATAACATCACCCGCATCCTCATCATCATCACCCTCATCTAAATCAAAATCGTCAAAATCCCCCATATCCTCATCGTCATCCTCGTCATCATCATACCGACCCCTCTTCTTCGGAGGCAGTCCTCTCTGCTGTCGCTGAAACTGAGGCTGCTTCTTCCCGGAGCGTTCTTCCCGACGGCGTTCTTTCCGCGATGCCGGTCCGTTGTTCCTATTCTTCTTCTCGCCGTAGGTATCTCTAATCCCGAGTTCGGCGCGCAGGTCCCTCGGTAAGGAGGTCGTATTATGTCTAGGACGTCGCATGGTGAGACTTTCGTTTCATCCAAATCGGGGGGTTGTTGATTATTGGGTTGGATCAACTTTTTTTAATGCCGATTCAAAATTGGTCCCGCGGAGGCGGAGGACGGAGGCGGTGAGAGGCACTTGACTTTGGGGTGGATGCGTTTATCTCCGCTGGTCTTTAGCTGCTACTTAGATACTATCGCTGGAGTCTATTTGGTTTGAGTTCACGGTCAATTGAGCTGCCTGCTACACTTAAGTGCGGCACTACGCTCACATCTGCATTACACACCTGAATCCCATTCAAATACAACCACAACACAATCATCAAAAATGCCCGCACACCTGGGCCACGAGGAGGTACTTCACCTCCACAACCACAACAACACCCCCAAAACCAATACTGACCAAACGAACTAGTTCTTCACCTCCCTCACCACCCTCCTAAGCACCACATCCCAAAAAACCCGCGGATCCGTGTACCTCACCCAGAAGCCTCTCCTCGACTCTACCAACACCCAGTCCCAACCATCCATTCTCATCCGCGCGACAGACGGCAACACCAACGCCCCGAACCCCAAGACGGCAGAGGCCAAGAAGAAGGTGTCGAAGGCGACAGCAGCATCGAAAGTGAAGATCTCGACGGTCGTGAGCCCTGATGACCTGGAGGCGTTCTATGCGCGGTATGCGGAGGTGTGTAAGGCTGGGATGACGGGGTTGAAGAAGAGGGATCGGAAGAAGGGCAAGGCGAAGGGGAAGAAGGAGGGTGGGAAGGTTGTTAAGGGGTGATTTATTGTTTCTTTTGGGGGAGGGGTGGTGTGATGCATTATGGGCGTTAGTGGGATGATTTTATTCTATTATACGTACTTTTATTTGTTATATGGGAACATTATGCTTCGATGTATATGTGTTGAGTAGATAGGTTGAATGGGATGGTCAGTCTCGGCTGAAGATATAGTATCAGTATGATTAACTACTTCGCTAGAATACAGGGGCTCAAATTATGGTGCTTGTCAGGTGTACATCAAAGACAGCCCACCCACAACCGTACAGGTGCCGACTAGTGAAACATATGGGAAGGAACAGCGGAACAGTGAGAGATCATACAAATGCGTCATCGTGGGGAAGGAAAAACATCAGAGGGAATCGCAAGTGTCATCAGATGCAGAATACAGCGGTATACAAAAAGTGAAGAATGAATGTAAATGGTCAGACAAATGGTTTGATGCGTATCAGTCGGAACTCTCATCCGCAGACACCCCGGATCGGTCAGGAAGAGGCAAGTCGAAGTCATCCACTGTGTCCTGGGCATGGTCAACCTCATACTCGATCTTCCGGTTCAGTTCACCCATCGCAGATTCCAAGGCTGGACCGATGACAATGCGCGCGGCAATGTGGATGAGAACCACGAGCAGCTGGATGGGGGGAACCAGGACAAGTGTGCAGGTTTTATGAATGAGTGAAGCCGCATCATTTTTCTCGGGTCTTGCGACTGCCAAAGACGATGCAGGTGGCATCGGGGATACTTCGCGCTCACGAGATGCTTTAGAGCGTCGGCGAAATTCGATGCTCATGCTGCTGAGATTGGGGTTCGAATCGGTAGTTCCGGTGCGGCGTGCGACTGGACGTTGAATGTCGGGGACTATGGTCGGAATCGGTTTTATTTCGCGCTCGTGGAAGGCTCCAGGCATGTCGTGCGATGCGGGCGACAAGTCATCCCAGCAGTCGACATATACCGATAATCTGTCTCTCGAGCGTTCTGTTTCCTGGAAGGGCTGTTCTTCAGACTGCGAATGAGTGTCACTATGTTCGGGCTGGAATTGCTCAGTACCCTCGGTCGATGTAGGCGTAGAGCAGGCGTCAAGTTCGGGTAATGTAGATAACGATGGTCCAAGGGAGTGGAAGGATTCAACGCTCGATGAAAACGTTGTTTCAGGATCAACCTGTTCTTTGGGTTTATCTTCAAACCTTGCCAGCAAGGTCTGGAAATTTTGTTCGGGTTCCGGGTCTGGGCGCATGGGAAGGTCCACCTGTTCGGATGTCTGAGGCGCTTCCGGGGATTCGTTATCATCCGGGATAGTCTCCAAGATAGTACTGTTACTGGGACTGTTACTGGCCTTGGTCGAAAAGCCGCTGTCATCCGTCGCTTCGCCATCCGTGTCTTCCCCGGCACTCACTGAGTCTTTGGTGAGGTCCTCCTTCGACTTGGACAATCCGTGGTAGTAGACTGAACTGATGGGGGCACTTTCGCGACGACCTTTGGGACGCCAGGCCCTCTTCCTCCGGGGCGCTTTGGCCTCCTCCGGTATCTCAACGGTGAAACCTCTCTTGAAGGGGCATGGTGTCACTTCGTAACGGAGGACCCTTGGCAAGACATTTTTCATCTCCATGACCAAAACCTTATGGTCGTCGGTGTCGGCGGGGAGCTCGATGCGATAGTAGGTCAGAGGGCGAATGCGCAAGACAAATGTTGACTCGCCGTCGACACACCAACATTGCGAGTTCTTGAGGATGGCATGGACGACATTGCCGCACTTGAGAAAGACAGTGAGGCCATGAACATTCTCCAGGCGAAGCGGGCCAAGAGCGACCGTTCGTTCGGTAGGGGATCTCCAAGGAAGTGTCTCAACGGTATCAACGGGATAGTCGAAGTCGGAGGGCGCAGTACTGGAAGGGATCGGGGCGAGCGCTCTAGGGGCAAAATGGACGACTTTGGCAGAAGGATGGTAAAAGAGGTCGTTCTCCGACGGCCTCAGCGACTCGGATTGCCGCCGAGGTCGGGTAATCAGTTTGGAAGGAAGAGTTGCAGACCGGCGAAGGGATTGGGTCTGGGGTAGTGGCGCATGCGAGGAATTAGACATTCTCGATCATGGGGACTAAGGAAGGTGAGAAAGGAGATGGATTACATTGAATAAGATATGAGGGACAGGATTAGGTAGGATGTAGATGAAAAAGATAGCAAGTGAATGCGAGTAGGAAGGGATAAGGAGAGACGATCAGCAGGGGGGGGGTGGGTGTATGGAATGAGGTCAAACGAGAGACGAGAAGCTGGGGTGGTGAGATAATGGATAATGGACGGGGGATTCCCAGCGAGTGACCCTTCCCAACTTGGTTCCAACTCAATAAATTCATGGGAAAAGTATGGAATTGCCCCAATCGGGTCTAACCCAGCGGGGACTGATTGTGGCCTGAGGCAGTCATGCGCCGGTCACCTGCCCTACGCCGCAGTGTGGGGCCCGGCGGCTGCTGGCCTGGCGTCTGGCGGCTACTCAGCCAGTCGGAATTGATCGCTATCGCACCCGCGCGTCATTGCCTTAGCATTATGTGGTTGCCTGTGGCTGATTCCCCCTCGGCAGCCAACGCACAACTATAAATAGTACGATGCTCCCCTTCTGCTAGACGGTCCCTGATCTTCAAAAGTACTCAAGTGTCTCTTGGGTGTACATCATGGGCAATTTCGATCATAACGCCGTGATTCGCGGCGCTCAACTGACGGTGGTTGCAAGTAAGTCCGGCCCCTTTTGCCTGCTTGAGTCCTGGGGCTTCTAGTAGCCAATGGCTGTGCGACTTCTTTCGCCTTGCGTAAAAGGGGGAGCGGCAGATGTTGGAATTATAGGGGTCTGCGTGGTGCTGAATGTCAATGGCTCAGCACGGCCGAGTTCCCTAGTAGTTCCATGATCGACAGCCATGGCTGGCTAGCTACCCGCTTGGTTCTTTGGGGAAACACGGCACGAGTCCTACTTTACCCGCAGCTAACGTAGCTGAACAGCCGTTCGCGCATTGCGGAACCCTGACCTGTTCAAGTACGACCACTTTCGACAGGCTGCCTTTGCTGTCGCGGTCGGTGTGGGTGTCGAGCTCCTCATCCAGATCCCCGTATGTGACTACCTTCTAGCTACGCGCTTGCACAACAACGAAACTGACAAGGTGTGCTATAGATCATCGCACTCAAGATTGGGCTTTGGTTCATCTCATGGATTGTCGACCTCGAGAGTGTAACTTGGGACGACTCCCTCATTGAGGGTCTCGACTTCCTCTCCAAGTCTGTCCTCCATGTCCCCTTCCTCATCATGTCGTTGATGCGGTACATCACTCCGACATTGGATGAAATGTAGGCCAACCATTCTTCTACATAGTGTGCACGTGCTGATTGGTTAGCTTCATGGAATCGTTGAAATGGGTGGACACGACCTATGTCGATAAGCACAAGGCAGAGGACCCGAGCACTCTGCGTGCCATGTACTACCCGAACCTTTCTATGTACAACGCCGGTGATGGCAAGGTCAAGTCCACTGCGCCGAAGAAGTCAGCCAAAGAAAGAATCGTGGTGTTCCTTAGAAGGTCCGGCCAACGAGCCGCTCTGCTCCTGGGCGTGTCCATTTTGTCTCTTGTGCCTGTTGTCGGACGCTTTGCCACTCCAGCAGCTTCCTTCTTTGCCTTTAAGGATGCTGTGGGAACTACCCCTGCGGCGGTCATCTTCGGAGCTGGCTTGATCTTCCCGAAGAGCTACGTTGTTTCCTTCCTGCACAGCTTCTACGCCTCTCGTACCCTGATGCGTGAGATGGTAAGTCACTCTAGCCACATTATCGATGGAACAATCCTAACGGACAACCAGCTCGACCCCTACTTTAGCCGCGTTCCCTTCACCCCCGAGCAAAGAAACCGCTGGTTCGCCGACCGTCAGGGCGTCCTCTTCGGTTTCGCCTTTGCATTTACAGTTGTGCTGAAGACTCCCTTCATCGGAGTTCTCCTGTACGGCATTGCGCAAGCCGCCACGGCGTATCTCGTCACCAAGGTCACGGACCCCCCGCCGCCCCCCTCGGAGAAAGAGGGCTTCGCAGAGACCCAGGTGACTTGGAATAACAAACACGAGTTCCTGCGCCTGTCGCTGGACAACATTGACCAGCTGAACAAGGCTCCAGAGGAGGAAAAGCCCAAGGCGCCTGAGGTGCCGGGCCGGAAATTCGAGTAAGCGAGCAGTTGAGGGATGAGTCGTGAGGAGGACTGGAGTTTTGCCTACAAAAGTTGATTATGGAAAACCAAACAGTCGAGACTGTATTTTACATTTTAGGTTCTGCATAGTGCAGGTAAGCATGCACGCATCTTATTGTTATAAGTTCCGGGGTTATCGTTATGATAGACAAAAAGACAGCCGTGGAATCAAACCACATCCTTTTCCCCGCTGATAAGCGCGTCGACCCTGATAAGATAAGGGGAGCAGGGCGGCGCTCCGTAATTCCTATTCGGTCTTGTGATAAACAAAGTTGGACCAAGTTCGTGAGGGGAAGTTTCGGGTGCCATGGATTGAGGGGTTGGTTGCATTCGTTTAGTACAATTTATCTGGTAGTATTAAGAGGTGGACTCCCCTACCCATGCGGAGGGGAAGTGTTCCATCTCACCTTGCACCACCCATCCACCCATCCAATCCATCATCTAGTATTACAAGCATCATCAACAGCATCAACAAAGATCCACCATGGGCCACAAAAAGATCCGCACCGCTCTCTCAGTTGATCTGAACAAGCCAGCCTGGGAGCAGCCTGGCCTCCACGTAAGTGCTCCATGAACCGTGTAAGCAGTAACACAATCGTAGCACTAACCCATCCTTGTAGAACAGATGGCATCCAGACGGTACTACTCCGCCCCCTCCATACTAACCACCAATCTAATCAAGGATTAAATACAAATAGTCCCCTCCTACGCCAAAATCGCCAACAACGAAGTCGTCAAAATCGAATGTCTCGACTGGACCGGCGGCCAAATCAAGAACAACGATTCGGCCGACGACATCAAAAACGTCGATCTCACGCAAATCCACTACCTCTCCGGCCCATTTGAGATTGAGACCGCAGAGCCAGGCGACGTCCTCCTCGTCGAGATTCAGGATGTGCAGCCCTTCGAGGACCAGCCGTGGGGGTTCACGGGTATCTTTGAGAAGAGTAATGGGGGTGGGTTTTTGGATGAGATTTATCCGGAAGCGTATGATATCCTCTCCTTCCTTACAAAACTCAGCATGTATAAGTAACGGATGATGCTAATGAGAAGGCGGTGATTATGTGCAGTGCCAAAGCCATCTGGGACTTCGAAGGCATCTTCTGCTCCTCGCGGCACATCCCGCACGTCCGATTCGCGGGGCTCATTCACCCCGGTATACTGGGGTGTGCGCCATCTGCTGAGGTCCTGGCAGAGTGGAATCGTCGTGAAGGGGAGCTCATCGCGGCGAATACTACCCTTGGACGAGACGTTGCGAAGCCTCCGGAGCCCAAGAGCGCGCATGCAGGTAGTGCAACGGACGAGGAGCTGAAGGCGAAGATAGCGAAAGAGGGGGCGAGAACTATTCCTGTATTCCCCCTTCCCTTTCTATAGCCCCAGTCAATACTAACAAAAGTACAGGGCCGCCCCGAACATGGCGGCAACTGCGACATCAAGAACCTCTCCCGAGGCTCAAAAGTCTACCTTCCGGTCCACGTCCCGGGGGCCAAGTTCTCCGTCGGCGATCTACACTTCAGCCAAGGCGACGGGGAGATATCCTTCTGCGGAGCGATCGAAATGGCAGGGATAATCACTCTCAAGTTCACAGTCCTTAAAGGAGGTATAGAGAAAATGGGCATGAAGTCTCCCATTTTCCACCCGGGGCCTGTGGAGCCTCAATTCGGGCCCGGGAGGTATCTCACGTTCGAGGGGTTCTCGGTCGATGAGAATGGCAAGCAGCATTATCTTGATGCGACTGTTGCGTATAGACAGACTTGTTTGAGGGTGATTGAGTATTTGAGACGGTATGGGTATAGTGATTATCAGATCTATTTGTTGTTGAGTTGTGCGCCGGTGCAAGGGCATATTGCGGGGTTGGTGGATATTCCCAATGCGTGTACGACGCTGGGGGTGCCGATGGATATTTTTGATTTTGATATTAGGCCTGAGGCGGAGGTGGTCAGGTTGGATATGGGGAGTTGCGCGTTTAGTTCGAAGTAGTAGTTCGAAGTAGGTGGGTGGGTTGGAGTTGTAGGAAAGGTGTTGGAGAGAGGAATATGTGGTGTTTGGGATGGGTTGTGGGAGCTTTAGTGTTTGTAAGGTGTGCGTTTGGATGCAGGCCAATATTACTTGAGATGCTGAGAGGTCAATATTCTATAAACTTCAAGTCGAGAGTAAACACTGGACTGAGTTGAGGAATTTACTACTCCAGAGCTCGAGCTTATACAGGAATAAAGTCTTACGAAAGAATTGGTATAGAGCTGCTACATTGTGAATGACTCTGTCATATAGAGATTCTGATAGTCTACTTCTTCTGAGAAAGGGATAGCTTGTATGTCATACCACCCGATTGTCGCTCTGATTCTCTGCCATCCTCCGATAAGTCGATGCAGTAGCAATACGCGCCCTCTTCCCCCAGATCAATAGGGGAATTGGGATCGAGTAGATGAAAAACGCCACAACCGCAATCAAGATGTGAAGGTTCTGCATGCCCATCCCATTAACCCAGGGTGTCAAAGTGAAGAGAACAATGACAGCAATCACATTTCGCATGAAGACTACACCGACTAGAGTGTCGCCAACAATCTATTATACATTCGCGTTAGTGTTCGTGATCATACTTATCCAAAGGAGGGACTGTATGTACTCACATCCTGGTAGCAATCCATGAGATAGGACAGTGAGATACCACTGCTGCACGAAAGAACAAACCCAAAGATACCATAGCCAACTGCCAGTACAACCCAGTGAGCACCCTATGAGAATGTTAGCCAACCCTGGAAAGGTACAGAGTAGTAGAAACGTACATATGCAAGCCCAAGACCAAACATCAGTATCGATCCTGGACCCAAAGCTATTATAGGAAGCGAAAGCCAAAGACGCATCTCAGGCTCGTAAATGCCATTGTTTCTCTTGGACAACCAAAGGATGGACTTGTCGCTCAGATAACCTGAAATTGGAAAGCCTAATAGGCTGCCAATGAATGGCGCCACATTCATCAAGCCGATGCCGACTGAACTAAAGTTGTACGGCGGAAGAATCATATATGTCGCTTGGAGCGACGTCATGACTGCAAACCAACACAGAGTGGAGCCGTATGTAAGTGCAGTATATGTCACTGCCGGGAAAGTAAACAGAATGACAGCCGGCTGCCACACGTGAGGCCATATAGATTCATCAGACGGTGTGAAGAGAGCCATTCGCTGAAGGTAGGTCTTTGGCTCACTTCCAGGCCGCGGGGTAGCACATCTTTCCACGGATCGTTCGAACCCTTTCTTATCATCGGATGACAGCCTGCCCTTAGGAGCCTCAGAGCACTCGGGTTCTTCCACACCAGATACCTGTACATCTGGAATAACTTCCTGGGCATCCAAAATTGGGAGAAACTTGGATTCTTCGAAAACAAAAATCACACACAGCAGGATAACGGCGAAGAAGATCACGCACCACCACCATGTCCACCGCCAACCCTGGGATTCCACGACATATCCTGAGGCGACAGGTCCCAGTAAGGCTCCAACTGACTGAAAGAGCACAAATAAGCCGTTCATGGTGGCATGTTGGTGGACGAAGAAAAGATCAGCTACGGTCATTTGTACGATGATCTCGCTGATAGCACCACCCAAACCGGAAATCAGCATCGCTCCGATGTAGTCACCGAAGGTAAAGACCTTGGCATTCCACACGCTCGCAGCCAGCTGCAATGCTGAGGCAAAGATATAGATAGGGCGACGGCCATATTTACGGGCGAGAGGGAGCAGAAAAAAGCATCCGACAGCAAGACCACCGTAGTTGGTCGCTGTACCGGCATTGAGCTGGTCCACTGTGAAGCCAAGCTCTGTTTCCATCGGACCCCATGCGGTGAAACCTATGTCTAGCTCCACGAAGGTGAAGAGAACAAATATGCTGACTAGAGTGTAGTTGAGAGTCTTCCGTGCCTTGGACCAATTCAAAGGATCATCTGGGTCATCCGAAGGAGTAGGGAAGAGGACCACACTACTGCCGTGGACTACCCGTGGTCGTCAGTCATATACATGCACTTATCCAGAAGAGCTCTTACTATCTTCGAGGGTGACTGTGCCCGGAGCCCAGATGGACTCCTGCTCTCGCTGACAATTCGCCATACCAGATGTGATGTAAAAGCAAGCCAAATTCCTCGTTTGTGATGTAGCCACCGAAGCATGGGACACACAAGTCTTATCATTATATTCACATCCCGCATTATCCTACCCCTTGCGGGCGCCTTCCCATTGCAGCGACATTCGGAAACGAGGCTTATCGCACGGAAATGCAGCAGAGGGATCAGAGATAACAGCCCGTTGGAGTCATTGATGCGGGGTTGCCAAGCGGAGAAAAGCAAGTACCGATTATAGCTTAATATTTAGTTGTTATTTGGTGTTTCTTAGAATGCATCATGATAGTCCTATCACAGCATAGCATCTTGACATAAGGAACACTGAGTAACAGCGTGGAAGAAGCCGTCTGGCAAGGCGCAAGGAGCGATTCCGGCATTTGTCAAATGGTGATAATACCGATGAGACCCTGGGGTACAAGCAGACGGAAGGCCTTCATATGCAAGTTGCAGCATCTCAGACAGATAAAGAAAGTGCACGGACTGTTGGTCTTACTCGATAAAGAAAGTGCTGCCGATACATTGCTCGGAGGCCCGCATGACCATCCGACATGCAGATGCATGCATATAGGTGCATTATGGGTTATCGCTCATCAGTTCGCTGCGGTTGGAGCTTGGAATTTCAGAAGCTTTCACCTGTCGTACCAGATAGAACTGATAATCGATACAATAAACTATTCCTGGATTATCTTGTCACATCTGATATACGCTGTCCTGAGGCATTCTTCAGCTTTGAAAAGATGCGTGACAGGGCTATCAAGTTGGTCTGCAGTGGTGTCAGCACAGCTAAACAACATGGCTGTTGATCAAGAGCATACACTTTTGTTTCGCGAAATCTCCAACGATCACAACTTTTCGGTCCAGCTTTGCGTTAAGAGCTCAAGACGCGAGAGCTTAACATGGCTATTCAGCCTGATCGCTGACCTGTCATTGCTTCTCCACTGAACTACATATGATCGATGTGGATGGGAGGAGCATTAGTTTGGAAGAGATGATGGATCTTTCAGAACATCAATCTTTGGGTGATTTGCGCGATAAAAATCTTTGTCTAGCATCCATGTGAATCCCAGGCGACAGAGTTGTACCAGCAGCCGGCTGGGGGCTTCCGTTCTTCAACACTGCTATGGTTTAAGCGTTATAATCAGGCGAGGGATTGATGAAAGACGGAAGAAATTGTCTTGATAAAACCTCTCCATAACACCATCCCCGCAATCTAGTCCATGCCACCTTGATCGGGATTTGCACATCCACCTATCTCATCGGAGCGATTATATATTGGAGCTAGAAGACAAAAGGAAATGGGATGATACTCCGGTTCTTGCTCTGTGGAGAAGCCTCCTTGGCATGGTGATAGATAGACGATGGTCGATCCTCTGAGAGGAAATCGACAACGACGACAACACGCCTCATTTTACAGACATGACAGGTACAGCAGCAACATCATCATGTTTACCCGCATTGCATGTGTCTAAGAGTAAGTTGGGACGGGAAGAGAAAAGTGCAAAAAGAAAAAGAGAGTGCATCATCCGTGAATCGAACACGGGCCTCATCGATGGCAACGATGAATTCTACCACTAGACCAATGATGCTGAAGCTGCAAACCACTGCGTTATCTGATTCGCTGCTTGTATTTTTCGTGCCTTTATCGATACAAGAGATTACTTCGTTCAATATGTTGCGTACTTAAATTACAGCCTTATCTTGGTGTGGATGTAGTTAAAAGTATATCGCAGCCATAATAAATATTTTCTGTTGTTTTTCTACATCTTTATGATGTCTTGTTATGTCTTCTATCAGAAAGCATCATCCTGGTTCTCTTGATTCGAAATAATTTGCTAGGACATGACCATAAGCTAGTCACTATAGCTACCATAAGAATCATGATGAGACTTACCCCAAGACCAATGACAATCTTTAGTGCACCCGTGCGCAGGATGGTGCTCTATTAGCAGATAACATCGTTCATGACTCTCGTACATAATTGCGATGGAGATATTTACTCACCTATGTCTTTTAAGGCTACAAAGTATATCACATTGAATCTCTCCTTCCAAATTCACAAAAAAAAATACCAAACTCCCCAATATAACCAGGCACATAAGCACACAGCGGCATCAAGCATTCATTATAAATCAACCACGAGTAACCACAACAATACACCAATCAGCTCATCCCAGAACTCCTCGTCATACTGAGTGAGTATGATGGTCACCAACCAACACTACATATAAATACCGTTTATAATCACCAAAACTAAATAGCAGTAATCAGAAACCATCAACCACCCCTATCATCTCTCGTAAATCCATCTTCATCCAACTTCTCATCTTTCCCATTCCAGCTAACTTTACTCAGCACCCATCTCATCTTAAGAAACAATGTCTAACACCACCACCAACCAAACCCTCCTCGCAGCCAAATCCTGGCTCCAGGATTATCACTCCTTAGGCGACCAACTCACACCCGAACTCGCCGTTCCCAAATTCTATGCTCCAGACTGCGAGATGAGATTCCCAGGCCACTCTCCGATCAAGGGCCAGGAAGCAATCATCAACTTCTTCAAAGAGCAGTCCACGATCCTGGAGAGCATGAAGCATACTATTGGTCATGTGGACGTTCTTCCTGATCGCATCTATCAGGAGGCGACTATTGAGTACGTTTTGAAGGGTGATGATGAGAAGAAGGTGGTTAGTGTTCAGGGTATAGCAATCTTTGGGAAGGGGGTGGATGACGATAAGATGAGGTTTTTCACGGTGTATCTGGATAGGAGTCCTTTGGTGGAGAGGGTTAGGGTTATTAGTGCTAAGGGTGGTGGTGAGGGGCAGTGAGATCGGATAGTATAGACATGTTTCGCAAGTGATTGATGTGGCAATGGACTGTGACTTGAGCTGACTATGTGAAACGTCCTAGACTCTCGGGTATCTGGTGTGAGTTCCGCATCGAAATGATTGTTGTATTTATGAAACATATTCTCAGAGTAGATGATGCTAGTAGGCATACACATCTTAATGAACAGCAATGCATTAAATCATAAAGGTCATTCAAACAGAGGTACGGCGATGTCCTCACTGACGTCCTGTTTCGGCCAAAAACTTCTCATACCGAGGCTTACATTTCCGCCGCCAATCCTTACCCCAGATAATCATCGGAGCACCCGCAGCCATCGAAAGGACAACCATGATACCATAGAAGGTAAAGGTCCAGCCGTAGTTGGTGCCGTCGATGAAATCCTGCACCGTAAAGGAGATGACAAAGTTGATTATCGATGAGCAGCATGCCAGTACAATGACGAGCTCACCAGAGATCTGGACGGAGAGCATTAGCCACCTAGTACAAGATTGTGGATGTAAAAGGCTTACCTGTTCGAAGCACTCCATTGCGTATGCGGTTGCGATACTGGTGGCGGATACCTGCTGAGCAATCATGCAGCACAAGCCAACTGCAATGGACATCCAGTGAAGCCCCTCGGTAGCACCCCAGCCGTAGACGAAATAGCCAACCGCAGCAAGTACAAGGGGGATAGAATACGTCCATAAACGCATCTCGGGTTCCTTATAACCCTTGTTCCGACGTGCCAAAAAGACGACAACCCAATCGGACAGTGATCCAATACCCATGCTGTCACAAGATTAGCATTTTTCATGAAACTAGTGATAGGATACATCATACCCAAGAAAGTTACCAACCAGTGCTGCCAAGAAGATTAGGCCAGCAGAACCGGCACTCCAGTTATATGGTGCCTCCGTCATGATCTCAGAGATGGTATTAAACGAGACAATACCTGCAGTGCAGCCAAATGCAAATTGAATACCGGCTAGAAGAATATTGGGAAACGCGAAAAGAAAGAAGGGACGGCGAAAGTACTGGTACCAAGTTGTGTTGTCGTCTTTGAAGTAGTGGACCGGAGACATCTTTTGGAGGTAGGTTCGCGGAGGCATGTCCATCTCCCCGACAGTGCGACTTTCCACGATGGACATCGGCGGTTCAACCTTGGAATCTTTTCCCTCCGTGGTTGGGGTGTCAGATGGGGTGCGAGCTGTCTCGTTTTCGGCCTTGGTGGTTCGCTGAGGTGTCTCACCCGAAAAGCGATACCTCGGGAACATCGTGTCATCAAAAGTAAAGATGAAGAGAAGAATCAAGACAGCCTGTTAAAAGTTAGCTGTCTGACTATAGCAGACTAATCTGGGTACAAGGACACTGACGCATGCTATAGACACGATGGGCATACTCCATCTCCAGCCAATGCCGTCAGAAATGTAACCGCCACAGATCAGCCCGATAATAGATCCAAGCTGTTGAAAGAAAATATAGATGGACAGCATTCGGCCACGCTCATGAGTGAAAAACACGTCGAAAATCTAAGATGTGTTAGCATACCGAAGTGAGCATTTCAGAAACGTAGCATACAGTCAGCTGGATCAGAGCTTGATAGGCCGCAGTTCCGATCCCGTTGACCACCATCATAATGTAGTATTGCGAAACACCCTGATAGAAGCCACCCCAGATACCACTTCCAAGGACGAACAGCAGACTAAGTATGTAGACAATTTTGCGTCCAAATCTCATGGCCGTGGGGATCCAGATAATGTTGAAGAAACCCAACATAAGATAATTTAGAGCGGAGCCACCGTTCATATTGTTCAGGCTCACACCAGTATCATCAGATATAGTTGTCCATGCTGCACCCCAGTTGTTCTCCCCAAAGGAGTTAACGCATGCATACATGGAGATCAGGAAGAGGGTCCAGTATTTCTTGTAAAGAGGCCAATTCTAAATTGGGTCAGCACGAACTAAGTGGCATAGGTTCCCTTCATCTGCTACCCACCAGAGGATCAGCTGAAAAGGATGTAGGCTGAGGGATAAGAAGGACATCTTGTGTCCTAGCATGAGCTACATCTCTCAAACTCCCCGTTGCTGAGTTCGACGTCAGTAGTGATTAAATGCAGCTTATAGAAAGAGCCTACCATCAACCAGGTACACCGTTCCTGGAACATCTGTATCTATAGCATCAGAGCGAGCCATTTTGACCGTGTGAGTTGATATGAAACTAGGGAGGCAGCCATGAGGGGGTTGAAGCGTCTTTTTAAGGCTGATGAGGACTACTAGCGGTCACAACCATACTAGACCTGCATACGAGCCCGTCGAAGTATATAGAGCCCTTAAAGGTCCCTTTTTGGCGTCCGATTGGATGGTCATCCCGAGCGTATCTGTATGGCCAAGCTCGATAACAGGGGATGATCATTTGCCTCCTCTCGTCTGCCATTGCTCTCGCGGAAAGCCAGCGGCAAAAGAATCAGAACCGGCTGAATGGAGCATACCCGAGGTGATAAGGTAGGGGTGGAGACGGAGAGACACGAGAAGTATTGCGAAGATAGTCATTCTCAGATAAGTTGAGTCATGGAGGAAGCTCCAAACGAAAGGTTATCTGGGCGGTTGATATTGATTAAGCCTGCCGAGGCGGAGGAAAATGCGGAGAAGCTGCATGATTTCGCCGGTTTGACATGGCTCGAAGTCGGTATCATCCGCACGCGAGTGGATCATTGATGTAGGCGAGCTTGATAGCGTCCTCGGAAAAATCCCGGACGATCATTGACGCGATTATCTCCAGGCATCTGGGGGTCATGAATGGATGATGCACGAGAAGACCGAGTGATACGGAGACCCCAAGGAAGGTCCAACCGGGACGCTAATCTAGATCGGGAACCCCGGCACGGACACTATTTTGTGGCCTGGTTTGAGTTGCTTCCATCTTCAGCGGGACTATGGACTCCGGATAAGGCCCAGCCAGGTCCCCAATGTGCCCAATGCTGGCAGTTAGTTGGCACTCAGTGGATACCATCTGATGTAAGGGCGCCGTTGAAATACGGCCTCGTTGCCCGTCCACCTCAAACCTCCAAATCACTGCAAGAATAAGTTAAAGACAAATTACAATAACAGTCAGTATGGCACCCTCCACGGTAACCCATGATTCTACCATCCTCGTGGTGGGAGCGGGTGTATGGGGTTGTTCTACTGCTTTGCATTTGGCTCGTCGCGGATATAAGCATGTCACGGTTCTAGACCCCTACACGGTCCCATCCGCAATCGCAGCCGGCAATGATATCAACAAGATCATGGAACACAAGGAGCCCAAAGGTATGTCTGCACCGTTCAGCCAATGACCATCTTCCAACGCTAACAACTCCAACAGCAGGCGAAGAAAGTCCACGCAGCATTGCGTTCGCGACGTGCACTCGTGCCGCTCTGAAAGCGTGGCGGACGGATCCTGTTTTCAAGCAGTACTTTCATGAGACCGGTGTCATAGTATCCGGTCATACCCCGGCACTCATTGAGCACATCCGCAAAGACGAAATCGAGTCATCTGATGCAGACTTTGTCGAATTGAAGACAGCAGAAGACTTCCGAAAGACAATGCCTCCAGGTGTTCTCACTGGTGAGTTTCCTGGCTGGAAGGGCTGGTTGAACAAGTCGGGTGCCGGCTGGATTCATGCCAAGAAAGCCATGATCTCTGCGTACACTGAAGCCAAGCGTCTTGGGGTCAACTTCATCACTGGATCTCCCCAGGGGAACGTTGTATCACTAGTATACGAGAATGGAGATGTGGTTGGAGCTAAAACGTCCGATGGGGTCATTCATCGAGCAGACCAAACCATTTTGGCAGCCGGTGCGGGAAGTGACCGTCTCCTGGATTTCAAGAAACAGCTGCGTCCTACTGCCTGGACGCTCTCTCATATTCAGATGACCCCTGAGGAGGCCAAGCAGTACAAGGATTTACCCGTGCTTTTCAATATTGCGAAGGGGTTCTTCATGGAGCCTGATGAGGATAAGCACGAACTGAAGATCTGTGACGAGCATCCTGGATACTGTAACTTTATTCCAGACCCTGCAAGATCCGGCGAGATCAGAAGCATCCCATTTGCGAAGCATCAAATTCCCCTGGAGGCCGAAGCTCGCGTTAAGGACTTCCTGCGGGATACAATGCCACACTTGGCCGACCGTCCGCTGGTATTTGCCCGTATCTGCTGGGATGCTGACACGGTAGATCGCGCCTTTTTGATCGATAAACATCCTGACCACCCTTCACTGCTGGTCGCCGTGGGAGCTTCTGGGAACGGGGCTATGCAGATGCCCACTATTGGAGGGTTCATTGTGGATGCACTGGAGGGTCACCTACAAGATGAGCTAAAACATGTCGTTCGGTGGAGGCCAGAAACAGCGGTCGACAGAGACTGGAAGTCGACACAGAACCGTTTCGGAGGACCAGATGCGGTTATGGACTTCCAGACGGTTGGCGAAACTGAATGGACCAAGATCAAGAGCCGGCTATAGATGAGCGGTCATGTATGAGAGCGAAATGCAAATAGTGATATTGCCATGAAATATCAGCTTATGATTATACCTTCCATAACTACTTCTCTCCCTCGAAAATTATTGTATTTTCTGATAGCTTGCTACTTAGATTGTATTTCAAAGTACCATAGGCTGTCATGCTGTTAATAATGTTGTTTGTTGTTGTCCAATCGCCCACACATGATAGCTGCCTTGCGCTAGTTTAGCTGGACTGCCTTGATGATCTAGAGAATACTGAGTACCTTGCAGTTGTACTATTATAGTTGCTGCAGTATGCCTGTAGATGCATGTGAGAATTACAAGCTCGGACTCCCAAATACTGCAGTACAGCACAGGCAGGTGGCAGAGATTCGGCCCATAAAACGAATGGGAACCTGGCTTCTTCATGCAAGTCCAAAACAAGACTATAGCTTGTAGCTGGCCAAGCACCAACCTTAGAACCAAGGGGCCGGACCTCTGATCTCATGTGTTTCACAAAGCTAGTACACGGCGCCGCAGTCATTGACGCCTACAATAGCGACATTGATTCAGCTCGTCCATACAACAAATAACCTGAAGCCGAGCAGGAACATATTTATGGAATGACCTGCGAAGTGGGAGTAAAGTAATAGCTTTAATTTTCATGCTCGGTGGTATAGATGCTTCGACGAGGCGAACTTCGAGCGATCCTGTAAGTTTCATCTCAATAAAGGGCTCAAGATCCCATAAGACAGGATCCTTGCAATAGTAAGGAATCAGCCCCATGGTTAGGCAGAACCATATCATATTATATCATATTAAACCTGGATCATATACGCATCAGCATCACTCCGATAGGATGATTTGTTAATAACCAGTGGCTGTTAACTGGGTTGAGCAATTTCCTGCGAATGATCACTGGACAGTCTGCATCATCGCTTCCAACGCAGTGTATGGGAGCGATGCTTTGCAATTGAGTGCCAGATAGTATTCTAACGACAACGTATTGCGTGGCTGTAAATTGCAGCGTGAATAAATTCCTTGTATACTATTGTTTGTCTTAAGGCAATGGAGGCAGGGAACGGGAGAAGCCGTCCTGATCATGGCGTTGCCCCAGACTGACAGGCCGGTGCTCCACTGGAGATGAACGGATGGTAGATCCTAGATCTCTCTATTTCAATTCCCAAAAATAAGCGCCGGCTGGTGACAAGAAGCTTGGGGGTTAGTGAGAGGGAACGGTCGACATTCCGCGGAAGGAAGCGGCCGGGCACCGGGGAAGAAGATGCGATGGAAGCTTCTTGAAGCATCGCAGCCAAAGGCTGGTCCAGCCCACTTCCTCTCCTCTTTACCTCGTTCAACTCCGCACCTTAGCTCTTCCTCTTCCCTCAACCTCTCTCATTTGTCCCATCCCTGTTTCTACAGCTTCTCCCTTCGTGTAACCTTCTTCTCTACCTTCCTCTTTACCCATCAACTCCTTCCAACCGCCATAATGGCCGAGTCTCAGCGTACGTTCGATTCTTCGAAAGCGGGGGAAGCAGCCTCAACAGCAGATTACTGATTGCGCTTAACTCACAGGCCGCCCCCGTGTTTTCTTCGACATCCAGATCGGTAAACAGCAGACCGGTCGCATTGCTCTTGAACTGGTATGTCTACTTCCTACCTGTCCAACATTTGCCTGTTGTGCTTGATCCAGTCTCGCTAACTACCCCGCCTATGCAGTTCAACGATGGTACCGTGCAGACTCTCCCGTAGAGGAATTACGCGCATATTCCTAACCATGGGCAAATAGTCGTTCCCAAGACCGCGGAGAATTTCCGGGCTCTGTGCACTGGCGAAAAGGGCATGGGCAAGCAGGGCAAGCCATTGCACTTCAAAGGTACGGCGATCCAATCCGGCAGCTTCAATTTTTCCTTCCCCTCCCCCGCTCCGGCGGGGCCGTGTACACGAAAACTACACGAAAACACCAGAACATCGCTAAACTGCAGTCTCTGAATAGGCTCCATTTTCCACCGTGTCATCAAGCAGTTCATGATCCAGGGTGGTGACTTCACCGCGTTCAACGGCACGGGCGGCGAGTCGATCTATGGAGAGAAATTCCCCGACGAGAACTTCGACCTTAAGCATGACCGCCCCTTCCTTCTCTCCATGGCCAACTCCGGCCCCGGCACCAACGGCAGTCAGTTCTTCATCACAACCGTGCCCACCCCCCACCTGGATGGCAAGCACGTTGTCTTCGGTGAGGTGATCAACGGCAAGAGCGTTGTCCGCAAGGTCGAGAATATGTCTACCCAGGCCGACAAGCCCACCACCGATGTCACTATCGTCGACTGCGGAGAGCTCACCGGTGACGAGTACGAAAACGCTGATAAGCAGATCCCCGATGCGACTGGCGATCCTTATGAGGACTTCCCCGATGACCACCAGGGCGAGGAGCTGAGCGCACCTGTCTGCTTTAAGATCGCTTCTGAGCTCAAGAACTTCGGCAACACCGCTTTCAAGAGCGGAAACCTGACCCTCGGTCTCGAGAAGTACCAGAAGGGTTTGCGTTATCTCAACGAGTTCCCTGAGCCCGATGAGCAGGACCCCAAGGATCTGGACCCCCAGATGAAGGCCCTCCGCTTCACTCTGCACTCGAACTCATCTCTGCTTGCTAACAAGCTTGGTCAGTTCAAGAACGGCCAGACCTGGGCTACCTATGCTCTCGAAACGGCTGCTGCTGCGAACGCCAAGGATGCCGACAAGGCCAAGGCTTACTACCGCCGCGCGGTGGCCTACAGCGGTCTGAAGGAGGAGGACGAGGCTCTCAAGGATCTCCAGGAGGCCTCTCAGCTGGCTCCTGGTGATGCTGGCATTACCAACGAGATTGCCCGGGTCAAGAAGGCCGTCAAGGACCGCCAGGCTCGCGAGAGGGCTACCGCTCAGAAGTTCTTCTCGTGAAGAGACCAACGTCATGATTCATGATTGCATGATTTAATTTTCCCATTTCTTAAATTCCCGGCCTTGGGTGAAAAGTGAGAACTGAGTCTAATCTCTCTTACAACCATTGCATTGGATTGGTGCACAATAGGAATTTTTCAAAGACCTTTACTCATCCTCAGCGGTTATGCAACGACGTACGGGCTTTGCGCTTCGATTCGAGGTGGCTTCTAGCGTCCACTAGGCTATGCGGTTCAGCAGACCAGAGCACTCTGTACAATAGAAAAGGAATCGAGTCACGTAGGTATGGTAGCGTTATGCGCTGCGAAACCAGGTCGATGAACGTATCGTTGAATCTATCTGGACATTTGTAGGCTTCTTCCGGTCTGTGGTTATGACACATGACCTGGTCATCTGTACTATATGGGGTCTAAAAGCAATTAAGTAAATCCTCGCCTGCCAAAAGTTGGACCAATCGCATCTTTGCAGGTGATACCCCCAGAGCCTACGAAGACCGTGTCGGGAAAAAGCATAGATTATACTCCAAATACTTCTACAAGTGGTACGAAGTAGATGCTCTACATAGCAGAATTTAACCGGTTACATAGCACACCCGTCTATGCCTCGCATCTATTGATTGGTATCACATGGTATATACAATTTGACTTGAAGGAGGTAGGTCCGTCCGTCGTCATAGCCACAATTATCTTGTTCCAACCCCAGGAAAATCAACATATATTCATCCATTCATTCATCGATCACTGTATTTCACTCCATCAACTCCGCCGGCAACTTGAACTCGAACGTCTGCGGCTTCCCATCGTCTTTACCCGGCGGTTGTTCCTTTTTCTCCTTCTTCGGTAATTGCGTATTGATCTCGATCGTAACCTGACAATAAACATAGAAACGGTTAGCATATATTAAAAGACTTGAAGGATGTGGCAGGAAGAGGAGAAGGCAAGAGCTTTACCACCGCATCTTCACTGCGGTAATCTACACCCACCGGCCCGTCGTTCTTCAATTCGACCTCCATCATCGCCTGGAAGACCCCGTTCTTCACCCGTTCGGGCTTGTACGAGTCGCTCAACCGCTGAATGAAATAATCATACAGTTTGCGCGCGGTCTCCGCGTCGGCGGCTTCATGGAAGTCAGGCTTGTTGCCCTTTTTCAAATGGCCGTAGAGTGTAAATTGGGATACTGGATAGTTCGTTCATGTTAGTGGGTGGGTTCTTGGTTTGGAGGGTTTGGTGGGGTTGCGCATACCGCAGAGGATCTCTCCATTTATGTCCTGCACGTTCTTCTTCCACTGGTGGTTGAGTGACGTAGTTAGATATAGTTGATTGTGATTGCGGGGAAGGGTTTTGGTTGTATGTTTCATGGTATGCGTACCGATTTATCGTCCTCGTCGGGCCACAGCTTGGCCTTTAATACCCGCCCGATCATTGAGTCGGCATCCTTCTCAGTATCTTCCTTCCCCACGCCGGCGAGGACAAGGATGCCTTGTCCGATCGAGGAGATTAGGTGGCCATCCACGGTGACCGAGGCGGACTTGACTCGTTGTAGGACGGCTGAGGCGACGCATATTAGTTATTGGCTATTAGGTCCGGGGGAAATTGCATTGCGCGCACCTTTCATGGTGAATGTGATGAGACGAATGAAGGTCAGATGGGTAAGGCAGCGTTCGCTGAAGAAGCAGGACTTTGAAGACCGTCGAAAATGTTGTTGCGCTTTCTATGAAATGGGAAAGTCAGTCACTTGATGATCAGCGGACGGACCAAATGCGGCGGGATACTGAAAACGGGAAGCACACAGACCTAATAATCTCAGGACATTAGCGGAACCGGAGGCAGATGTAAATCATCCTGTAAGGGCTAGATCATTAGCATAATCAAACAGATCCACAGTAACATGAGCAACTGTGCGAAATGGCTGGATCTCGATCCTGGTTTCGCCTCCGGCGTAGGTAGAGACGGGCATGAATGTGAGTGCTTGTGAGCGCTTGTGACCGCCTACCCTTTTAGGCCTCTATCCCAGCTTCTGGACGACCAGACAAAGTATCAGGAGATTCACTCATCTGAAGAGCTTCGCAAATACAGACACGCTCGCGCGCGTTTGGTGTTGAGAGTTGCATCGCGACGCGTTCTCATAGTGTTCTTCTTTTCTTTACATACGCACTCATCTCCCTCTGTTTCATTCCTCCTACCCCCTCCCGCATCCTCCTGCTACCATTATCCTGACCAGCCTTCGAGATTTACCGACCTGTGCATGGTAAATCGCAGCAATGACGTCCCGGAAGACGCAGCAGGAGATTGACAAGACCTTCAAGAAGGTCGCTGAAGGCATTCAAACATTCGAGGGTATCTATGAGAAGATCCGGTCAACATCAAATATCACGCAACGGGATAAGCTCGAGGAGAACCTGAAACGGGAGATCAAGAAGTTACAACGATATCGTGACCAAATCAAGTCATGGGCATCAGGAAACGAGGTCAAGGATAAGGGGCCGCTGCTAGAGCAGCGCAGGGCCATTGAGACTGTGGGCTTATCCGATCCCTGTTGAAGCGCTTACTCAATGAGGAGCTGCTGCTAACTTGTGTTGTCTGATAGTGCATGGAACAGTTCAAGGCAGTAGAGAAGGAGATGAAGACAAAGGCATATTCGAAAGAAGGGTTGTCGGCTGCATCGAGATTAGATCCTAAAGAGAAGGAGAAGGTCGAGACTTGCGACTTCCTATCGAATATGGTGGACGAGCTGCAACAGAAGATCGAGGCCTTCGAAGCGGAAGAGGAAACGCTTCACATGCAAATGAAGAAGGGCAAGAAGGACGTGGCCAAGACGAATCGCCTATCAGACCTTTCACGCTTAACAGAACGCCATAAGTGGCATGTCAACAAGTTGGAACTGTTGCTACGGTCGCTGCAGAACGGCAACCTCGAAGTTGCTCAGGTGCTGGATATCAAGGAAAGCATTAAGTACTATGTGGAGGATGGGCACAACATTGACTACTCTGGTGAGGATGAAACCTTGTACGACGACCTGAACCTGGACAACGAGGCAGAGGTGCAGTTCGGCATGACAGGGGACAACGATAAAGTATCCTCGCAAGACACCCAGTCGATCCAAGACGAGGAGCCGGAAATCAAGCCCAAGGTCAACAAGGGTGAGAGCGCAGGATTACGAAGGCCATCTGCACAGATGAAGTCCCCTCTACCTGTGTTAGCAACACTTCATCCGTCGACCTCCACGACTGCCGCCTCAGGCATGAAACCCGCACCACCGCCTACCCGCCTCCCCGGAGAAACACTCAAGTACGCGTCCGCTGCCGCTGCAGCTGCTGCAAGTGACAAGAACGGGGTGGGCATTGCACCACTTCCGCCACCTCCAGGCGCAAGCCCCGCTTTCCCGCACGCTGTGCCTGCAAACAAAGCTTCAGCCACTGCCTCGCCGAGCGTTGCATCGGTACAACCTACTACATCCAAGGCCGCGCCGGTTCTCACGATAGCGGCGGAGGACATCACCGGTGCACGATCAAAAACACCTTCTGTCAGCCCCAACGTGGCTGCTGCGAGCACATCGTCACATACAATGGATAAAGTTGAGGCCCCAGCAGCTGCCAAGGAGCAACCTGCGACGAACGGTGAGGCGACGAGTAAGCCAGAGGAGCAGGAGCCGGAGCAGGAGAGCGAGGAATCGATCTTCCACCTGCCTCCCGGCCTGCAGGATCTTATTCAGTCGTTCGAGGTCACGAGGTCCCGGGCGTCAGCAAGCGCAGCCAACGCCTCCCCGTCAGTGCAGCGCATGCTTGCAACATCCCTCGCGAACTGCCCGGAGCCTGCCGATGCGGAGAAGCCTCGTCATTACAAGCCTCAAAACCCTTACAATACGCCTTTATACTATCCTCAGGAACCGCTCTCCATCTTCGATGATCCGCGCTTGTACGAGACCGGGCGCATCGACACGGATACACTGTTCTACCTGTTCTACTACCGACAAGGCAGTTACCAACAGTATCTCGCGGCCAAGGCGTTGAAGAACCAGAGCTGGCGCTTCCACAAACAGTATCAAACCTGGTTCCAACGTCACGAGGAGCCGAAGACGATCACGGAGGAGTTTGAGCAGGGCACATATCGCTTCTTCGATTATGAGAGTACATGGTAAGTAACCCACTCGGAAATCCCGAAGACCCGCAGAACCCAGCTAACAATCCTTGCAGGATGAACCGTCGCAAGGCTGACTTCAAGTTCGTCTACAAATACTTGGAAGATGAACTGTAATCGAATTGATACGCAAACATGAGAGGTCTCTGTACATGGCTGGGTTCGATGAAGATAAGTGGAAAAGTGCCTCGGTCGGTTGGGTTTGGCTTTATTAGCAAGGATGCACGGAAATATGGGAGTTCAGTTTAATCAATGTGTCTATGCAATTGGTATTGTGTTGCCATCTGTTTAACGATCTGTTGTTTCATCCAAGTCTTCGGGGGAGCATGCAGGGACGAGTCTACGAGACACGGGAGTTCTGTGCTGTTCTTACATGGTGGCTTATGGGATGCAGCCATGACTTTAGGTAGTGATGCTTGTTGTTACCGTACATTGACCATTTGAGATGGAATCTTCAAGTTCATAGTACTTGACCAAACCTGATTTGATTTGTGTCTGTTGATCGGTAAAGTCGGCAAGGGAATCCCTGTCAAAAGTGAGCGGTGCATGCTTGCAGAACGCCGAGAGAGATAGACTAACTAGCACTCCCTCCCGTACTCAGGGATACCTAGACAAAGAAGATAGGAACAAGCACTAAGTTCTTAGAGGGGTGGGATGATAATCTGTGGCTGGAAGATGATGAACACATCCAACCAATAGTGAAGCCAAGGAAAAAGGAAAACACTAAATAGATCGGTATTGTGTAGTACAAAAGTACGAACTTAATAACTCATTCCCCTTTTGAAGTCTTGAGCAGGAAAGGGCAAAACCTCGGCAGTGATCAATCAATCACCTCTCCGATAGCTTTTCCCCGTGACGCACTTTGACAGACTTAGTACGGAATAATGTCCTCCGTCCGAGGCTCTGTGGAATGCCCGACAACTGGATGAATTGTCGCGATCCACATGGCACAAAGTAGTAGGAAAAATAGTGGTGTTGGCATCTTCACCAAGTGGTGAGAGTGTGGGTTATGCATGTCTTACCGCCTGCTGTAAGTGGAAGGTTATGGTAGTGCTATCCTTGGCGACCCAGCCTCCGGGACAATGACTTTTGCCGGTCTCAGAATTGCTTCAGTTTACATTTCAGTGCTCTGTCGTGGTTTCACTATGTTCTCAATAAACCTGATTTAAGTAGAATGATTCAAGTGCACGGTGAACAATAGTGGAGTATCTAATTATACTGTGGTAGTCGTTGAAGCCAGACCTCAGGCAGCATTCGTCGCATTCGTAGCAGGCGGTGAACAGAGACCCAAGCTAAGCCACTTTCGGGTGTTGTGATTGTCAGTCAGTTGTACAAGAATAGATTGTCCCATCGCGATGGTGAAGCAAATGAGAGATTATTAGGAGAATATCGCGCATTCGCCTCACTTGTTAAACCTTCTGACATATTAATCACTCACGGGAAGGATTGAAGCAATTCATTAGCACCGATGTGAGGCATTTTACACTTGCATTGATGAGCTTCATCCTGCCCGCTATCTATGGTACTAACTTGGCCGGGGGCATGGTCATCATCAACCTTCACCCCGGTCGCAAGGGGGGGCTGTGCGATAATATTATCCCCCATCCCCAAGGTTGTCGTCGTCATAGGGAGCCAGAAGTGTACCAGTCCCTGCTGTTTTCCCCAGACAGACGCCGCTTGGCACCAACCACAAGGCTGTGAATCGCGCACTTGGCGGGTAGAAATGTGTGGGAAGCGTTGACGAAACGCCCGGAAAGCCCGTGCCGATTTGCTCCATCTCCTCGGTCGGTCGGGAGAAATAGCGAAATTCCCGTCCAGCAGGAACAGGCTGCACAGTGCACCACCACCAGGGTCAAGCCATCCACTCAGGTTGATGGGAATTTCAGCAAGGAGTGACACTTCCGTCAGATCTGCCTTTCTTCTCCCCCAGAGCCCCAAGTTCTTCATTCACAAGGTTCTCGTGACAAGACTCGTGGTTCGTCCGTACTTTTTGTTTTGTGGAGGAGCCGCTCTCTCCGCGACCGTGGTTTGCGAGCGATCAATCATAATGATCAATTGCAGGAGAAGAATAGGATCAGATCTTCTTACGTTTACTACATTTATTATCGGAGCCTTCCGATGAACGGTCCGCGTGCCTTTCATTCAACGAATGGCCATGTCGGACCACAACAAGGCGAATAGACGGACGTGTTTCCGACTAGGAGATTGGCGTCTTGGGACGGGGAGAACAGAAAAAAAAAAAAAAAAAAGCACATCCACATCGGTCATGGTCATCATCATCATCATCATCATCGTCAGTCCGTCCCAGAAAATCTTTCTAGGCCAAAAAAGCCAGCAGTTCCAGCACGGCCGACGGGCTCCACCGACTCTTTGTCGTTGTGGGGGATCGCACCCTATGACGATATTGCGGTCTCGCTGTCGTGTCACCGCAGACCCTCGTTCCGGTCCTTTTCCTTCTTCAGCAGGCCACACAGGCAGTCCGTCTTCCTTGTCTGGCTCGTCTGGCTCCTCTCTCGGCCCGGAGTGGACACCATCGCTGGTTATTTTCCGTCCCAAGGCTCGGTCTCTTCCAATCAGAGCCATGGAAGGCCTCTGGAAGCCTGGAAGAAGTTTCGAATGCTTCTTCGGCGTTTCTAGCGTCAGCACTAGCCAGGATTGCTTCACTTTCGTGGCTCATCTTAGCCAATGAACGCCCAGAGCCGGGGGGGCTGTGTGTTGGCTGCGATTCCTCCTGCATTCCCGGCCTCCCCCATCCAATCTGCGCGGACTCCTAGTGGAAGATCATAGGAGCGGGCTCACCTGATGATGTCGCCGTGGGTGCGTTCGTGTTGCTTAGCACCGTCTGGCTTTGGCGGTTTTGGGCTCCATGGTGGAGACCACCGTCCTGGCCTAATGCAAGTGCGACGTATTCCGTAGGTCGACCTGGATCAAAGAATTGAAGAAAAATGTGGTTATAAAAACCCGGGGCCCAGTCACGATGGCCAGGCAAGTCTTCCATTTTTCTTCCAGAACAATTCGGCCATTGAGCTGCTGGTCCTGTCCCTCCTTCCAATTGATTTCCCCCCTCATCCCACACTACATCATGTTTGCCTCCACTGCAATGGTATGTTTTCCCCGATCATCAGGGTCTCGATCCGTCTCCACTCTTCCCTCCTCTCCTCACCTCTCTCGTTCGCTCCCTCGCGCGTCAACTCCCAACTGACCTTTCCGCCGCAGCACCACAACATTCCATCATGCCCTCCTCTAGAACAAAGATCCTATTCGGAAAGCAGTGATGACTCCATGCAATCGGCTTTCGGATATTTCGATAACACCATGTACACCATGGCGGCGACCGATCTGCCCATGACCCAACCCTCTTTCGAACCATCCTCCTACGAATCCACCTCCTTCACCTCATCCGTCAATTCCTCCCCTTTCAACGCCTACTACAACTTCACTCCGTCTCTTATGTACTCGCCGGAAGCATACACTTTTCTTCAAACACAAACACCTCCAGTGCCTGTATCGGGCGGGGAATGGATTGCGCCGCAATCCACCACTCCCAGCACCGAGGTCGTATACTCTCCGGAAGAGACTTGCGACGCATTAGACAACTCTAGGTATGGTTTCCGCCATAACAGAAAAATTTCCGACCGTAATCTAATCGACCTGTCTAGACCCGTCAAACCCTTCTCGTGCCGCGACTGCGGCAAGGCGTTCACACGTCCCGCCGACCTGAAACGGCATCACACCAGTGTCCACAACCCCGTGTTTCAGGACTGCCCGGTACAAGAATGCCTGCGCAAGGATGGCAATGGGTTTCCGCGTCGCGACCATCTGATTGAACATCTGCGCTCGTTTCACCACTGGGACGTCCCTAAGCGTCGGACGACCAAGCGATCGCGAACTGATTAGTGTCATGATGCTTTTACCTTGCCTTATACCCTTTGCGTCATGATGCTGTTGAATATACCCTTCTGTTTGTTGCCGGGTGTTCACCCATGGCACTTTACGTCCGTCTATGTCCGCTATGCTTCTCATGTCTATGCTTATGCTTATGCTTCTTCATGTTGTCGATGACCCACGGACGGTATGGCGTTCCGGACTTCATTATTATTCATTTTCCTTTTGGCATATACCATTTCATTTGGTTTCTTATACACATAGACATTGTGTACCAGTCACAAGTTTATTAATACATTACCTTCAACATGTCACAACATGCAACATCTGTCTATTCGGGAGGAACATGCTAGTTTCCGCAACGGCAATGTCAACGAAGCCAGTGTAATTTTCGCCACGCCCGTGCTGCAGGTAATCGCATCGGGTAGTGGAACAGTGAGATGTAGCTAACTCAAACATATCGGCATATAACTGTCCTTGTCCCGCAGTAGAATCCCCACCTCAGCCTGTGGCACACTGACACTCCCCTGGCAATTATGGATGAAACGCATATCCCGTCTTTCAACCCACCAAAATGGTGAACCGACAAAGTAATCCTGCAACTGTGCTAACTGACACTGGAGTTATTTTTATTATGGTTATTGGTGTGACACCAGAGGCAACGTTTGTGCGCCATCGCAGTAAGTCTGGACTGGGCCTAACAGCAATGCATCGCATCAGATTCTATCCCGCTGCCATCCCGGTGAGCGTTGCAATTCCAACATGTGCAAACGCATAAAGAATCATGAATGAGACGAATCATAGAATGGCTGGCTTTCTCCAAACCATGGAAGCATGCAGTGCCACACCAGTCAGGAATGGAGGCAGTCATGTGCACGGAACCACCCGATTCGTCAATTCGAGTACAACGTTGCGGAGTCAAGTTCCAGACCAACTCTCGCTCTGCGATTCTGCATATAAAGAACGTTTGACAGTAGCATCAAACGCTTGTGCCACCTTGTACTTTGCATCCATCTAGTACTACTACCCCCCAGACCTCAAACCACTTTGTCCTTGTTTGAGTGATCAGTTACCGTAAGTATAAAAATAGCTACCCACAATCAAAGAATATTAAACTAACCCAACAAAAACAGTAACTTGTACCCCTTCATCACCGAACTTTGTTCCCTATCAAGTGAACTTTCGGACACAAAACAAAGAAGAACGGGTACCTAGTCCGGTTATCTCATCTCATCTCATCTCATCATCCCGCCATCACCCAACATCTGCATCCGATAAGGATCACAAACAAACGGGAGAGGACAAAGAAAGTCATCACATCCCACACCAACACAACATATTTTGTGCTCCGTACCTTATCCATCCTTCAACGGTCGAACATCAAACAAACAAAGAAACCAACATCCTTGCCCCTGTCCACTATCTAAATATAACATCCTCACACAAACAACGGCAGTTATCACCATTCATTCATACAGTCCGCCAAATACTACATACCAACAGCGAACTGAACCTGTAACCATGGCTTTACCCCAAGTGCAACACCAACCACAAGAACAACAGCAGAAACCTACTCCACAACCAATAGCAACGACAACAACAACAACCACAACGGCAGACACGAAAACAAAAATGATCAAGAAAATAACCACACACCCCACCCTCCCCTCACACCGCCGTGAAATCTACCTTGCTTTGCTATCCGTCCCCGCAGGCCGCTGGACCACCTACGCTGCGCTTGCCAAGCACATTGGTACCAGTCCACGAGCAGTCGGCGCTGCGATGCGTCTGAACCCGTTTGCACCGGAGGTACCTTGTCATCGGGTGCTAGGGGGTAACGGGAAGCTGTTGGTAGGGTACTCGGGTGCTGAGGCATCGGGAGGGGGAAAGAAGAAAGCGAAAGATGGTGTGGGGATGAAGAAAAGGATGTTGGAGGAGGAAGGGGTCGAGTTCACAACGGAGGGGATGGCGAAGGGGTTGTGTTTTGAGGGATTTGGGCTGGGTTAGTTGGCTGTAAGGAGATATGAAGTATGGTTTTTCTGCTGAATGGTATGGAGGTCTGTACATTAAGGGAGAATGATTAGGATAGTAATACTTGTATCTAGTTGTGTTTGGGGCGAACATAACACACTCACCCGTATGGAATGCAATGGCGCAAGACCCCTTGATTACTATAGTTATCATATCATGCAAAGAAGTAGAACCAAATTTCCACCACTGCTGTTGCAATCAAAATGGGATGCATTTGACAACTTGCTAAAATTCTCATTGTATGGGAGGAAACTAACGCAGGAGACCCAGTGATCAGGTATCTAATGCAATGAATATGGAAAGGAGTACTTTCACACAGTAGTCATTAAATAAATAGAATATACTAACTAGTGTTTCTTCTAGTTAGCACAAATTTGTCAGAAATACAGTAAGGCTACTATCAATTTCCATTGGATCCTGAATTACTCACTCTTCAGTGCCACAGCAAAGGATTGTTAGCATAGCCAGAGAATTAACTCACTTACAATCCGGTCAATTCCAGAATAGAATAATAAGCAAGTTTATGTTCCCTTTGCCTAGCACTGCTAATCGATGTTCCTTTTACGTTAATACAATTGCTTGCCACCGGCAAACCGATAGCCCTATTTGAATAACCAAGATTCTGCTACTACTCCGCAGCAATGTATTTCGATCTGACACTTCCTGAGGCACTCACCAGTCTCTCCGCCATTTACACTGTCTTGGTAACTACGTATATCTTAGCCGTAATAGTTGATTATAGTACGCTGCAAATACAGCTTCACACAGCGAACGATGTATCATGACAGAAATAAGCATTTGCATAAGCAAATATGGCAACCCCGCTCGACCCCTTCTCAGCCTTGTCGGCCACCGTCCCTTATTAATCCTAGCTGCCACATTTCTGCCCGACATTCTGGACCAACTTTGAAGCCTATACCTTCCGCATACATCTATTCCTCAAATACCACGACGCACCTACCACAAGAGTTGCTATCAGCCAGCAATTTTATGTAGAATGACCACCTCCCTTTGGGCGAGAGCCCTCTCTGCTCTCCCAGACAAAGATCAGCGCATGTTCCGCACGTCAGGCACTGCATCGGCACCGGTCTCAAAGACATTAGCTGATATTATCACTGCAATCGAAACACAGCGCGATCGTTGTAAGCGCCACAAGTGGTCGACCATCAGCATCGGTGGCAAGGAGCTCATCATCCGTGATGTGTGCGCGAAAATTGCAGCCTGCGTGAACAAGTTTGCCAGCGTGGTTGATGTCGTCGTTTCCTATGACCCAGTTCATGCGGCACTTCCTTGGGCGGGAGTGCGCTTTGTGCTTCAGCTGTTTCTGAACGGAATCGATACTTTCGGTGCTATTGTGGAGGGGCTGGAGACGTCCGTGAGAGTGATTGCACGGGGTGGAATACTCGAAGGGTTATATTATCAGAAGAACTCTGCACTGAGTGAAGCGAGGCAGGCCTTGCAAGATGAAATCGTCAAGTGCTATACAGCGGTTCTGAAATTTCTGTCTCTGGCGAGGAAATACTATCAGTGCTCACGAATGAGTAAGTTTGTTCTGAGACTTGGTTTTGTTGTGTTTCGAGGGCTGATTTTTGGGAATTAGAACGTGCGGTCAACTTTATATCTAAAGACGATCTTAGACACTGCACAAAGGAGATACAGAGTGCCGAGCAACAGTTCCTGATACAGAAGGGGCTCGCTGACAGCGAAGGTGAGTCTATAACTCCAGAGTTGAGATTCGTCTCCACTTAACTTCATTTCAGACCTAGGTAATATCGAGACAAATGTTTTGCACACCATCCTTATAGCCACGTCAACGGCGGACCAGGTCAATGATATGAAAACAAAACTAGAAAAGACCCTCCTGGACCTGGATAAGCCATTAATACGAGTGGTGGATCAAGTTTCCGACCTTCATCGAGCTTTGAAAGGTATTAGCCGGCTGCATAACATAGGCTTCCTCACAAATTAATATGTGATTAGACAACGAGAGAGGCCAGATCCTGCGTTGGATATCACCTGTCCCAGCTCAGGAACATTACCGTGAGGCATCAGCATCACTGATGCCAGGCTCCGGAGAATGGCTTTTTCGCCACCCCGAATTTCAAGCTTGGAGGGATTCTAGTAGCTCTGAGGTGCTATGGTTGTATGGGATACGTGAGTTGAACGACGATATCCCAAGCTTTCATGATTGAACTGACAGGGAGAAGCTGGCTGCGGAAAATCCAAGATCGCGTGAGTGCTTAGTCCGGGATTGAAGACGTCATTTCTTGACTAATACAGATAAGTGCTGCTGTTATACGGCATTTACGCCTTCAGGCTAGCAAAGTACAGCATTCTTTGCCGATAGTACATTTTTTTTGCTCGACAAACCCGGCTGAACCAGAGCGTAGCGATGCTCGGGAGATACTCCGGTCACTTATAAAGCAACTTTCTCTATCCGTCAGCAAGGACCTGATGAGGACCCCAGTCGTCGAGGAGTATCGGAAACGTCTACAAGAAGCAACATATTATGGTGAAGGGCCAGCTGCTTTGTCTGTAGAAAGGTGTACTGAGCTTTTGTGTGAGCTTGGCCAGTCAGCCCCAATCATGCTAATAATCGATGCTCTTGATGAATGTGATTCACAGCAGCGCACCATACTGCAACAATCTCTCGAAGAAATGCGTCAAAGTTGTCGCGATCTGGTTAAAATCTTTGTCTCTAGCCGATACGAAGAGGATATCGCTACTGGTTTCAGACACAAACGGACTCTTTGTGTGACACCGCACGACACTGAAGATGATCTTAGACACTTCATTGATCTCCATGTGAGCAGATTTGTGTCAAGATGGGCCGTTCTACACAGCGAGGCAAGCGATAAACTACAACAGCTAGAGAAGAGCCTGAAAGAGACACTTAATACTGGAGCACAAGGAATGTGGGTGGCACCAAGGTCGTCTGAAGAATAGCTCTCTAACTTAAGATTACAGGTTTCTATGGGTGTCGCTGCAATTAGAGTGTATTAGTGATACCTCACGAGTTAAAGACCTGGAGAGTATTTATGAAGCTCTGGAATCTCTACCTGCGACGCTTGGTCGATCCTATGCCGCCATTCATTGCCGAATCGAGTCAATGAAGGAAACTGCCAGAGAAGTGGCTAGATTTACGTTTTACTGGCTTCTGGGTGCAAAACGAATGCTCCCTATCCCAGATTTCCTCATCGCCGTAGCGCGTTCGGCAAAGTGTTTGTCAAATCTGCAACCCCGAACCATTATTGACTACTGCTGCGGTTTGGTGGTGATAGATAACGAAACCAATACATTCAGACTAGCTCATCCGACAGTTCGAGAGTAGTTATCATTATATCAGCCTGAAGCCAAGTCATAAGCAGCTGACGCATCTACAGATATCTTGAATCCCTTGAAATCTACCGCGGTAAAGAAGTATCCTACAGCATAGCTCTGGCGTGTCTGGACGCATATCTGGGTGAAAATTGTGTTGAGAATGAGTTCCTCAAATATGCTACAAACTATTGGCCGTCCCACGTGGAGGACCTTGGGTTTGCACCCCAGCGAGCCAAGGTTGTTCCTTCTCTCACGGACTTCTTTACGAAAGAAGAGCATTTTGTTGATTGGCTGGACAATTTCGAGCTACAGCAGAGAGAAGGCGGTTCTAGCTGGAAATCTACAAATGAAAGAAAGCTCGATGCCTCGATAAGCACTCCACGAACACCGCTATTTTTGATATGCTGTTTTGGATTCGTGGAAATTCTTGAGGATGACGACGTTGTTGAAGACTTGGATGTGAACCAGACAAACAAAGATGGGAGCTCTGGGCTATACCTGGCAGCTCGTGGTGGTCACATCATGGTCGTTCAGAAGCTCCTAGACATGGGAGCCAGTATAGACGCACCGGGGTTCAAGTACGGGGATGCACTTCAAGCGGCGTGTTTTGAGGGGTGGACAGGAATAGTGCAGCTTCTGATCAATCATGGAGCCTCTTCCTCTGTGCCCAGAAGGGGTGAATATTCCAGTCCCCTGCAGGCGGCTTTGGCAAGTGATAACAAATCAGTTGCAGAAGTCCTACTTCATGCTGGGGTCAAGCTTACTACACAGCAGCAATTTGATGATGCCATAGAAACCGCAGCTTTCAAAGGAAATGTTCCAATCTTCCAGCGGCTTATGGCAGGGGAAGCTGGAGATTTTGCTCCAAAAATCAGGCCTGATCCCCTTCAAGTAGCACTCGCGGGGGGCAAGATGAGGAGAGCAAAGCTGCTATTACAAAGCTGTACCGATATTAACGAGGAAAAGGGTCTTTTTGGAAATGCCCTCGCGGCTGCTATTGCAAGTGAGAGACTGTCAATAGTACAGTTAGTTCTTGATGCTGGAGCTAATATTGAGCTCCGAGGACGATATGGGTTTCCCCTTCGCGCAGCTGTCATCATCAACAACTTCGAGATCACAAAATGTCTGCTTGAGAAGGGTGCAGATCCAAACGTAATAGATGAGGAGCTGGGAGATGCCCTTCAGGCTGCTGCAAGCCGCGGCAGTCTAGAGATAATGTCGCTCCTTCTTGCTTACAAAGCTCATGTTCGGGGACGTGGAGGCTATTTCGGTGATACACTGCAAGCTGCTGCTTTTGGAGGGCATGAAAAGGCTGTGGAGCTACTTATTCATCACGGAGCTAAAGATTCTTTGGAAAAGCCTCGAGGGAGATACCACAGTGCTCTGAGAGCTGCGGTGTACGTTGGGCACCAAAGCATTGTGGAAAGGCTTCTCGGAGCAGGTGCAAAACTGAAAGCGGAAGTGATTTGTTTTGCAGATTGCTGTGCAATGATAACGTCATCCCTGACTGCACGAATGAAGCCCAGGGATGCGCTTCCAAACGTCATAAAAGAATTGAGAGGACTGGATACTCTGTCGCATCTCGGGCCCCTCGAGCTTGCTGCTCAGCGAGGTAATGTGATCTTGTTGGAAATGCTACTCGTGGAGGCAGCTCATATCAATTCTTCTAAAGCCGACTCGGGGCTTTTGGAGACCAGCACACTTGCTCTGCAGATAGCGGCGTTTGGGGGACGCACTCCTGCAGTGAGGTGCCTCCTGGCCCATGGGGTTAATGTTAACGCGGTGCAGCACAAAACAGGAACTGCGTTGCAGGCAGCCCTAGAGGGAGAGCAGTATCATATCGCAGACTTACTACTCTCTCATGGTGCTGATATTGATGAACATTGGACGAAATTTGGCTCCTGTCTTCAAGTCTTTTCTGAGCGGGGTAAACTTGAAGTTGTACAGTTTTTACTTGATCGAGGAGCCAACGTAAATGATAAAGGAGGTGTAAACGGTACTGCTCTTCAGGTTGCTTGCGATGCAGGTCATGTCGAGGTTGTCCAACTACTACTGCAGAAAGGAGCGGACATGAATGCACAAGGGAAGGCCATTGGTACGGCGCTGCATGCGGCTTCGGCTAACGGGCACCTTGGAATAGTGGAGATGCTTCTCCATCATGATGCGAAAGCAGATACTGTTGGATGGAACGTTGATACAAATACTCATATTGCATTACAGGTAGCATGTGCGAATGGACGTCGGGAAGTAGTCGAGTCTTTACTCGATCGTGGCGCAGGAGTGCGCAATACCCTACTTTGTCGAGCCAGTGAGAATGGGGATACTAGTCTTATGCAACTCATGCTGGACAACGGGTCTCTTGTCAATCCAGAAACTGGGCCCCCTGATTCAAAGCAGCTTGAAGGGAGATCACCTACTGATGACAGCAGTCTGACTGCAACCCCGCTTCATCTCGCTGCCTATCGTGGACACGAATCAGCAGTGACTTTTCTCCTGGACAATGGAGCTGACCTTCATGTTCAAGGCATCCTATACCCAATGCAGGAACAAGGCCATCATAACAGTGACTTCGATTTTGAGACAAACACCAGCAGTCCTATGCAAGCCGCGTGTTACAAAGGAAACTCACATATAGCCAAGCTTCTCTTTACTCGTGATCCTTGGGGTCACATCAAACACCAGACCTTTACGGTTGCCTTGAAAACCAGTCTTGATCGTGGACAGCATGAAGTCCAGAGGATTTTACTTCTCCAAGCAGTTCGTTCAGGGTTCAGGGCTGAGCAGTTTCACGAAGCTTTTTGCCATGCATGCTTGAAAGGATATACACAATTTGTTGAGCTGATCTTTGAACACTTCACAGTCGACAACTGGCCGGATGCTATACTCCAGGCCGCTGAAGATGGGAGGGCTGGGATTGTTAAAGCTTTGTTGTTACACGGGGCTGATCCGAAGATGCGCAACGAAAGCGGTGACACGGCGATTAGCCTTGCTATTCGTAAAATGAGTCCTTATTGTTGCGGATTTTATGATGGGGATCCGCCTCACTATCGCAAGACATTGGCCGCTCTGGTCGAGGCTGGGCACGTTTTGGACAAATCGCTATCTGCAGACATACCTCACAAGATTCTGCGCATTATTATTTGGGGAAACCTTGAATTACTTGTGCAACTACAGCGCTCTGGGATCTGTCTTTTCCAGGAGCCAGGTACATACCATGAAGCACTTCATCTAGCCTCATTGGGGGCCCGGACGGAAGTCCTTCGTTACCTTTGGTCAATACGAGCCACGATTTCGTCCGAGGCCTTGTGTGACCCGCCGTCTCAAACCACACGCCAAAAAATTTGGACCAACAGACAAAGATTATCTGTTTCCAAACACATGAGTCGCAGGCGTAAGCGTTGGTATTCCCGCTTACATATACATTGTGAACACGAAATACGTGAGCTTGGACAGTCTGAATCTGTGGAATACGCAGACGTCATTTCAATGCTTGTACAGAACGATGCGCAAGCAGCTCATCTGATCAGGAAGCCATTTGAGGCAGCAATCGACCTTGAGGTTGTCGAGTCCATTCGTGTCTTAATCGAGTTGTTCGCCAAGAATGATATGCATCGCACGGAAATATGCACAGGCATCCTTTCTCAGATTCTACCTCTCTCTATGGAACTGCTCTCATTCTTGCTCAGCCAAGGGGGCGATGTGAACACACGATATCCTAAAAATAACACGACATTACTGCACCGTGCCGCCGCCAGAGGAGATGAGGATGCACTCAGGATTCTTATATCTTATGGGGCCCAAGTATCTCTGCAGTCAGGCGACCAAGGAACAGCGTTGCACGCTGCTGTGGTGGGTGGCTTTCACGGCTCAGTCAATTTGCTTCTGACAGAAAATGCGGAGGTTGATGCATCATGTACACTCATTGGGACCCCGTTGGCGGCAGTCATGCCTCGTAAATGGAAGTCCTGCTGTGGTCGTTACCATCGAAGCTGTGCTGAGCAATTAATTGCTTGGGGTGCAGATATTGATCGCATTGATGAACGTCTGGGGACTCCAATGGACATTGCATACAAGGCAGGAAACAATGAGGGTGTGGAGCTGTTACTTGAGAATGGAGCACTGGATCCCAAATCCACAGCGTATCCACTAAATTCGGACAATTGACCGGGCACGAAGTGCTTTTCTGTTTGAGATATATATGGAGCACTGAAGAAAATAATCAGAGACTTGCCGTACTTGAAAACTTGGAGAAATGATCGGATCGGTAAATGTCCAATTTGCCCTGGGTGTCTGGGCTCGCAAGACCCCTTTAAAATAATATAGACATTCACGCACTACTCGCAGCAAATCTTAACAATTTGGGCTTGTCTAAGCTCTGGGAGATCACTAATTTATTATAGAACCTTCAAATGTCGATTAGTATGTGAGAGTTATCTTGTCAATTCAGCCTGTTAGTACAATAAAACCCACTCATAGCGGCTCCGTCATATATAAAATTGTGCACTACACTCACTTGCGATATATGATGCGCAGACACCCATGTTAGTATCTGCAATGTCACTTCAATTTCGCCAACAAAGGACCCTCCATAAAGTAGCTACTCTGCAATTTAAATCACTAGACTTGTATCACAAATCATGTAAATAAAGCAATACGGAGTATAAGCTGCCCACTGCATGCCCCTCTTAGTAAGCACCCACTGCATGATGTCATGTGCTTTCGCGTCCCGCCCGCTCCCAATCGGGAAATATCACGCGTCTGCCTACTCAGAGTGCATCTTTCTGCCTTGAGCTCGTCCCTTTTATGTCGAGCCAGCTGCGGCATCGAATGGATCTGATTCCATCGATAATCTCAGTCATTCATACTGAAAATGGCCGATAAAGAGGCAACTGTCTACATCGTGGACTGCGGCAAGTCCATGGGGGAGCGGCGTCATGGTCGCGAAGTGACGGATCTCGACTGGGCGATGCAATATGTTTGGGATCGTATTACAGGGACGGTGAGATCCTTATTCTTGAGAATCATATCATACATGAAAGCTTATGTTTTGGATAGGTGGCCACTGGACGAAAAATGGCTTTGATCGGTGTTCTTGGGCTCAGGACAGATGGTGAGTGACTAGCCTCCCGGGTACAGTTGGTAGTTGTAGTTTGCTGGTCGGGGCTAATGCAGGAACGTCCAGAAACCGCTAATGAGTTGGAGGATGATCCTGATTATTCGCATATCTCGGTTTTGTCTGGGATTAAACAGTATGATTCATTTTTGTCTGCTGATCCTCTGGTTATTCGCTGATGAACTATAGGTTTCTTATGCCGGATATCCGGGGTTTGAGCGACCGAATAAAGCCTAGCAAGACTAATAAGGGAGATGGTGAGTTACTCTTCTTGTATGGAATTGGAGTGATTGGGGCTGAGCCGATGAATATAGCTATCTCTGCACTTGTGCTCGCGATTCAGATGATTATCACTCAGTGCAAGAAACTGAAGTACAAGCGCAGGATTGTCCTGGTTACTAATGGGCAGGGCCCGATGAACCCGGATAATCTTAGTGAAATAACGAAGAAGATTAAGGAGGATAACATTGAACTTATTATTCTGTTAGTGTCAATTGATACACTGAGAGAACCGGGGTACTAACATGCTGCAGGGGACCAGACTTTGATGATCCTGAATATGGGGTGAAAGAGGAAGATAAAGATCCGCGAAAGGTATTTAACTTCGTTCCATATGCTCTAGACTAATAATAACAATGGCTACAGGCCGAAAATGAAACACTCCTGCGTAGTCTTGCCGAAGACTGCGAAGGAGCCTATGGAACCCTAGAACAAGCTGTTGCGGAGCTGGAAACTCCTCGTGTGAAAACCACAAGGATAACAGCAAGCTTCAAGGGCCATTTGCAACTAGGAAACCCCGCAGAATATGATACTGCAGTTCGGATCCCTGTGGAGCGCTACTACAGGACATACGTTGCAAAAGCTCCGTCGGCTAGTCAGTTCACAGTACGTAACGAAGAGGAGATGGGAATGGCCGCGGCCGCAGCCGGCTCGCAGGAAGGTAGTTCCCTTGTGGGTGTTCGAAACAACAGGTCCTACCAAATTGACGATGGGACTACTGAAGAAGGGGTGAGGGACGTGGATCGAGAGCAACTTGCCAAGGGTTATGAGTACGGGCGGACATTGGTCCCTATTAGCGAGACGGATGAGAATATCACCACCCTAGAGACATTTGCGGCTATCGAGCTTCTTGGGTTTATACAGAGCGATCGGGTGAGTTCTACCCTCCAATAACTGTTATTATGCTGCTAAGTGGGTTTTGCCATTAGTATGATCGATACATGCACATGTCGACGACAAACATCATCATCGCGCAGCGCGCGAATGACAAGGCAGCACTCGCTCTTTCCTCTTTCATACATGCGCTGTTCGAGCTGGAATCGTACGCTGTCGCCCGTATGGTGCTAAAGGAGAACAAACCCCCTGTCATAGTCGTGCTTGCGCCATCAATCGAACCCGACTACGAGTGTCTCCTCGAAGCGCAGTTGCCATTCGCAGAAGACGTACGAACGTACCGCTTCCCTCCACTCGACAGAGTCATTACAGTGTCTGGTAAAGTGGTGACACAGCATCGAAACCTACCCAACGACGATCTGTTGAATGCGATGGACAAATACGTGAAAAGCATGGAGCTTACCGATATGGACGAGAACGGGTGAGAAGAATTGGAAGTGATCTCAACTTCACTGCTGACTTTGTACAAAGTGACCCGACGGAATCTCTCCCAATAGACGACTCTTTCTCTCCAGTCCTGCACCGGATCGACTCCGCAATCCGTCACCGTGCCATTCATCCCAACGACCCTATCCCGCCCCCAGCCTCAGTCCTAACGAAGTTCTCCCACCCTCCGGATGACCTCGTCGAGAAGTCCAAGAAATACCTAGACAAGCTAGTAGCAGTGTCGGACGTCAAGAAAGGTCAGTCCATCTCGGCCTTGAGCCTCTTAGGCCCCCATCATACTCACAGTGATGAATCTAGTCCCACCAAAAACCAAAGGCACCAAACGGACCCGCGAAACCGAGAAGCCACTATCCGGTCTCGACGTCGATGCCCTTCTCCACCAAGAGAAGCGCACGAAGATCTCACCCAACAACGCAATTCCCGAGTTTAAGCAGACGCTCTCGCAGGCAGAGAACATCGAGATCATCAAGGATGCAGTGAAGCAGATGAGCACTATCATTGAAGACCAAATCAGGCATAGTCTTGGCGATGTTAATTATCATCGGGTCACTGAGGGGCTAGGTGTGATGCGGGAGGAACTGATCGATTATGAGGAACCTGCTCTGTATAACGATTTCTTGAAGCAGCTGAAGGAGAAGTTGTTGAAAGAGGAGCTCGGTGGGGATCGACGGGAGCTGTGGTGGCTGCTAAGAAGGAGTAAGTTGGGGTTGATTGAACAGAGGGAGTCGGAACACTCTGAGGTGAGAGAAGAGGAAGCGAAGGCGTTTATGTCTATGGCTGCTAAGTGAGCAGACCGTTATTGATCCCTATTAGTCCCCGATTAAGGACTGGGCAACAGTTCGATAATGACAAATGAACAAGCTCCAATGCTGCATGACTGTGCTCGCTAGAGTACAATATTCACGATAACCCTGCGCTAAGTAACAAGGCTTATCCCATGCCAAATGTAACACACATAACATATAATACCAAATTCGATGAACAGTACACGGGATATCAATCATGACCATGAGTAGAAATAGACATCGCAAGCAACCATTATATCCACACACTCAAGAAATTCTCCCAATCCTCTTCTTCCCAATATCAATCTTCCCACCCAACCTATATTCAAGTCAGCACAACTTTACCATCAAAAAGTAAGAACAAGATGGGAAAAAAGAACATACCTCGTAGCATCCTCATCCGCCAAATTCAACAACTCATTCTGCACCTGCAACTCATTGTTAATTGCAATCCCCAACTCCTTCTGCCGATTGACAATCCTCATCAACTCATCCACCGCGACATCCTGATCCTCCATCATCTGCTTCTGCAACTGCACCACCCCACTATTATCCAACTCGCGCGTCCTCTCCGTCTCCCTCCCCAACACTCTCCCCGACGACCGAATCGCCTTCTTGCCCCCCTGCGTCCCCATCAACGCCTCCTTATCCTGAATCGACGCCACCGCACTATCAATCCGACTCTTCGCCGCCATCGCATTCAACAGATCCTCCAGTCCATCTTTCTCCTTCCTCGCGTTGATGAGTAGATCCTTCCGTCGTCGCATCTCTCCTTCCCCGAGCGTGTTGTTCCCACTAACACTCCATGCCGTGGCGGTCGTAGCTGTATTTCTGCGCCCGAGTTTACTTCCTGGTCTTGACCCTGCATTATTTTCCTCCCCACCTCCAGAAGAAGAGTTACTCAAATTCCTCAACCCACTCTCCAAACTCGCAATCAATCCCCCGGCCCTAACAAGCTCGCTCTTCGCCCTCGCCGAACTCTCATGCTGTCGCTGCGGCGTGGCCTCCTGGTCCCGTCTCGTAAGATACAATCTCGCATCGTGTAAATGCCCCTTCATATCCCTGAAGCAATCGAGCCAGAGGATCGGGTCCGTGATGCCTCCGCCTTCCGAGTCGCCGGGGTCAGTGATTGCCGCGTGGAGCCGTGTACTTGCCCCGCCATTGTTATTATTATTATTCGAAGGCAAGCTAGGAAGATTGAGGAACGCCCGCCACGCAGGACTGTTGCGCCATCGGGGATCTTCGCTTTCGTTGATAGCCCGGAGGTAGGCTTCTAGTGCTTCGCGGCGGGATTCGCGGAGGGTGGCGTTGTTGATGGTATTCTGGAACCAGGATTTGGGCGGGAGAGGGGCGGGTGGTGGGAGGTTTGTTTGCGAAACTAGGGTGTTGTGGAAGGTGGTGAATTCGGAGTAGCGCTTGGAGATGGTGAATGAGCGGAGGGGAAGGCGGAGGGTGATGTTGTAGAGGGTGTAGGGGGGTTGGGTTGCGGAGATGCTGGTTGTGGGGATGCTGATTTCGAGGGTTGTGGGGGGCATTGTTTCTGGTTTCTTTCCAGGGTGTCGGTTGTGTGAAGCTATTGGGGCATTGTTTGGAGTTGGGTTAAGGAGCGAGTGTAGAAGGTGAGTGAGTGAGTAGAGATGAAGCGGTGGAGGATGAGATGCGCCGATAAGGATTAAAGTAAGTCACCGCCGGATCAACAACAATGACGCAAGGTCCGTCGCCGCTTACTTTCGGGGTTGTCTGGACACGACTCTATAGCAGTAGTATTTAGGCTTCAATTTACTAGATTTAGATTGGGTTCGACTGTCCTATCTTACTGGGTATCTTGTTCACTAAATTTGTTGGTCAAATCTCCTCGTCATGCGGTAGCCTCGGGCCCATTCCACAGCTCGCGTGCTCCCAGCAGGTCCCGTTGTCCATAATACTCCCCGATGACCGTGATGATCATGTCCAGCATGGCGCGAGTCTGTGTCGCCGCTTCATTTGCAGGGTTCTCATTGCCAGCCTCGGGCTCCGTGGCTGTGGGTTGGTCCTCTCCACCTGCGAGCTTCGCCTGCAGACGTGCTTTGGCTGCCTCCAGCTCCTCCTCAGTAGCAGGCTTCTCTTCCTCCACATCCTGCATATCGTAATCCTGATTGTCACTTGGTCCATCCACTTGCTGTGTTCCTTCCTCCCCCTCTGCAGCGTTTCCCCCTGTGTCCTCTTCAGCGTCGTCCTCATCCGACCCGTCTCCTTCCTGCATCTTCTTCTCATCCTCTTCCCTCATCTTCCTCAGAATCTTCACAGCTCTCTTCCCCAGTTCCCGAATTTCTCCAACCTCCTCAGTCCCTAGCTGCCCAACATCCCGACACTTCCCCAACAATCCCCACGCCCAAGCCCCGATGCGTCGAACCCGTTGCGCATCCCCACTCCGTACATTCTCCGACATTAAGCGCGCCATGATCTCCAGAACTCCCAGCACACTCTCCATATCCATACACGCCAGCTGTACGGTCTGCGGGTCTACCGCCAGGAGTAACCGGCGCCATTCCTTGCGCGCGTTTCGCGAGTGTCGCGGTAAGCTGATCGGGTGGGATTCATCGAGCCCGGCGATAGCTTCAGAAGGAGGTGTGCATTTTAGTATCGATCGAAGGAGAAGGAAGCGGTGGTGAAGGAGGTTGTAGTAGCTTGATTGGGCGTCGGAGATAGCCTCTTCGGCGACATTCGCAGCAGGGGCGGCAGTAGTATTGGTAGTAGACGTAGGAGGAACGAAGTAGACACCATCAACAACCACGCCCTCAGGGACAGGCTCTGTTGTATCCTTCACCTCCTCCTGCTGTTGTAGTTCCTCATTGTTCTGCGCCTGCTCCGTCGCGGCAGGAGTTTCCGTCGTTTGCGGTGCCGTAAACAAGAAAGGGAGGGAGTTTGCTTCCGATCTACAACAAACCAGAATGAAAAAAAATAATGAGCCACGTCACATCACATCACATCGCCGAATTCAAGAAATGTCGAAGGAGGCCTTTCGCGAGCTAAAGTCCGAAACACGCAGGCATTTAGCAAGCGGGAAGCGAAAAGAGCCAGAAAGCTGCAACAGGCAAAAGGATGAAGTAAAGGATAGAAAAGCAAAATAAACTTACCGAACCATGCGCAAATATTCCATGCCATCTTCAGCAGGCCCGTAGAATAGCTCATCATCTCCCGCGACATCCAGACCCGGAAAAGCGCTCTTTTGGCCATACACCGGGTGGTTGCGCGGGCGTTCGTATGGAGTCACGGTCGGCTGGGCTTCTTCTTCGTCATCTTCTTCGGCGTAGGAGGGGCGGGAACGTTTCGCGTAGGGAGAGAATCCGGTGACTGAGCCGGAGGGTTTGCGTTTGTCGGGCATACTGGACATGGTCTGTTTGGTTGTTGGGTTGGATTGGGGAGCAAAAGTTGAGGCGGAGAAAATGCCGGCGATCCAATGTTTCCCCCGGGAGCTTGGGCCACTTTTTACTATAGGGGAGCCACTATGATGACGCCGGCAGGATTGACGTTGGTAATCGATGCACTAACTTATTACTCCAAGCATTCTTAATATTGGGAAGTGGCATGAATGTATATGTGTAGATACTGATAACTACATAACTAAACCCATCACTAAGGAGCGTTGTTATGAATAGGAATCAGCCTGAAGCTGCGCGAAGACTATCAAGTACTACTAGGCGATCTTTAGTGCTGTTGTAGGCTAGAATTACAGGCATGAACTTGTATAATATAGCACCATTCAGAGGCTAGTTCTTCAATTAACATAGCAACCATCTTATTTGTTTCTAGTGCACATTCAACTCTTACGGTGAATCAGCTACGACGACTGGTAAATTCATACCTTAACAACGCTAAACATTCAATTCGTCGCTCCATTATATTCTTTTGTATCCAGATACAGGTCTTGTAATCTATTGCAGCTCTAGCCACCCGCTTAAGGGCGGAGACGCTGGGGGTCACGGGGGAACAGGGACGCCAGACGAACGTTAGGCAGACCCAGGAAGAACATGACAATGCGGTTCAGACCCAGGCCACCACCGGCGTGGGGAGGACAGCCCTGGCGGAAAGCAGACAGGTAGTCCTCGAAACCCTCCTGGTTGGGGTTGAGGCCCTTGGCGACCATCGACTCCTCCAGCTCCTTGATGTCGTTGATACGCTGGGCACCGGACATGATCTCCTCACCACGCATGAAGAAGTCATACGAGTTGGAGAAGCGGGGGTCCTGAGGGCAGGCCTTGGTGTAGAAAGGACGGACGGCCATCGGGAACTTGTCGAGGACGTAGAAATCGGTGTCATACTTGTCGCGGATGATCTGTCCGAGCTGCTTCTCCATCGCGGTGGTGAAGTCATTCTCGAAGCGCTCCTGCTCGGAGACGTCAACACCAGCCTCCTTCAGCATAGCAACACCGTCCATGTAGTTCAGGCGGAGGGCCTTGCCATCCTTGGGGAGCTTGAAGTCACCCGCCTTGGGGTAGGACTTCTGGATAATGGCGATCTTGTCAGCATAGCGCTCCTTGAGCTGGGAGAGGATGAAGACGAGGAGGTTCTCGGCGAACTCCAAGACCTCGTGGTAGTGGCCGCGGAAAGTCTTCTCGAAATCGAGACCAGCGAACTAGCGAAATTAGTACATGTACGCAAGCTATTACATTTGCGACGCATTTGGGACCTACCTCGGTCAAGTGTCTGTGGGTGTTGCTGTCTTCGGCACGGAAGACGGGAGCGATTTCGAAAACACTCTCCATGTCACCAGCAATGCACATCTGCTTGTACAGCTGGGGACTCTGGGCCAGGTAGGCGTTCTTCTTGAAGTACTTGACCTCAAAGACGTTGCTACCACCCTCGGTAGCCGCACCCACCAGCTTGGGGGTGAAGATCCACCGCGAACCGCTCTTGATCATGTATTCGGCGAACAGTTCAGCCACACCGCTGGAGATCCAGGTGATAGCCTGACTGGTTTCGGTCTGGAGATCAAGGACCCGGTTGTCGAGACGGGTCTTGAGAGTGACGATGGGAGCGCCATCCTCGCCAACCTCGAATCCCTCCTCGCTGGTCTCCGGGGGCGGTCTCTCAGCATCCTTGACCTGCATAGGGAGCATCTGGGCGGCCTCGGAGATCATGTAGACCTTGCGAATGTGAATTTCGTGGTTGCTAAGGGTAGCCGACGAGATAGGCACGGCAGGCTTCTTGATGATACCGGTGACCTGGACAATGGAGTTGACGTTCAATCCACCAGTGTACTTGATCATCTGACGGGAGATGGGCTCCGCAAGAGCAATGACAGCCTGCAGCTTCTGACCCTGCTGTCTCAGCATCAGGAAAGCCAGCTTGGCACTCTGCACACGGGCATTGTCGACACGAGCCACCAGGGTGACCTCCTTCTCGTAGTGCTCGTCGGAAATGTCGGAGAATCTCGTCGCGGCGATGACATCTTCGGACTCGGGAAGCTTGCCATACAGGTCCTTGGCGGTGTCGTCGGCAGCGGCGGCAGCAGCCTGAGCCTTCTCCTGGGCAGCACGAGCAGCAGCCTTCTCAGCCTTGGCCTTCTCCTTTGCGGCCTTCTTCGCGGCGTTCTTGCTGGCGCTCTTGCTGGTCTCGGCACCCTCGGCGGGGGCGGCCGCAGCGGCGGGGGTTTCTTCGGGCTTGGGCCGAGTGGGCAATTCGGAGTCCGCCATGGTCAAAGGTGTGTGGATAGGTGTTGATGGAGGAGAGGAGGGAGCAGCAAGGCGATCAGGAACCAGTCCGTCGGCCTGGATGGAGCTCCAACTTTCTCTTTTGAGTCACCCCGCCGTCCGAGGCCCACAGCCCTAAGCCCTAGGAGGGGCTGTCTGTCACCTGATGCGGATGCTTGTCATGCTGGATGATTATATAACAATGCACTGCATAGTTACTAGTTGCTATACTAGATACAAATATGATGGTCTATTCGCTATGCTTGCAGATGCAATTGCAGTCTACTCAACAAACGCTCGCTCAAAAAAGGACGACAAACACAAAAGTCTACTCTGTTCCCTGTTAAGACCGCCACTGAGAGTTCTTCAACGCCCACTCAACTGCCTTGTGCACGTTATCGGCGATCGTCGTCGGAGTCCACGCTGGCTCACCACCATTGTAGACACCAGTTCGCACCAGAATCGAGTGCCACTTGCTGCCATGCTCACTCCGGTAGCTGTTAGCGCCACGGATGTCTGACTCCGGGTTGTCTCCGATCATATAGACGTTTCGCAAAGGCTGCTGGGCATCCGAACCGAATACTCTGGCACGGTTGCGCAAGAGTTGATGCTCCGCAAACTCGTACGTTCCCTGATAAGGCTTGCCAATGATGGTCTTCTTCAGCTCCACGCCTTTGGCCGGGCCTCCTGTAACTGCAGCCCAAATGCCTTCCAGCGCCTCACGGAATCCTCCTTGGCCGAGACGAGGAAGGTGGTAGGCTGCAGCCCACCAAAGGTCTGGATTCGAAAAGTACAGATGTGGCTGCCCATCTTGTTGGAAACCCCGATTTGGGAGATCAGTCCGACCGTTCTTTTCAGAGATGGTACCTATCACGCCTTCCGACGATAGGAGGATGTCGGTGATGATCTGAGCGTCGAGAGCCCAGTCCCGTGGGTCATTGAAGACAAAGATCGCGTCGATCTTCAACCCTCTCGAAGGGTCATTGGGATCCTTTGGGTTTGGCAACGGCTTAGAGATCTTCTCGTAGTAGCTCTTGAAAGACCTAAATGGCCAGATAGATGGGTTCGCCATGTAGATGTCGCCGGGTGTCACCACATTCTTGAAGCCGTACCTGAACCCATTGTTAGCACTATAATCCACAAAATAGGATAACCATAGGCTTGCATACATCTGCGCTACCTGGCGGCAACGGTCGCCTTCTCCTCCAACCACCAGCACGCATTTGTTCTCCAGGGCACTCTGCTCGTCTGGCCCGCGCACAAGCTCCGCAAAAGGCGAATGGCTCTGAACAATTACCTCCGGTTCCAATGGAACCTTCAGTTTCTCGCTGATTTCCGCCACTCGCTCCGTTTCATGTTTCCCACCACCATTTGTCAATAGGAGAAACGGGATGTTCTGCTCTTTCAGAAGGGCTAGGGATTCGGCGGCTCCGGGAATAGGCTTAGAGGATCGTAGCAGCACACCATCGATGCTAAACACCCCAGTCAGAACTATATGTTAAGCCAGCGCGGGTGGAATTCGCTTACTCACTCAAATGCAAAGGCGAAGTCGGGGACGCGGGAATTGGCAGTCTGAAAGGCACGTCGGCCCGGACCAGTGTTCACAAAGGAGCGGGTGGAAGCACTCTGCAACAGCGCAAGGGAGCGCCAAAGAGACTGCGATCGCATACTCGAAGTGTGAAGAGTATAATCTAATGAGTAGAAATTGAGAGTAGCAAGTAACAGCGGTGAACGAATACAATTGAGCGGATGGGAGTCGTCCGGTGGACAGGGAGCTGCAGAAGCACAGGCCGGAGGAGAGGCGTGCGGAAGGCGGAGATGCAGCTGGCAATCGGCGGAATGATATCATCTCGCTTCTCCGCCATTTTCTTTTCCCCTCACATTTTCCTGATCGCCATCCAGTTACCTTTTACTTCCCCACCACACAACTTGCATGACTGACACTAGATATATCTGTCGCCCCGGGCAGCTACATGACTCCCCCACTCATGCCGGCGGGCTTTTGATTTCGACCTGCCATGGGCATTGATGCATTCATGAGTGCCCATCATGCCCTTGATGCCCTCACGCCAGATTTATCTCCCCACGGAAATTGTGGTGGAGATTATTTCTTACGCCGCCGCAGATGATGGCCATCGCCAGTCCACTCTCTATGCCTGCTGCCTTGTCTCTCGCCAATGGTACTCAGTAGCCATCCCATATCTCTATGAGAAGCCGCGCGTGAGCGCCGGGACCGCTTTCAAGAGTTTTACCGACACAATCTGCCCGACGATCGGCGCACGAAAGAACAAGATACATCTGGGCAGTCTAGTCCACAAATTGGACCTCAGTGGGCTCGTCTATCATAGCTCAAACAGTTTGACAGCACGACTGCTGGGAAGGGTGAAAGAGAATTTAGAAGTCTTTCTGGCCCCAAGGATCTCCTTTGCGTAAGTACAAAACAACATGCTCGTTGTGCATGCCTTCCGTCTGTCTTCGCCCACTTCAGAATACTTGATACTAACACTATAGAACAGCATCAACAGCCTTCCGGCTCTCTCCAAATGTACAAACATCAGACACCTCGACTTATCGCTAGTCGGCGATCCAATCCCTTTTCCCAACCTCAAGAAAGCGATCAGCAACCTCCGCAGATTAACCACCCTTCGTCTTCCGCGCTCAACCTCCATCACCACCTACGACGACTCTGCAGCCACGATAGAATGGCCTCCTAACCTCCAGCGCCTACAATTCAGCGGCCACTACCGTTCCATACCCATGTCCTCCTTTCCTTGGCCTCGCACCTTGACTACCCTCACTCTAAAGAACTGCGCCGATCTCTCCATGTCCAGCCTTGGCAGCCTAATGAGCAACCCCCAACTAGCCACCCTCAAACGCTTCATCGTCTCCGGCTCCAACCGTAACCTGCAACCAGAATCCATCAATGCCATCCCAGTTTTCCTCCCTGAATTATCCTCCCTCAGTATCCCTGGCGATCTAGTCAATGATTCCTTCTTCGATATCCTCAGCCACATGCACCCCCCACTACCTCTCGAGGATATCGAGTTTGGATTCCCAAGTCTAGACGCCAACGTGACCTTCAGCACGAGCTCGTTAATCACAGCGATGGAATACGGCCTAGCAAACCTCCGATCGGTGGGTTTCTCGGAGCTCTTCTGCACCAACCAGCGAATTTTGGAAGACACGGAGATCGATGACTTCATTCATAGCCGGTTCTCGAAGAAGGAGCGAAGAAATTCCAAATCTTCTTTCAAGAATGGGGTAGAGAAGAGCGATTATGTGGATGATGATACGATTGGCGTTTATTACATATGATTGGCTTTTTATATACCTTTTGTTTACATTGCGTCTGATATATTTCGGCTAGAGTTGGTTCATATATTTTGTTAGGTAAAGTTACTGAATGCTGATATCGAGATAGAGGATCATTTGAATACTACTACTGGAACTATATTCCGAATAATAAGTAGCTACTAGTTCTCATAGTGGTAGGAGAACCCATGTTATATTTATTCGTTTCCTAGCCCTAATCAGTTCACGTAGGGACTAATAAGTACATGTCTACAACTCCACAAACCAAGCAAGGAGCTTCTACAACTCACAACGGGGAAGCAGACAACCTCTAATCAAAATGATAGATAGATATATGATGACGCTTTTGACTACAGAACGACTCCAGCCACTTCCCCATTCAACCGGCCACCTGGACAAGCCAAAACGGGAAATGACAAGAAGACAAAGCAAGGGGGCGAGGACATGCTAACATGTTCGAAGAAATGTCAAGGGGAGAGAGCAAACATCGGCAGAGAAGAATGGGGGAGAAATAAATGTTTGAAAGATACAGTCAATTGTGGCAAGAACAAGTCAAAAGATGGGAAAATGAAGTGAAGTAGGTAATTCGAATGAATAGGGTGTTTGACGCCTACGCAAGATATTCATCGCATCTAACTCGGCACCAGAATTATAGAGGAAGAGAAATGAGAAAAGAGGAAAATGAAAATGAAGCAGGGGGAAACAAAAAATATCTAATCTCATAATGCAGGACTCATGCGCCTCGCGAACATGCCTCCATTACACATTTACAGGGGTCCATGAAGCTTAGGAAACGGACGCAATCACAGCAGGCGCAACACCTTCTTCCTCCGCCCGGATGACAATCTTCATGGTCACTCCAGTCTTGCTGGAGAAGGCCATCTTGATAAGGGACGCAACGCGGCCGCCTGTCACTGTCTTTCCGAACAGCTTCAGTGTATGCGTGCTGTTGCTGAGGGCCACATCCGTGCCCTCAAGGGGCTGCAGGGAGAGCGTAGAAATTAGTTGCTCGGTAGCATCTGTGATGGAATTAGTTGCCAGTTCCTAGAATGGTTGTGAAGGGTGGTTGGCCTACCTGAGATGCCCTTCATGTTGCTGAGCTGAAGAGTCTCGCTGACTTCCTCACCATTGGCACCCGTCTGCTCCCACACATGGTCGAAGCTACCAGCAAAGGTTGGAATAACGTAGTCACTGCCCGTGAGATCAAGGTCCTCAACCTGATACTCGTCATCATATCCGCTGTCCTCGGGCTCGCCGGTAGTCGGGTCGATCTCTTTGCTAGTGAACTTAAGGTTGTTCGTAAAGGAGATAACAGGAACGCTGTGCTCGCCAGCAAGTTTCTTGAAAGTGACGTAAACAATACCGGGCTCATTCGTGGCCAGCTTAGGCGCAGGAACGATGAATTCCTCCTCCAGAACATCTTCTTCTGACGGCGTCGCAACTACTGTCACGTCTTCCAAAACAGTGTCTGGCAGGGTGTTCTTGATGTCGTATTGCAGCACGACGTGCTCCTTGAAGATGTGCTTAACAGCCGTAACAACATACTCCGTCTCGCTCTCAGTAAGCTCAACAGGGGCAGAGGACTTGAGCAAAGTGCCGTACTCCTTGAGCTCTGGGATCTGCATAAGCTGTTCGGCGTATTTCTGAGTGGCGGCGACCGTGACGGCCTCGGCCACACCGTTGGCTTTGCCCTTCGGCGGGCCGGTAGATGGTGCCTTGAGAGTTGGCGTCGCGCTTGTGAGCTTCTTGGTCCGCTCCTCGGCCAACGCCTGCTCCTGTGAAACAACAGGGATCGTGGCAACGTCGAATGCAGCAGCAAAGGTCTCCTTGTCTGTTGATGTGACGTACATCACGAGCTGGTGCTCAAATGTTGAAAGCGAATACATCGATTCTGATATCGTTAGCAGAGTAGTGAAGACAAGCCTAGTTCGCAGAAAGCTTACCGTTGCTGATAAAGCGGCTAGCAGTCTCATCCTCTTCGCTCATCAACCGCAGATTGAGGGCAGCCCGGTCACGCACTTCATCATCGACATCATCAAGGCATCTGGTGAGAAGGACAGACACACTAGACTTGACTTCAGGATCCTTCTGACCGACACCGAACTTGGCCAAAGCGGTCACGGCGGCAGCTCGCACAATGGCATTTTCCAGAACGACGCGGTTGTAGATGTAGCGAATATACTTGGTTGGGTGTGACGTCTTAGGACCCTCCACACCGAGCAAGTGCAATATCCTGACGGACAACTTGGTGAACTCGCAGTCCTCGATAAATTCACACAGATGGGCGAGTGCTGATTCTGTTAGTTGACCCGAAGAAAGGGAAACATAGTTCAAGGGAAAACTTACCATCCTCCTTGCTTTCGGGTACAAACTTGATGAGGTCGAACATGCTCTCGACCACACTGCGCTTGAACTCGTAGCCACCCTCATCTCTCAGAATGCCGCTCAGGAACGACAGCATACCGGCCTGCTTGCTAGGGAACTTGAGGCACAGGGTGCGAATGGCCTCCACAATCGTGATCTTGAATTCATCGGTGATGTCTGCCATGAAGCCAGAAATCTGCTTCATCAGGCGGTCGACGCTGGCCTCGTTACCAGTCTTCAGAAGAGTCGTGATGGCAAATGTAGCGATGGAACGGTTGGAGTTGGAGATAAGGGCTTCGATATCTGGGTTGCAGACGTTCACCACATGAGGCTTGAAGCTTGCGAAGTTATGAAGGATGCGAATCGCCGCAAACTTGGTGATAGAGCGGGGCGAGGAAAGGAACAGTTGCAAGACATGGACTGCCTGGGAGGCTTCCGCATCAGAGACATCCCTCATATCGCAAATGGCCTTTGCCGCTTCGAAGTTGACCATCTCATGCTTGTGTCGGAGCCAGCCATCAAGCATCTGCATCATAGGCTTCCTCAAGCCCTGGTCTTCTTCGGCCAGCTTAGCCGCCAACCGCACCAGGAGGACAAGAGCTGCGGGGCTCTTAACCACTCCAGCCGCACCATACTGCTGAACCATTTTCACCAGGGCCATACGGTCATGCGAGCGCATCTGGTACAGGAGACCAATGGCGTGGTATTGAGTCATGAAGTTCGATTGCGAGATGGCGTGAGCCTGAGAGCTGCCACCAAACCCAAGGAATCCGGTCGATTGCTTCCCGCCCGAAGCAGCCTCTTGCGTCTCACTCTGCCATCTACGGACCACATCGCGCGCAATCGGAAGAAGGTGATAGGAGGAGACCAGCGCTGCGGAGGATACCGAAGGGGTCTTGTCGACGATAGCGGTCTTGATTAATCTCTCGATACCTTGCACAGTAGTAGCCTGCATGGACGACCATTGTCAGATATCTCGTTTGACGATAAATTAGGAGTTCCCAATGCGCTTACGTCAATGATGCGGCACAAGGCACGGATGGCATTTGCCCGATACAGAACGTCGCTGCCGACAGCAGTGTCCTTCATGATGATGCTGGTTGACATGATCACATCCTCCGCCGTGTTTGCAAGTTCCTTCAAAATCAGGTAGACCATTTGTCGCAGAGAGGGATCCTTGTTCTGGAATAATTTGGAAATGCCGAAGAACAATGTGGTGGCCTCGTTCGTGGGGAACTGCTCCCCGGTAAAAAGGAGGACGGCGATCTTGGTCAGGAGCGTACGGCATGTTCGGGGAGAGATGGGAGAGGAATTGAACAGTCGCGCTATAGGAGGACAAGGGAAGAAAGTCAGCATTCACAATCAGGGTCGTAATGCGACTCCAGGTAGGAGCGAAACTGATAGACCCTTACCATCTTGAAACACGGAGGTCCGATCCAGCTTGATCATGGACTGATCAGCGTCCTCATCTTTCTTCATGTAAGACATTGTGACAGGCTGCAGTGATTGCCGCAGCAGCAAACGTGTTTTATGGCTCTCTCTGGGTTGGAAATGGGCCCCGTACGGGTGACGTCGGGGGATTGTTCAATGGGAGACGAATAAGGGCGGGTCAGTATGATGGGTTAGTCGTGGTGCAGGCGGTGTATGTACACGACTATGGCGCCCTCATTATCTTTCGAAAATAAAATTAGAGAAAAGAGGGGGGTGGCCAGTGAAGATATAGAGACACTTGCCCAGTCCCCAGGAAAGAAGCCGAAGGAGAGAACGACAGGACAATGGAGATAGTAGAGGATGGGTGTTTTGGCCAGGGCAGCAGCAACAGCAGCTCTCCCGACGGCCTCCAACAATCTCCAGGTGGCCTTCCGCGTCTGTGGGCGGCTGAGCCACAGGGCGGTGTGGCTGACCCTGCAAACGGAGCAAACACGCGGCATGTCTCGCCCGCAAAGCGTCCGTAGAGTGTGTAGCCTGCTGTCGTTGCCGGTCTGCCCTCCTGAGTCTTATAATCCAATCTGGTCAATCTATTAACTCAGAAGAACTCAAGAATAGCCTCAGTCACGTCGCAGTCATGCAAGTTGAAGTTAACCCTAACGAGGATACCGAATGGTCAGATCGTCGACTTCGTTCACCACCGTTAGCCATACAAGCTTACACCCCGCAGGAATGACATCCTCCGCAAGCATGGCGTTATCCCCGAGAAGCCCCAAGATCCCGAACCTCTCATCCAAGAAGCCCTTATTGAGGCAGAGCGCAAGGCATATGAAAATAGATTAGAAGACAAGGACTTGGACGAGTTGGATGCACTGGAAGATGAGGAAGATGAAGATTTCCTCGAACAATACCGGTACCAAGATGATCGCTAGCATGCCCCTGACCAGATGGACCAGGTAGTTCGGCTTCACTAACGATCTGTACCAGTCAAAAACGATTCGCGGAATTGTCTACCCTCCAGCAAACCAGCATTCATAATCAAGTATACCCCCTACAGAAAGTCGATTACGCGCGCGAAGTCACCGAAGCCTCGAATAAATGCTTTGTGCTCGTTCATCTGAGCTCATCAAGTGCCAATGTCGAATCGCAACGGTTGACAGAATTATGGCGGCAATTAGCGGCAAAGTTTGGTGATATAAAGTTCTGTGAGATCAGAGGGAACATGTGCATCGAAGGTTATCCGGAAAGAAACACTCCCACTATCTTGGTGTACAGGAATGGGGAGATCATGAGACAACTCATAACCCTGCGGGAGATGAAGGGGCCAAGGACTACTGTTGAAGGTAAGGATTATTCTTCCATTGCTGCTTCTTGCTTTCTGACATGTGCCTCCTAGATCTGGAGAAGATGCTCCTGGAATTAGGTGCCGTCAAAGAGAGCGATGTGCGTCTCAAGAAAAGGTCCGACTCATCGGAAGATGAACGCCCATCCAAGCTGAAGTCCTCTAAGCCCACAGTGGAAGACGATGACGATGACTGGGATTAAGGAGGCACGCTCGGTAACTATGAATCCAAATCAGGACGGTCGCGGCCATCTCTCTGTGACCAAGTTCCAATGACCCTTTATCGGATGGGCACAAAATCGTATCCTTGCCGACATATGCACGGCAATTCGCCATGCATCACATAGTTTACACTCTGAAGTCCAGCTAGGTAGCCTGGCAGAGAATTGGTCACGCTAGCTGACCCAATTCTCTACATCTTTGCTTGACATGTAGAGCTTCGTATCACCAGGTTTTCCAGGCTTCGGCCTGTTAACTACTTAGCTGCCTGCCTATCTAAAGACGTACCTACCACATAGTAGGTAGGCAGCCAGCCAAACTTTGAACACAAATGTGTTAGCATTATTTTATACTTTCTTGTACCTTAACAGTCCTCTAGCCTCTACCTATCTCAGTATAGATCCAGTATGCAGTAAGCGTCCGCCAAAGTGGGTCTCTATGGCTGCAAATAACCATCGTGCCTGATTCTGTCATTTACAAAAATAACCATTATATTTCACAAAGCGAGAACCCTCCAGAGCAATATAACAAATAGCTTGCATATGAGTTCAGTTGCCTGAGAATCAATATTCGGTCGATCGCTGCAATCCATCTCCAATGACAGCCGGGAGCGTGATGCCCCTCGGAGGCTCCAAGTCTGGCTATAATTGGCTTGGGCGCTGCCACCGGGCGGGATTGTCATTGCGCGGTTCCATCCCGAGTCCATCGCTGCCGTGATTACAATTCTAGGCCCGGCTGACTCCCTCCCTCCCTACCCTTGGGGTTTATACCTCCTCATCAATCCACAGGAACAGCACATCTTGTACCTTTCGTCTCTCTGTGACAAAGCGAGATGGATTATTCGTTCTATTCAAACCATCCCCAGCAACCTTATCCTCTCTACGGCGTCCACGGGCTGCCCACCCCCGACCAAGGCAATCCGGCCCCTCAAGCCGAGGCCATACAGGGCGCTTTCGCTCCCTTGGTCGGTCTCTCTTGTTTTTGTGGACTAGTCATATAAATTGCTCATGACGCTGACTTGTGGAAAGGGAGCGCAAAACTACCAGCCTTTCGATCCGAACCTGCGCTTTCAGGATCCTCACGCAGCCGCTGCCTTCGTTGCCCCGCCACACTCGCCTCCCGAGTCCCTCACCAAGCAGTCGGTTTCCAGCAATGACTACTCCAATCAGAACGTTGATCGAGCCTCTTACGATGGAGATGACCAGCTCTTAGACCAAAGTCTTGGCCGGAGCAGCAGCGAGGAGAAAGAGAGTTTGACTCCGGCGCAATCAAAGCGAAAGGCTCAGAACAGAGCTGCGTGAGTGTTTCCAGATCTAGGACTGCGTTATATCCCATGAAACTAATCTCTGGTTACTGAAATCAGCCAGCGCGCATTTCGTGAACGCAAGGAACGACATGTGCGTGAACTGGAGGAGAAAGTTAGCAATCTTGAAAATGCATCGAACACTCTTGTAGCGGACAATGAGCGATTGAAAAGAGAGTTGGCAAAGTTCACAACTGAAAATGAAATACTTCGGGCAACGTCGACTTCAATGCGCCAGTCCGGCCAGCGCTCCACCGATGAGGAACCGACAACGACGGGGCCATTGCAATACTCGCCCACGGATTTCAAGTCCGATGCCGGTGGGGGTAATGGCCCTGCCCATCGCGTCACTATATGCGGAAAGACGGGCGAGAAACTCCTTGACGCGGGAGCCACCTGGGATCTCATCCAGAAGCACGAGCTCTTCAAGCGTGGCCTAGTGAATATTGGCGATGTCTCGGGCCGGTTGCAAGGTACTGCTCAATGCGATGGGCAGGGGCCTGCCTTCCGGGAAAGCCAGGTCCTCCAGGCTATTGAAGAAAGTGCAGCTGCTGGCAACGATGACTTGTTGTGAATTCGCCTGATAGCATGGATTCTACGACGCAATGTCTTGCTTCTTGGTCGCTTTTTGATTTTTTTTTTCTTTTTTTTTTTTTTTTTTTTTTTTCGGTGCATGGGCGTCAGGGTCTGTTTCGGAGTAAATACCGCTGTTCACAAGCTTTATGGAACATATGCTGCCATCTGCTACTATTTTGTGAAGTGAAGGACCTTACCGAGTCCTTCCCGGAGTCATTGGAGACTGAGGAGTGAGCCATTATACCTACTTACTGCCACCAAAGTTGTTGATTGAATGGATGTCTTTGTTCTGAGGTTTCAGACTACTATTGGTTGATATTCTAAGTGTTTTGTTTGCTCAGAGCTACGTAGGACTGCATATGCGTTGCCACGGGTTCTGTAATATGCACTATCTGGAGCAAAGCCTTACCCCATGCTGTGCCATAACGCAACAAGGACCTGACAGATTGAAGTCCATTGATACCTTACAAGGCATGTTTGCTCGACGATCGACGTTTATTATGGCCCAGTTGGTTCTGAACTCCTACTGCAATACAATAGCTCTTATTTTGTCAGCTGTACTATGATAGTAATTGAACTGACTCTACTGGGAAGATACTCAGATGTAACAGTATGGACTTCCAACTACAGGTATTAATGGTCCCCGTAGTCAGATGAAGAAATCCAATGATTTCTTGTCTTTCCTTACACGGCGGTTCTGCGAAGGCTCCGCAGTGTATACCAAATTCAAGGAGCGTGCCCACAGACGAAGAACAGAGACCACCTTCACCATAGAAAACATTGGGTATACCGCCTAGTAAACAACCCAATGTGTGCTGGCTAATCTGAAAACGATGCATACAGCTGCACAACTTGCGTGGTGTAGATCCAAGCGATGTTGCCCTGGGTAATCATGCGTTTAGGCAAGGGCAACATGGCACTATAATGGTTGTATAAGAATCGGAGAATAAGGTGGAGAGAGAGGGGTGGGAAGTGTGGCCCCAATCAATGCACTCCATATCTGGTTGTTTGTTTGGGTTGGAGAAATGAGGCTAGCAACAACTATCTACTCCAGACAGCACTACAACCATAGATCGAGGGGGAACCTGACGACGCAGACAGAAAGGGTGGATGCAGTATGTACCTAGTATGTTGTAGTAAATGCATACGTGGATGAACGGGGTGATTCAATCTGCCAACCTGCGAACGCCAACGTTGCCTTTTCGAAAGAAAAACTCCCCGCAGTCGATAGCTTCGAACTCTTGGCAACGATTGGCCTGTGCAGACCTGAAATTGACTGGTAAATTCCTTTTCGTGCAAGAGAACACACGGGGTTGTTGTTGGTTCTGATGAATTTTTATTATTACTATGTGGTGATTGAATTGGGATCATCGTTAGCGGTGAGACCACATTTTTACTAGACCAGGGATATTATTGCGGGATTTACCCTCAGATCAACTCCTGATTAATTACAGTTGCTCAATTACTCAATTCGTTAGTGACTACCTGACCACCGTCGTCATCATCCTGGAAGGGGATCAGGTGACACCAATGTTGTCTCGATCGCCAATGCTATATACAGGTGTCCGTTCTTGAATCGACGTGGTACTACTTACCTGAGCTGCACGTTGATCTGGCCCAGTGGTGTTGTTGTGGGAACACACCCCCCGGAAGTGGAGAGAGAGGGAGAGCGAGAAGAAAAAGGGAAAAGGGACGTGTTAGGTATTCTCCGATCCATCATGTCTCAGGCACTGATCGATGGTCCGATAAGGCGCGTGTGTTTGGGCCCCAAAAGAGACCCCCCTCAATTAACTAAACTAACTAATTGAGGGCCCCGTAAGCCCACCGTATTTAATTTACTTCACGAAGGTTGCAAATGCGGTATCCGGGGTCACCTGTTCACCGCCCGGGATCGATCGGCCATACTAGGAAAGGGAGACGTTCCATTCCGAGGGTAAGTAGTAGGTAGAATCAGGGTATTGATGAGATGAGGTGAGAGAAATTTTCTCCTTGCCTTACGACGATCGGGTTTTAAGGAGGCGAATGGTCGTACAGGGAAGAATAATGGGGTCTACGGCGGCATCATTCATTCGCCTGGAGAATAAGCCTCGAGGTAATGGAGGGAGGAGGGGGGGAGGACTAAGCATCATCTCATCATCGATTGAGGTGCTTTGGGGTCACCGCGGGTGGAAGGGAAAAAGGTAGCGTGAGGGAAATAATCATCCGCCACAAACCGCGTAAATAACTAGGTAGCTTTGGGGGATAGCATGGAACATTGCCTCTGGGTTTAGGTTATTTTCACTTCGCGTTTACCCATGCTCTTGCCACTGTCGCCAGACTTTTTCGCCGCCTAACATGGTTTTTGGGTACTTCTAGAATGTTTTTGGACCGAAGCGGATCGTTTGCCTCATCTCTTTTCGTTTTTGTTGCATTTGAGCGAGGCATCTTGGATGTATGAAATGGTTACATACGTGGTACATCTTATCTGCCTTAGGCAACCAGCCGCGATAGGTACAGCCCGGATGCATCATGACCTAGTCAAATCCTGCTGGGCTGTCAGTTCGTTGGCTATAAACTAGTCAACCTTGTTCAGTTATTACTAAGAGAAGCATCAGAGAGCTACGTTCAATAGGGTAGCCTCAAGAGATACCCGAGCTATTGTTGAATGCAAAAAGTTTTGTGTGTGTGAGAATTAAAGTAGGAGTATCGAATTTGCCCAGGCCTAAACTGCTGGATTGCTTCACCGACTCCTACTTCAGCCACCTCAAGGATGAATTGCAATGTCCACCCTGCTTGGGGGCCTTGTCTTCATTCCTTGGTACTATCTGCAATTCTTCCCGAAATGACTGGCTTTATCCTTGCCTTGTAGGACCCCAGTTATAGCCTCCTACTTGGCCAGCCGCCATGTATCAGCTTATGAAAAAAGGACAGCCTTGCTTTGAAACAGATCGCGTCGTTGGTAGTGGTTAGTTGTTCTAGTTTTAAGGTACTAGAAAGAGTAGACTTAATTGGTTTTAGGTAGCCTTGGATACGGTACGGAAGAGGAATAAAAAATACGACATTTACGATACGCTGGGGAGGAAAGTTGGGAAACAAGGTGACCAAAAAGCCAGACCCAAACAGGCCAAATCCAAGCGGCCAACCAACCACCGGCGGCTACTAAACTTATCACAGTCAGTCTTGTTACTTACTTTACTTTCCTTACCCGCCCCCTCCTCTGTCTGTCTCTCTGTGAAGGCTGACCGGCTTGGCTGCTCTCTTTACTCTCGCATTTTCCCTCTCCTCTTTCTCTCTCCTCCTCCTCTCCCTCCCTCTTCCCCCCTCTCAACCCACCTTCTCCATTATCAAGGCTCTGTCCTTGAGTCTGATATATCCTCCTTTTCCTTCTCTTGTCTCTCCTATCTCTTTCTAGGTACGTTGTTCTGCTTTTCTCCCCCGTCTCGTCGGTGACAGCCGCTAAAAGGTCTGTCAGCTCGATCCCCTTTCTTTTTCTCTCCGCCTTTTTCGCCTTTCCGGTCGGGTCGTCACGGTCGGTTCACCCCAACAGTCGACATCACCGCTATCTCATCTCTTCCTTCCCGTTTCTAGACCAGGTTCGTCCGCTTCTAGGCTGCAACTCTCTTTTCTCCATTTCCCAGCTACTATTCACTTGTCCTGTACTTCCTTTCTTGCTTGGCTTGGTATCTGGCTTTGCTCCCCGTCTAAGCCGCCTGCCCTCAGCAGACTCGCTCTGCCCAGTGACTACGCGCCGGGATTCTCCCTGCACCTTGCCCTCTGGTGATTTCACCATCTCTGGCAGCCTCCACTACCTTCACGCTCCTCCTGTCCCCTCTTCTTTCACCAACACTCCCTATTCAACACACTCCCACGATTGAATGCTCTCATCTTCTCCATCGATCTATAACTAACCCGTCTACCGACCTCTAGTCTGCTTAACACCTTACTCACACAAATCGACGGCGTGTCTAATTTATCAAAATGACGACTATGGTTCGTGACATATGGGTGTTATCTTCTGATGATGAGTAGCTGTGACTAACACTTCTGCAGGATTTACGTGTCGGTAACAAATACCGTATTGGACGGAAGATTGGAAGTGGTAGTTTCGGTGATATCTACCTGGGTGCGTGACATTATTCAGGAGGTGAGATGGGTTATCTGGAGCAGCTGGCTGATTCATCATCTAGGCACCAACATCATCTCCGGCGAGGAAATCGCCATCAAGCTGGAGAGTGTCAAGGCCAAGCACCCCCAGCTCGAATACGAAGCCCGTGTCTACAAGTCTCTTGCCGGTGGTGTCGGTATTCCTTTCGTTCGCTGGTTCGGCACTGAATGTGACTACAATGCTATGGTCATCGACCTTCTTGGTCCTAGTTTGGAGGACCTGTTCAACTTCTGCAACCGCAAATTCTCCTTGAAGACCGTGCTCTTGCTGGCCGACCAGCTCATCTCTCGCATTGAGTACATTCACGCCAAGTCTTTCATCCACCGTGATATCAAGCCCGACAACTTCCTGATGGGTATTGGTAAGCGTGGAAACCAGGTCAACGTTATCGATTTCGGTCTGGCCAAGAAGTACCGCGACCCCAAGACTCATTTCCACATCCCCTACCGTGAGAACAAGAACCTCACTGGAACTGCTCGTTACGCCAGTATCAACACTCACTTGGGTGTTGAGCAGTCCCGCCGTGATGATATGGAGTCGCTCGGATACGTCATGCTTTACTTCTGCCGTGGTACCCTTCCCTGGCAAGGCCTGAAGGCTGCTACTAAGAAGCAGAAGTACGACCGTATCATGGAGAAGAAGATGACTACCCCCACTGAGGTTCTTTGCCGTGGCTTCCCCAACGAGTTCTCCATCTACCTGAACTACACTCGTTCCCTGCGCTTCGATGACAAGCCAGACTACTCCTACCTCCGCAAGATCTTCCGCGATCTGTTCGTCCGCGAATCTTTCCAGTATGACTATGTTTTCGACTGGACCGTCTACAAGTACCAGAAGAATGCTGCTATGATCGTGGATGCCAACAAGAAGGACAAGGAGGCTGAAGAGCAGCAGCGCCGTCAGGGTGTTGCTGCTGCGGCGCCTATGGGCACCCCCGGTGCCGCCAAGCCCGGTGCCATTTCCAGCCAGCGCCGTAAGGTCATCGAACGTGGAACTCTTGACAACACGCCGGAAACCAACCGGGCCGTGGGAGGGAGTGACAGGATGTGAGTATCTGAAACCTAGGTTCCGTTGTAGGGAACCCCTTTCCTCTGCGTTTGGTGCTTTGTTATGACCCTGTGCGTAGAGGTCGGCTTGAAATCTAGAATCTGACTAATCTCATAGTCTTCGGCGTTAGGCTGCGTTCTGCTTCCAAGGTTGCTGCTCCAGGTGCTTATGGCCCTGCCGGTAGCCGCGCGAAGCGGGACGATGGGTACGGTTCTCAGTGGTACTGATTTGTACAGCATTGCAGTGTAGCTTGACGTTTCTTTTTTTTCGGTTGCCGTTCAGCTTGCTGCGTGTTGGCGCCACGCTATCTGAGGAGCCCAGGATTACCACTATACCGGCTATCTTCTGCAGCCTGCAGTGAACCTTTCGGACTTATTTCGCCTTGGGCCCCCAACTTTCCATTTTCTTTACTATTTCTCTCTCTGCATTCTCTGTTAGCCCGCCATCCCGTTCAAGATCGTCTTCCGGTTACCGCCGTTTCGATCCGTCGCGTTTGTTGAGATCGTCTGCTCGTCTATCGGCTATGCTGAACCTTTCGGAACGACACCGCTCGATGGATACATCACTTGCAAATCCTGGTTACGTTCATCATACACGAAAGGTCCTCGATGGCAGACTCGAAACGCTCTAATTGTGGCTATTCTACGTCTTAGCCTCCCGGTAGCGGTCGTTCCCACATGAAAATAATACGTTCCTATTGAAGTTTCGCGTGGAGTTACGCTGCTGTCGATCGGGAGGCTTAAGACCTAAGGAGATGCAAAGTTGAAATGATTACGCTTCAAGCACAAAACGAGATGTCTCTAACGCTGCAACTGTCGCGAGAGTCCCTCATCATGCTTAGCGACCATTTCCTTACAATGCCCCTGCTTTTGATATTTTCTTTCCTTTCTGCTTGCATGTTTCTTATTTCAGACTGTCATATTTTCCTACTCTTGACGCACAGAAGGGGACGATGAGAATGAAGGAACGACTGGTGGAGAGGTGTTGGGGAGGCGCTTCTTTTTCCCACTTGTCCAGGTGCTTTTGCGCTTGTCCTTGCCGAAAACAAGGGCAGCCTGTAGTGCTTTGGGCGGGGAGAAAGCGCGTCTCAAAAATGGGTATGTGGCGACGGAAACTGGCTAGGGTCGCTTCCGGGGTGGTATTGCGTCGATTCCTGTCACTTTCAACTGTTTTTCCTTGTGTATCGCCTCAGTTGTTAGCATCATTCATCTACATACCGAGAGGGGGCAGTCGGTGGGATCAGCCGGGCAGAATGTGCTTTATGCAGCACGTAACTGAGCCGCTTCCCATTGATTTGCTACCCAATCGGGAGTTATACATCTCGCACTCTGATACAATCACGTAAATCAGGAGTCTCAACGTAGTTGCTTCTGCTGTCAGTCGCCACGACTGTCCAGAAAACCCGCATAATGCCTAGTGGCCGTTATTTTCTGCACTCTTATGGAAGCAGAATGTCTTGAGCAATAAGTAGGCCAAGAGCACCTTATCTCCCTAGATACTACAGGTTCAACACAACCAACTAAGAACATCATATGACCTTTGTGTTCTTGTTCATGCTATGTAAATCTACGAGAGTCAAGAAAGATCACATCATAAACCACATTAAACACACATTCGCTTGGTCGGCATCTCCGCATTCGTGAAGATGCCGATATCTTTAGCATGGTACTTACAGTCAAGGCCAGCAAAATCCGCCTTTTTTCCACCTAACCAAATGAACTACAGTTCTTTGTAACTATGTATTGTATTGGCTGCATTTCACTCAGTGGTGGCAAGGTAAATGGCGGCCATGAACACCATATATTCAATGAGGTTTTAAAGGGTATATCCATCTACCTAATAATCAACCTATCGAATTTTAGGGTGTTGCATCGTGTACATAATACAGTACTGGACTACGATTTCAGTCGGTCCGTGGGAGAGAAATCGGGAATAGATTCAGACAGAGGCTTCGTTAAGTTAAAAAGTGAAGAAAGTAATGGAGTAGTAGTAGTACAGTCCAAGGTATGGAAGGTGAAGAAGAAAAGGAAAAAGGAAAGGTAAATAGATGAAAGGAAATGAAATGGATAAAAAAGGTGGATGGGGTATAAAAGGGAAACAAGAACGAAGGGGAAAGCGGGCGGTGAAAGTTGAATCAATAACAAAGGGTGAGGCTTATTGCAGGATAAAGATGCTGTAGCCACTAGCCATCAATCAATCAGCTGACTCGTGACATATACCAGACACATACACGCACAAACACAGATTTGAACTCTCATTATAATCGGAGACAGTTTTGTTGTGTTCAAGACATGCTTGCTGTTACATGATTCGTACCGGAGTGGCGAGGCTCGATCTTGTCTGTGGAGCTCGTCTCGTCTTCATCCAAACGACGCCTCCACTCGGCGAGACTGTCGCTCAGCCCCGTTTCCCTGGTTGGCGTTCTATCGAAGTCGGACTGCGTACTCAACCGATAGTTACGGTTGTTGCTCTCCCATTGGGTACGCAAGGCTTCCAGTTCGTTTGCAAGCGAGTCCAACGCCACCGAGTTTCGATTGTCAGGGAAAGCGTCGTCTTGAGACACGGCGCTGTCAGCCCTGGACCGACGGCCCGCGCCGATGGTGTTGCTTGAGGCGTTACTGTGGGTGCGAGAAATGCCGTTAATTCCTTGAACAGGCTGTGACTGCCGACGGTAGTGCCCGACTGACGCCTCAACCTGGTCGAGCAGCATAGTGACCTTCTGCTCGGCGTCGGACGCACGGTTCTCGAGCAAGGCGTTCTCCTGCTTAAGCTGTTCCAGCTCAGAGCGGCTTCTCTCTGCCGCAGCAGCAAGTTCCTGCTTGATACTTGCGAGTTCAGATTGCGATTTGGACTTGTCAGCCTCGGCGGCAGCACTCTCTGCTCTCAGCCTGGCAATTTCACTTTCAAGGTTGGCGATTGAGGCTGCTGTATCTTCTTGGAGGTCGGCGATTGACTGTTCGAGTCTTGAGCGTTCGGCCTCCCAATCAGCAGGGGCTTCCGAAGATTTGGCAGACGATTCAGCAAGAGCTGTCTGTGCCGCGTCGAGCTCCGACTGAAGCTTGCCGTTCTGAGACTTGTACCGAGCAAGCTCGTCCTTCATGCGCTTCAGCATCTTTTCAGTGCCCTTGACGTAATGAACAGCTGACTGGTAGTCGTTCTCTAGTTGCTCAAGCTTCTCTCTGTATGCGCGGTCGGCTTCCTGCTCACGAGTCTCGAAAGAAGACTTCAATTCTTCGTGGGCCTTCAGGCTGGTGGAAAGCTGTTGCTCCAGCTCGCGGAGCCGGCCTTGCTCGGGAGTTCCGAAACGAGAGCCAGGCGACTCAAGGGGTGAGCGTCGGCTATCAGCATAATTGACCCCGCGCTCTCCCAGGAGGTCCTTCAAGGCAGCATGCTGGACGGCCAGAGCACCGGCTTCGCGCTGGTGGTTCTCCAGCTGTGACTTCAATTCTCTGTTCTCAGCCGAGTGGCCTTGACTTTCCTTCATGGCTGTTTGCAGCTGCCTGCGGAGTTGCAACCCCTCCCTACTAGCCTGTTCCTGATACGCCTCCAGTCCAGCGATCCTCTCCTCTGCGCGACGGAGCTTGTCTGCTGCTTCATCTGCAGCAGCTTGACTTGTCTTGGCCAATTGGTTGGCCCTCTCTATCTGAGCTTCCAAAGCAGAGACCCGCTGATCGGACAAGGAGCGCAAGGATGCTTCAGAATCGAAGGATGACGCACGCTCAAGACCCAACAGGAACGCATTCTTGTGGGTTTCGGCTTCCCTCGAATGACTTTGCATGAGCTCCTCGGCATCTCGCAAGCGACGTGTGGCGTTCTCTAACTCGGCTGACCTTTCTTCGTGCTCCGAACGCAACTGCAAGAGCTTCCTTTCTAAACCCTCACGCCGCTCACGTTCCTCATCTAGTTGTCTCTCCAGAAGTTGAGACTTCTCAGACGACGCGGTAACAGCCTCCCGCAGGCCGCCAAGATTAGTGCCGTAGTCCCTAAGACGAGTGGAAGAATCCTCGAGTTTCTGCAGAAGTTCCTCCTTGTCCAAGGACAATTGCTTCACGGCAGAATCGGCCTCCGATCGCAACAGACTCTCTTCTCTGAGGGAGGCCTCCAACTGATGAAGTTCCGCCCTAAGACTTTCAGCCTCTAGTTTACTGTTGTGCATTTCTAGTTCGGCCAGTCGCCTCCGGGTGGCTTCACATGTCTCCTCGGCAAGCTCACGGCCTCTCTTTTCCTGTTCAAGCTCAGTGGTGATCACTTCCAGCTTGGATCTGAGCTCATTCTGCGACGCGAGAGCCAGAGCTAGCCTTCGGGTTAGATCTGTGCCACGTTCCACAGACGTATCTTCGGATTCCTGTGCATTCCCATCCGGTTGCGGGGTGCCCCTTTGACTTCCACCATGGGCAGCCAACTTGGCACGAGAATAAGCGGCTTCATTGACCGCAACATCCCTTTGGTGCTCCACCTCTGCAACACGTTTAGATGCTATGGCTGCCTGGCGATCGACAGTTGCCTGCATTTTGGCCAGCTCTGCTCTCATGGCAAGGAATGCTTCAATCAACGGTCGATCCTCGTCCGCAAATGCATCTGCGGCACGCTCATCCACACCAACGCTGTTTGCCGGGTTGGGTGCATACCCGGCCTTCTTAGCCAACGCAAGTTCGGAAGCATACCATGCATTCCGGCTTTTCACAGCTTCCAGTTCTTTGATAAGCGCTTCCTGGTGAGGCGTCAGTCTGGGCGACCGTGGTTCGTCTCCCGATCGCGAATTTCTGTAACTCCTCGACTCCGTTGAGCCATCAATACTAGCATGTTTACCCAGTATGGATTCATCGGCACTGTCCATAGAACTGCGTTGCCGGTGCTGGCGCAAAGACCGTTGTCTAGTTGGTGCACTTATAAGGGGTGCAGCCTCACCAGCTTCCATAGCCTTGGCGGACATTCTTGATGGCTGCTGAGTTGGCGTACGGCGACCGCTCGATGCCGCGCTCGAGTCTTGCATCGGCCGGGCTTCTTTTGGTGAGTCCCTGGCAGCTGGTGAATCTCGATCCCTGTCGGGCCCCATGGCTCGAGCGGTATCCACAGGAGGGCCTCCATAGGCACGATCCGTCTTGGTGGGCGTCTTGCTTCTGGGGTTCATGGCGTGCTGAGGAGTGTTACCTCTTTGACCAGGTGTTGGGGCCTGTCCAGGGGGAGGAGGCCCCGCGGGGGCTTGCGCTATCGACGCTCTGGGCAGTCGGGATCCTGGCCCTGGACTAGGGCCAAGGTCTGCTGGTCTACCAGTAGGGCTGGTCATCATGCTTTCCCTTGACTGGGGGGCTGGTCCACGTCGTTGCGCGTCAGGTTGGTTCTGGGATTCCCGCGATGTCCGACCCGTCGGTTGCATTGCACGGTCTCCACTCATCTTCCGCATCGCTTGGATAGGAGCCCTTTCGCCAGTTTGGTTCTCAGCTGGGTAGCGAATCTTGGCGGTATCTAGAATATATGCCATGCTGAGTTCGACGGGATCCCGTGGCGCAGAGCTCGGCTCACCCGCCAGAACGATGATTTGCTTTCCAAATGCTGTCATGCTGTGACCAGACCTCGGAGAAGGCGCAGGCCCCATGTTTTGGAAAGAATACCATCGTCGTGTGGAGATGCGGAATGCGGCAAGATCCCCGAGGTCAATACCTTCGTCCGTCCGTCCTCCGAATATATACATAACGTCGTTGACAAGAGCCGCGGCGTGCCCTTCACGAGGTGTTGGGATAAAGCCGACACAATCCAATTGAGACCAGGTGTTGGCACGAGGGTCATAAGACCAGACATCGTTGAACCATTGCAAGCCATTCGTTCCTCCAAACCTGGAGCAGAGTCAGACATCGAGTGCATAACTCAGAGGGCCGAGAGGGTATAGACGAAGCATAGACACTTACAGATACAGTTTGTCGTTGAAACTCACTATTGTATGGTTGGTTCTGGCGGGTGGAATTTGGCCGGGCGGAGGGCCACCTTCGTGGCTATTCCGAATAAGGAATTCCCACTTGTTACCAGGGTTCTGAAGCTGGTTTAAGTCGAAAGAAACCAAGTCGTTGAAGAAATAGCCTTCGACCTGTCCACCAAAAACATAGAGTCTAGAGCCAAGAATGTTGAGGGTATGGCCATAGCGCCCGGCGGGTCGAGGACCTGGGGGTATGGATCTGGACCATTGACGAGAAGCTGCAGCCCGGTCAGGTTAGAATATGAACACCCCAAGAAGTCTCACAGCCTATGAGACTATCGCACGCATACGTACATGTATTCAAGAGGTAGAGTGTGTCGTCCAAGGTGTCGGATTCATCCACCTTAGTATCGCCTCCAAATACAATGAAGGCGTTACCGACCAGCAAGCTGGCGTGGCCGACTCGCGGGCCTGGCCCTTCGGAGACAGTAGCGATGGGAAAACAGGACAAGTTACCGCCGCTGTTTTCCATCATCCACAAATCTCCCTTGACAGTCGACCCATCTATTAGCCCACCCATCATGTAGATGTCGCCCTCCTTCGATGCCACCGCATTGATTGCTGCTCCATAGCGAGGGAATGGATTTGTCTGGGCAGAGGTGAAGTTCACGCGTCGTTGCGACCATGGGTACAATGATGCACCTGGACTACCATTCGGGGAGTTACTTGGCGGTGCCTGTTGTGGACGTTGGCCCTGCGTGCAATCAGCCAAGGTTCGGAAAATGAGTAGCACTCATCGCAAGCAGAACAGGAGACACAATATTGAGTGCCACTATGGGAGAGGATCTGGGAAACCAACCTGCGATTCGGATTCGGCTCTCTGGCGCATCCGCGGGTGATCGGGGCTGTTCGTGCCATTCAACGAGTTCAAAGAATTATTGTAGCTACTGCTGGGCGTCGGGGTCTGGGAATGTGATCCATCCCGTTCTTTGGCGCCGCTGGGCTGCGCAGCCGCTGGTGGGTTTGGATTTGGGTTTGCCGGCGGCCCTTCTGAAGTATGAACATTTCTAGACGCGGGGGGTAGGCCAGAACCCTGCTGGTGTTTCTTCGACTTAAAGAGGAATGCCATCGTTAAGATTGGGTCGTAAACGGTCGTCTCAAGCACAAAGCAGCGGAGCAACGGCGGAAGTGCAATAGAGAACTGGGGGAGTCCACCAGCTGCACCAGGTCACCTGTACCAACAGAGTTCCAAATGCAATGAGGTCGGGGTATATTATAGATTGAAACAAGAGATACCAGTAAAGACCGGCAAGAGGATAGCCCAAGAGCGCCGGGTTGTTGAACGATATGAAGGAGCGAACGGCGGGGAGAATTGAATCGAAGTCGAAAGCAGAGTAACAACAGTAGGGACCGGCGTTCGTTCCTGACGATGCTAGAAAGAGCAGTTAAATGCACCCCATTCAAATCAACGACCCTTCTCTTGAAGCCGCTCGATGGATATATTCGGAGACTGCGAGAGTTGTCTTGCCCTTTAATTCCGAAATAGCCTCATTGAAATCCGATCGCGACACTGACAGAGCATGGAGAGGGGTGAAATATAGAAAAATCACAAGAAAGCAGACAGGGGTGGATAACAGCAAACGGAACGGAACGACTGCGACTAAGGACAAGCAAAGAAGGCCGACGGAAAAGTGGACAACAGGGCACCCAAAGACGAGAAGAACATGAACAAGGAAAGAGAGAGAAAAAGGATGAAGGTGCGCGAGCAGCAAGATGGGGCTCTGGACCTGGAGAATTGGAGGAGAGGAGAGAGGGAGGGAGACGAGAAGAGTGAAAGACTCCGGCGTTTCACACTTTCTGGCCAGCCAGCATTAGATAATTATCCTCTGGGCTTTGGCAGCAATTAGTTTTAGTTTTAGTTTAGGGGGGGGGGGAAGGCAGAAGAAGAGCGAAAAGACGGATGGGGATGCGGACCTGCCAGGGCGACACCGCCTCATCGCCGTTCTCCAAGGCAGCTTCTGCTCTGCTTACTTTACCGTCTTGTGGGAAAGTTAATCTCTTTTCCCTCCCTGTCAACAAACCCAAAGAAAAGAAAGAAAAAAAAAAAGTAAATAAAGGTCAATCCATCCTCCCACGAGGCGTTTCCATTCCCCAGACAGTGGTGGTGGTACATCCACCTCCCATACCTCAAGTCTTCCCTAGTTACATTCCCACCGTGCCCACCCTCCCCGAACCACCTTACAACCTCCTCCATCAATTCCATGCCTCATTCGACTACTGATTAGCACGGACAAGCTACGATTAACTTGTGGTTCTTGATCCCCCCCTTGTCTCACTGCTTGTGTTCCATCAAACCCCGATAACTTTCTGTCAGAATCTCATTAACCGGGCTAACAGCCAGAGTTCGGTCGATCGGCCTTCAAAATAAGCAATACAATCGCAACTGCCGACATGTGTCTGTTGTTGGTCCACTTGGCTTGTCGCTCCACCCAGTTATCTGCCTACTCCTCAATGCATGGACGATAGATGAGATGCGAAAGCAGAGGTGTCTACCCAGACTCGGTCATCTTGAGGATATCCTCCATTGCAAGCCAGTAATTGCAAAGATACAATGTGAGTGGATGTGGGTGAGCCACTGGTCATGCAGGAACCACCGCGAGAGGTTGGTTGGTTCCCTTGTGGCTCCCGAGCCACATCATCGACACCCCGAACATTCCACCTGGCAAACAAAACTCATCGGCTGGGCAATGTACGGAGGACCGCAGCAGAAGTTTCTTAAATTATGATTAGTCCGACGATGATATCACATTAGCCACGATCTAAACATCCCTTGCTGATTCAGGGCCATCTTTCATGCAGGAACGAGACATACTTATTACAAAGTACATTACGGACAGTAGCAACACCCATCCATCCTGCGGGCGGGCGCATTTGAGAAGAATACCGTTCTACGCCATGGCCTGACCAGCCATCGCAAAGCTTGCTAGTATCCATGGCTCCATATACTCCATATGCCTTTGGTCTCTGGGCCCAGACATCCGGCATCAGCCGGACATAGATGCCCCATTTAGTATCAGACAGAGGGGGGCTCCGTGTCCCAGACAGGCAGACATAAGGTGAGGTTTAGACTGAAAGATGCGCGAGGGACATGAACTTTATTTAGTATGCAGATAGCAACGATCTCGTAGTCCCATCCCTTTATTATGAGGATCTCAACTAAAGCCCGAATCGTTGCAAAGCAAACAAACCGGGGTCTTCATAAACGGCATGGTACTGGCTACGTCACAGTATGGCCATAGAAAGCAGTTTGCGAAACGAGGTATCTTTGTCTACTAAGTAGTGTGATGCCTCGGATAGGTGAGCTGCCGTTGGAGTAAATGAGGCAAGCGTTCTGGTGAAAGTTGAATGTGTCGCTTTGATTGGCGACAGCCATTATTCAGGGATTATGAATCAGGTCGGTTCAAACTCCTCCACCTTCTAATTCTGGAGGGGAGTTGATCAACGGTAGACTTCCTAGCGAAGCTGACTGGCTGGGGAAATATGGTGTAAAGTCCGGATGGGTTAGCGCTGGGGGAGGGCCAGGCTTACAGACTTACAGTTACTAAGTTAGCTCCGCCCGTAGCGAGGCTCCTCATACAAAATAGCTCGGGACGCTGCCAGGAAACGAGAACCACGAGATTGAGCAGGGCGGAACCAGGGGTTGAACAGTCCCAATATCCAAGGGGGGTTAGGGAAAAGAGAGCCACTAGGGTCAAGCAGAGATCACATTGGTCACGGCAAAAGGGGCTGGTCCGCATTATCTGGCCCATCATTCCCACGACAGGCGAACTAATTTCTGGATTCCAGACAACGGTCGGTTCGATCGATATCTACATACCCTGTGTGGTTTAGTCCAGCAACCACTGGGACCATGGGAACCGCCAGAGATATGATTCTCAGGCCACTGGGCATGGGGCGCTGAATGGCTGGTACCCCCCTTTCATATCTGCTATTCAGTAAATATCTACTACTTAGTAGAGTAAGTAACTAGTAAGGGACGCCGAAAGTACTACTACTACCTGTCAGTACTACGTAGCAGGATGCCACTACCCTTCCTGTCGTATCTTACAATGCTCAATCTCTCAATTGGTTTCTTTCGTGGCGGCAGTGGCGCATCGTGATCTGGGCGCTGACGGCTTTTTTTTATTTTTTTTTATTTCTTTATTTTTCCTCTCCCCCGGATGTCCCGTGATGGTGTGCTTGCCTTTCTTTTCCCTTTTGCAAGCCACTCATAAGCCATCACCCGTATCGGGTTCCCTACCTTGACCACCAATGAGGTTGGCTCATACCCATGGTTGAACATGGCCCAGCCTGCAGGGCTTGCAGTAGCCCCGTTTTTACCACTTTAATTAGAGCGCACTTGGGGTGGAAAAAGTAAAGAAAGTTGTCGGCTGAAATGAAGCTGCGTCCTTCCGAATATACCTGGTCGCTTCTCATAAGATTTTCAGTCGGAAGGGTGCATCAAGCCTACTCGCTTAGTATTGGCAAACAGATAGACATGGGCAGACTGTTTCACACAGAAGAGTGACTGAAACGAAACATGATCTGACGGCTTCCGATCGCCGTTAAGCCTACCCGTCTTGGTCCCTTGTCTCTGTTCTCTCCCCCACGCCTCCTTACCACTACTGTAGCCGGGTTACGAAAATACGTTGCTACTGTGCACGGAGTAAATAGTAGTGGGAGAAGACACAAAGCGCAACTACTCGTAGATTATAACACTTTTAACCCTATTTTTCAGTGTACTAAACTGGTATCCATATCTGTTCATAGATAAAAGTGCATCTACGGTATTGTATTGGAAGATAAGCATGTAAATCACAACGTGTTGATAGAGTGTGAACCGTGTCATTGCCTCTCCTGAACTCCTGATATAAATATAGCTTGGGTGGGTAGTGTATGGAGTAGTTAAAGTGATATTGATCTAGTCCAAACTAGGTACGTATGAACACCGGAGTTCTTGAGTACGCTTAGTCAACATGCTAGACATGTGACTTATGAACTCTGGAGTGTTAGCTGCCAGGTGCGATGACAATGAAGATGGGTTATCAAAGTACGTGGTTTAGATGAGAAGATAAAACATAAATAATCTCAATATATCCTCCCCCAGTAATAAGTAACCAAACCAACCACTCGGCAGGAATATCGTCATCCATGGGAGCTGCCTAATCCAGTTAAGCGCAGGCGTTGGATATGCTCCGGGGACAACGATGTTCCGTCCAGGCCATGCCAAGAGGATCCCGGCCAGAGCTCATGGTTCTCGCCGAACCAACATCATCAACCAAGTCCCCCGCGTCTTTGGAAGGGAGTGTCAGCAGTTTCAACGTCCTGGGGAGACCGAATCGCCTGGTGTTTGAGTTCGTTTTGAATCCCTGACCGTGGCAGAGCTTCCTCGCCACAGGGCGTCCTCCCAACTGCTGGCTGCTGACTGCTGACCCTCCGGATTGGGTATGAGAATCGGCTGGTCCCAGTGCATGCACTGTGACATGAGTATTGATAAGGTGAGAGCATATTCACCGGCGCATCTGCCCTACAGTCAACAGTCGACGCCTTTGCAACACAAACTCCATGCATGTGAGATTCTTCATCGTCTTCCTCTATATGCTAACTCCTCCGCATGTTCAGGTCCCGGCCTGCTTCATCCTCGTTACTTCACGCCGCATGATGACCTTCGATGTATAACAGACCCTGATTGACCAGAGTTCAGAATGGAGCCCACAATCCAGCAGGCATCGCAACCCGAACCTCGGAAGAGTCACCACAAGTCTGTTCGGGTTGCCTTTGGTCCGGATCTAGAAACACACATTCCCCCGCGTGACAGATCACCCGCTCCAGTTCCAGGACATCACCGATCATTCACTACCGTGGAGCACAAACAGCCTCCCGTTATCACACCCGAACGACCGACTAGCTCATCTGCAGGCGAGAACCCGGTGATCATCGAGAACAATGGCCGACTGGCTTCGGATCGATCGTCGGAATCTGGAAGACCGATTGCGACCCTGAAGAGGGCCCGCAGCGACTATGGGCCCAGAGTGGGGCTTGATAAAGCCATTGCTGCGGATGAGGAAGAGGACATTGCCATGAGACACGGATGGCAGGAGGAATATACCTCGAGCGAGTACCTGAAAGTCCTGCACTCGGTAAGCAGATGCAGCAGATAGCCAAGGCTTCCAATCCGAACGGATCTGACTGCTCTAGAATTTCTACATGTATTTTACAGAGAAGCGCCATGAGACGAACGGTATCCCCAGGGATCCGGTCGGAAGCTGGCCCAGTCAAGACTGGCGTATGAAAGACCGCCTGAAAACCGTCTCTGCTGCGCTAGCCATCTGCCTGAACATCGGCGTCGACCCGCCCGATGTGGTCAAGACGAACCCGACAGCTAAGTTGGAATGCTGGGTCGATCCCACGTCCACTACCGGCGGTGGTCACAATAAGATCATGGAGCAGATCGGAAAGAAACTACAGGAGCAATATGAGACACTTAGCTTAAGAACTAGGTACAAGCAATATCTTGACCCCTCTGTCGACGAGACGAAGAAGTTTTGCATCTCTCTGCGCCGTAACGCCAAGGACGAGCGAGTGCTGTTTCATTATAACGGCCATGGTGTTCCTCTCCCTACTCAGTCGGGTGAGATTTGGGTCTTCAACAAGAATTACACGCAGTACATTCCGGTATCCCTCTACGACTTGCAGTCCTGGCTTGCAGGACCTAGCCTGTTCGTCTTCGACGTGTCGCATGCCGGGAATATCGTACAGAATTTTCACACCTTCGTTGAGAAACATGAGAAGGAGAACGCAGAGGCGAAGAAGCGGGATCCAAATGCCATCGTTCAAAACTACGGGGACTGTATCATCCTCGCAGCGTGTCAGAAGACAGAGTCGCTCCCAACTAACCCCGATCTCCCTGCGGATATTTTCACATGTTGCTTGACTACGCCTATCGAAATTGCCCTGCGCTTCTTCATCCTCCAGAATCCCCTGCAGACGAATATCTCAATTGACGAGTTTAGAGTGCCAGGCCGGTTACAGGACCGGAGGAGCCCATTAGGAGAGCTGAACTGGATCTTCACTGCGATTACGGACACTATCGCCTGGAACACCTTGCCACGGGCGCTGTTCAAGAAGCTTTTCCGTCAAGATCTTATGGTCGCTGCTTTGTTTAGAAACTTTCTGCTCGCCGAGCGTATCATGCGCACATATAAGTGTCATCCCATTTCATCTCCTGAGCTTCCAGAAACCCACCATCACCCGCTGTGGAAGAGCTGGGATTTGGCAGTCGAGATGGTCTTGTCGCAATTACCGGCTCTGATTGATCACGAAGAGGGTCGCAGGCAATATGAGTATCAGCATTCAACATTCTTTGCCGAGCAGCTTACGGCGTTCGAGGTTTACCTGTCGTCAGGTCCAACGGAAAAGAATCCCCCAGATCAGCTTCCGATTGTGCTACAGGTCCTTCTCAGTCAAGCACATAGACTCAGGGCGTTGATATTGCTTAGCAAATTCCTGGACCTGGGACCTTGGGCTGTCCATCTGGCTCTGAGCATCGGGATCTTTCCATATGTCGTAAAGCTCCTGCAGTCTGCAGCTCAAGAATTGAAGCCAGTGATGGTCTTTATCTGGGCCAGGATCATGGCCGTCGATCATACAGTCCAGAACGATCTGTTGAAAGACAACGGAATCCATTACTTTATTTCCATCCTCAACCCTTCCTCGCCGATTCCGGTGGGCAATGCTAGCGAACATCGAGCGATGTGTGCGTTCATCGTCTCGATATTTTGCAAGAATTATCCTCAAGGCCAGAATGTGTGCCTTTCTGCTGAGCTCTTTGACTCTTGCCTCAAGCACCTTATGGATGTGGAAAACCCCCTGTTGCGGCAATGGTCGTGTCTCTGTATTAGCATGTTGTGGTCGGACTTTCCTGAAGCAAAGTGGATGGGCATCCGTTGCGCTGCTCCTGCAAGACTTTGCGAGCTTAATTTCGATCCGGTCCCAGAGGTCCGAGCTGCAATGCTCCATGCAGTAACGACGTTCTTGGGTATTCCTGATTTGACAGACCAGGTTGCCCAAATTGAAGAGTCACTGGCTATGACGGTGCTGCCTATGGCATCGGACGGCAGTGTCCTGGTGAGGAAAGAACTCCTGGTCTTTTTCTCAACGTTCGTGAGGCGCTATCAGAACAAATTCCTGGTTGCTGCCTACGAGGAATTCCAGGACGAGAAGCAGAACCTCCAGCTGAAACTGGAACAAGATGGTACTCGGAGCCTTTCCTTGGAGGATGTGCCAAATATCTCCGCAAATGGCTCCACAGATCCCACCCATCGGTCACAGATATTGTCCCGGAACACGACTTTTGGTACAATTTGGAAACAATTACTTATTCTTTCTGTTGATCCTCATCCCGACATTGCTCAAGATGCGGCCATGGTCGTCGACTACATTCACATCTGTCTTCTTCAATCCCCTATGGCAGCGCTAACTAACAAGATTCGCAATGAGATCTTGGATCTCTCGAGTCGTGTATCTCAGAAGTTCCAGGTCCGAGAAAGGCCAGAGTCCAAGAAGACTGCCCCACCGCCGACACCTCCTTCCGCAGCACCACCGAAACAAGAAGGCTATCTGTCACTGAGCCTCAAACGAACGGCGAGTGTCGCTGCATCGCTCAAGAACTTGGCATTTGGCAATTCATCCGCCGCCGAGGCGCAGTCGCAGCAAACGTCAACGGCCCCGAAGAGTCGAGTGCCCATGACACCGAGAGGACGAGCCCCTCCCGAATGGACGCGGCCTCCAGAGGTTAACGACCAAGTCGCTCCCGCGACTGCATATCACCAGGCCCCAACCCCTACTTCACGAGGCTTTGAACCCAGAGATCCCACGGCTGTTCCGACGATCCCCTTGATGAGCAGGTTCCTAGATTGGTCCACAGAGGTAATCCCAGAACTCCTTGATGCAATAAGCGCGGAAACCCAAATTGAGTATGAGCAACTTCTTACCCGTATCCAGTACTTCCGGGAACCCCAGATGAAACCCAATGAGCCCGACGAGCCCGGTAGTGCGGACTACAACGAACGCCTTTGGAGACGGAGTCGCAACGAGAAGATCATTTCGGAGACCCAGCCCCTGAAGGGAGTAGCCGGCAGCAGCCGATGGGACAATTCGTTGTCTCTCTTGTCTAACAGCAGTCAACCCTTGAAAATGTGCTTCCACCAATTTGAGGATCATCTCGCAGTGGCGGACGACAGGGATACGATTGCGTATGTGCTTAGGATCAGCCGTATATTCCTTCGCTAATACCAAATAGGATATGGGACTGGCAGAGCCACAAACGCCTCAACCGCTTTTCTAATGGCAACCCAGCAGGCTCGAAGATCAACGAAGTACGGTACATCAACGAGGATGATCAAGCACTCTTGATGACTGGTTCCTCCGATGGCGTCTTGAAAGTGTTTAGGAACTATGAGTCCTCCAAAAAGGTTGAGATAGTTACGTCTTTTAGGGCTCTGCCGGAATTAATCCCCAGTAACCGGAATGCGGGCCTGGTTCTCGACTGGCAGCAGGGTCAGGGAAAAGCGTTGGTCGCAGGAGACGTCAAGGTCATTCGTGTATGGAATGCAGCTACCGAAGTGTGCACCAACGTATGTATCCACTTGTTGAATATGGGGACACTCTTCTGACTAATGCATAGGATATTCCCGCAAGGTCCGGTTCTTGTATAACTTCTTTGACGTCGGATCAAGTTGCAGGAAATATCTTCGTGGCTGGATTTGGCGATGGCGCTGTTCGAGTGTTTGATCAGCGTCTCAAGCCGACAACCTCCATGGTCAAGGTCTGGCGTGAGCACAAGCAATGGATTACCAACGTCCATATGCAACGCGGTGGATTGAGAGAACTGGTGTCTGGTAGCCGAAATGGCGAGATTCGGCTATGGGATCTTCGAATGGACACGCCCTTTTCAACGTTCTCAGCGACCAGGGACACGCTTCGCACATTGAGCGTGCATGAACACGCTCCTGTGTTCATGGTGTACGTACATCTTAATCAAATATGGCTAAGCATATTGGCTGACTTTATGAACAGGGGTACCAACCGACACGAAGTCAAGACGTTCAACGTCAATGGTACATATCTATCCACCTTCGAGCCCTACTCGAGCTTCCTCCACCACAACCGCTCGTCCCCGATTGCTAGCACGGCTTTCCACCCTCACCGCACCCTGCTGGCGTGTGCTGCCCTCAACGACAACCACATTAACCTCGTGAACTGCTAATCTATCTTCCATCCCCCCTTCATGGCCATTCCATCCAACCCTTATACCACTCCTAGCAAATTTCGGCGCCTGGAACTTTCATCCTTCGGGCAATGTTCGATTCGGATTGTTTTCCTTCTGATCTTCAACCTAACACCTTTTAATGGCAAATCATGAAGCATCACTTTCTGGCGTAGGTCGGCTAGCTTTTTGCGTTGGCGCTAGGAAATATTCTTTTCGTTTCCTTTATTATGGTCTCGTTTTCTTCCTTCCATTTCTTGTCTTCCCACTATGACCGTGTCGCTTGTATATGGATGGACATAGCTATGCAGGCAGACCAGGGTTTTAATTGTCATTCTATACCCAGTGTTGTGTGAAGAATGGCTTGTAGGATTGTAGATAGTATTCATTTACTTCACCAATGAAGTAGCCGAGTGGCCAATCTTATAGTATGTTAGGTATGGACCTCCTGTCAATTTGAGCTGTAGCAAACATACCGTGTCCTTGCCTTGGTTCAAATATATAGTGGGCACATGGCATTTATAATGAAATATCATCATGTAAAGATATCAGTAGCTTATAGGTGTTATCTGCAGCTTAGAAAGGTTACTACTAGTAATTAAAAGGATATAAAAGACGATACGACTAAAAGCCCCCAAATCGATGATTACTGGTAACTATCACAACTGTAGGTAACTTTTGTCAGACCCTCACGCAACTCTGGGCCCCTACTGATACCTTCTTCTGGTATTATTTTACAGTTGATATTTACCATATAGTAGTTCTATTTAACAATGCGAAATTGAAACATGCTCACACTACTAGTGGAGATCGGAAACGCTGAAGAGGGTTTGTACATCACAGCACCCAAAAATATACTATGCAGTACTAAGGCAATGGGCACCTGACTTCAATATGTAGTTACGACAGTAAGAAACAGAAAATATATATACCAAATGTACACATATTCACCTCACACCACACATATCATACAAGAACTACATAAAAACACACTGAACTTTTCCCTCCCGGTCCTTCAACAGCTGCATCCCATCCCATCCCCTTGAGAATCACATCCACCAACAAGAAAAACCTACTGCAACGACTTCTCCCAATCCGCCGCCCACAACGCCGCCCCAACCGTATTCGTAAACGCAAACGCAATCGACACAAACGGGACCATTTCCAGCGCGAACGCCGCCATCCCAAACCTACCCAGCAGTCAGTCAGCCATCACCCACACCCCCAAATATACTACCACCCCAAGGGGGAAAAAAGAATCGATAAAACATACCCAGTATACTTCCCCCTCCACCTCCCGACCCATCTCGCCCTATCCCCCTTCTTCCACCCCTTCAACGCAAACCACCGCTCATGCACCCCCTCACCGACCTTCTTCCCCTGCACATAAACATACATCACCGTTCCCACAACAGGAACGAAGTTCAATGGCAGCAATACCACACTCCTCACCAACATATTCCACATGTTCGTTTGTCTTTCCTCGACTTCTTCCTTGCTCCCGAGGCGGGAGATAGCATCATCACCACTACTCTTTCCAGACTGTTCAAGTAGTTTCTCCTGACCCATCTCTACGAGCGTCGCATCAAACGTAGCGGTGATCGCATCCGCGAGGAGAAACGACCTCGCGAGGAAGGTCGTGATGGTGGAAGACTCGCTGAGGACGAGTAATACGGCGGAGAAGGGGGCGAGGAGGGGCCCACTGGTAATGGACATGATGGCTGCTTGGGGCACGTAAGTGAAGAAGAACATGGCTGTGGTGACGCCCACGCCGAGGGTGAGGGTTTTGGAGGAGCGGGAGAGGAGGGGTTGGCGGAGGGTGGGGCGGTTGAGGGTGTAGATTATTCCCTATATTGATATTTAGTATTGGGTTGGGGGTGGTTTATTCGGTGTAGGTATAGTAGCTATGGATGTCTGTATGGGGGATGGGGGGATGTGGTTGGTTCAGGTGGTGGAAGTGCACCTTAATTGGGTAGAAATATGTCCCTGAGAGGACGACATCTTTGGCGATGGCCCGGATGTGGGTTGCTTCGTCGATGAGAGCTCCAGTAATTTTGTTCATGGTTGTTGTGAGGGTCTTTTGTGGTTGGCAATTATAAGGGTGTTCATGAGGGAAGGTGTTGCGGAGGGAAACTTTTGGATTGGCGGTGACGTCGTCGGGAGCTAGCTATCTACTGTATCCACCATGTGGGGATTACCCGATTCAATGATATGAATCCAGTGATTGCTCTGATACGATCTTACCGGTCCCGGTGTCGGTCCTTTCTTTTTCTTTGATCGATCATGTCATCTAAATTATCGCATTCGTTAGTAGTAGCTATCATAGACTTCTCCAATCCCGTCTTACTGCTAGTAATAACTATCTTGAGAATCTGGCATCCAGATGAGTAAGAATCGATGAAAACGCAAATTGGCTCCAAATTTCTTAGGCTACAGAGCAACCCTAGTTCTGGTACCAAAGTGTAATTCGCTGCGCTTGACAGCAACTCAAATGGATACAGAAAGACTCCCTGCAAAAGTAACCCTTCGATATTATACACAGATAGACCGATCAAAAGTCCTGCAATCGAACCTACCGAGATTTCCAAGATGAAACTTGTGGTCTGCCGAGCTTGCTGCCTTATTCCGCGCAGAAAGCACAGAAACATCTGGAGGTACCATGGTGCCCCCCGTGAATTATCGTAATCAGCCAAGTCTGAGAGAAATTTTGCATTTTCAGATCTGTCAGGGGCGTTTTGACTTCTAGAAGAGGCAGAGTTCAGCTGAATCGCTTCCCAACCCCTGATCAATAGAGCCGAGAGTTCGGCTGGCTCAGGTGGCGCCGAATGATTATATTCTCGTCCATGGCCAGAAATGATATCCATGATGATATCCGCGGGATTGCAGTGACTGGGGAACACGAATCCCTTCGATTCAAAGTACCGTACGCAATCGCTTCTATGGCCCATGTATACTTGCCTTCCAGCTGAAAGCAGCAGCACACGTATTCGCCAAACGGCAAATGGACACACTTGTAATCCTCTCTCCCAATCCCGTTGATTCAAATAGATCCGTTTGAGTTGGGTTTGGGCTAGGCTCGCTTCGCCGATCAGCTGACTTAGGGGTGTCGTTAGTCGGATTTGCGCCATGTTGTTAGCGGTCCGTCTGACCCCTGTGCTGAGAAAGAAATTCGGCGTAGGCCAAATATTGGACCTCTTGCTTAGTTTTCGCGGGAGGCATATGGTATCTGCTGACCTCATATCCCTTCGCTCAGGCTGAAGTGCTTTATCCAATCTACCCTTTCGACTTCATTTTCATGATGCCAATGACTGCATCGACGACAGATCCCACGAGATGGCGTCTCATTGTGGATGAGGGTGTTCACCAATGGCGGTATGTTAGCGAAGCCGACTCAGCACGTCGAGTACAGTCCACAGCAGAGAAATACTTTCTTGGATTGCCCACGGTAAGTGAACTGTCATCAGCAGCTAAGCTAGAGCTATGTTGGCTTACTTGTGCAGGGATTGCCGTCACTCGAAATCCCACACAGCTTTCAGCAATCTGCTCGCAATGGTTTCCGTTTTTATCAAAAACTCCAGCTGGATGATGGCCACTGGGGATGTGGTTATGGTGGCCCCAGCTTCTTACTTGCTGGTATTGTAATAGCGATGTACATCACTGAGACGGACATTCCCTCTGAATGGAAGGCCGAGCTTCTCCGTTATCTTTCAAACACGGTCAATGAAGATGGTGGCTGGGGGCTACATGCTGCTGGTGCCTCCACCGTTTTCGCAACAACTCTCTATTATGTCACCTTGCGAATTCTAGGGGTCCAGCCGAGTCATCCTCTCACTAGTAAGGCGCGTGTCCGCCTACACGCCCTAGGTAAGTGCATACATGTCTACTATCTATATAAACCAGCCGAGGCTCAATATATGGATAGGTGGGGCAGTCGGGATCCCGCAGTGGGGTAAGATCTGGCTGGCTCTGTTGAATCTTTACAGCTGGGGTGGAATCAATCCCATCCCCCCAGAGCTGTGGTATGATAATCCCTTCAATGGCGTTGCCTATGAATTGTAACCCTGGCAGAGCTGATAAGGGTCTAGGTTGCTCCCCGATTGGATCCCATTCCATCCATGGCGTTGGTGGGTTCAGTGCCGCGTGGTTTATCTTCCTGTTTCATACCTCTACGCAAATAAGGTTGCGATACCTTTAAATCCTCTCATTGCTAGCCTCCGCCAGGAAATCTATACACAGTCATATGAGAGCATTCATTTTGAGAAACACCGGGATGCTGTGGCTGTCACCGACTTGAAGAAGCCACCGTCCAGTCTTCTTCGCGTTGCTAATATGTGCTTGCATTTCTGGGAGCAATATTTCCGGCCCAACTATGTCGCGCAATGGGCTAATGAGCGGGTATATGAATTGATCCGGCGTGAAGATGAGAACACATCCTATAATTGTCTGGCTCCAGTCAACAAAGCTTTCCATATGGTGAGCGTCTGGCACTCAGATGGTGCTACTAGTACGCGCATGCATCGCCATCGCGAGGTCATACCGAGCTACATGTGGGTTGGCGAAGAGGGAATGACCTGCAGTGGAACGAATGGAGTCCAGGTCTGGGATACAGCATTCAGCATCCAAGCTATGGTCGAGGCTGGAGTTTCCATGCTGCCAGAGTTTCGTTCTACACTGGAAAAAGCCTTGAAGTACTTGGACATCTCTCAATTGAGGGAAGACCTGGCCGACGAGTACCGTCAGCCACGGAAAGGTGGTTGGCCTTTTAGCACACGGAACAATGGGTATATTGTATCGGACTGTGCTGCAGAAGCACTCAAGGCCGTCTTGATGCTTCAAGAAGAGTGGTGAGTTTTCAAATATCTTACCGTTTGAAGAAAAGGAGCTTGACTTCTAATTTGTATCTCAGCCACTTCATCAAATTAATCTCCGATGACCGTCTGCAGGACTGTGTTGATAGTCTACTGCTGATGCAAAACCCCGACGGTGGATTTAGCAGTTACGAACGTACTCGATCCAGCACTTTACTCGAACATCTCAATGCGTCGGAGGTATTCGATCGCATTATGGTCGAATACTCATACCCGGAGTGCACAACGGCAGTAGTCACAGCGTTATCACTTTTTAAGCAATACTTCCCCAGTTATCGAGCGAAGGAAATCAATGGAGTCATTGAGCGCGCGGTAAAATATGTTATAAAAGCACAACGGCCCGATGGAAGCTGGTATGGATCATGGGGGGTGTGTTTCACTTACGCGTCGTTCTTTGCCATGCAATGTCTGGAACTGGTCGATCAGACATGGCAAAACAGCAGTCACGTTCGGAAGTGCTGCAATTTCCTTCTCAGTAAACAAAAGGAAGATGGCGGCTGGGGCGAACATTATACGTCGTGTGAGCAAGAAGAGTATGTTAATCATGAGCGGAGCCAGGTTGTAAATACTGCCTGGGCTTGCTTAGCATTGATGCACGCACGTTATCCGTACAAAGAGGATATTGAAAAAGGGCTTAAGGTACAACCAATAATCTCCCTATTGCCTTCAAGTGATCAGCCGGTGCATTCGGAGGACATACTGACAACACTTTGCAGTTGATCATGAGTCGGCAGCAGAGAAATGGCGAGTGGTATCAAGAGGATGTAGAAGGTGTCTTCAATAACACGTGGTGAGTATTTGACCTTGGTCTCATTGCAGCTTAGCACAAGCTAATTATTTTCAATCTAGCATGATTGGCTATCCCAACTACAAGCTCTATTTTACCTCATGGGCCCTCGGGAGATATGTTCACATGTACCTTCCCATGCTCAAAAGGGAAGGTTATGAGTAAGTGCCTATGCGTTTTGTTGTCATGGATATATTGACACTGTATTAATAGATACATTACCGCCCTGGACATCAAATTTTGATGTGAGCTAGTGGCTGCTACCGACTCAGGAGGCGTACCTTAGCTGTATCTTATCCGAGTATGAGACTGAAGTCAACCTTTTGAAATCTCATACCCTGGCCTGACCACCAGGTTACGGTCAGGGCAAGCCACTATAATACTGCAAAAGCGCCGCGGCTATCGGTGGAAAACAATATTTTGGACCTGAACGGTATATTGTAGACTTAGTACTTTCATGATATTCCTAGCTCCGAATTTAATACTAGAACCACTTCTCGCTCAACCATAATGTAGTGTATATCACATGCGTTTATCTCATGAAAAAGTACATGCTCCCCGTGATGGTACATGAAAGCCGCCTTGCACATACGGAATCAGGCTCAGTCAAAGTAGCTATGTTTACCATCCTGGCTGGGCGAGCAATAATAAGGATCTACGCCCCCAAAGTCGGCAAAGTTTGCTGCTTGCTTTTTGCGATTCTTGGAGACGTAGGAATAGAGGTTGATTATCACATCACCCAGTAGCAGTGTCGTCTGCTTCTCCTTTTCACTAGCGCAGTTCTCTGCAATTCCCTTGACTTGCTGACGGAGTTTGTTATGGCCTCTTCCATCCTTGTGGAACCACACATCTGCTTCTTTGACGGGTCTGGTGAGTCCAGGAGGAGTTCTCAACATGCTGTCCTGAGCTGCGGAGTCATTGTCGATGCTAGACACATTGGCTGTACTGGTAGACTTGGTCTCGGATGCCTGACTGTCCTGTGGCGTATGAGTCTTAACAAGTTCGGTCTCCACAGCATATTCCCGGAGCGGCGCCTGTTCCTTGTCCAACTTGGGGCTTTCAGGCTTCTGTGAAACGTTCTTGAGCAGTGCGGTGACCTCTTCCTTGAACCTGCGTTGTTTCTCCTCCCGTTCCAGATCCAGAGTACGCGAGCGCTCCAAATAGGTCGGGTACTGGGCCCTAGGACCCGAGATCTCCAGACCGGATGTAATCCGGGTTTCAGGATGCTTGAGACGGGTATGGACTCGCAAGGACTCGTATGGGGTCTGGCTATAGGTTCGATCAAAGTTGGCTCCGTAGAGGTCCAAGGAGGTATGCTCGGAGACCGATTCATGAAGAGGGGTGCCCAAAGAATAGGAGGACTCATAGGATCTGGTATAACTCAAAGGATTTCGTTGAAAGTGACCATCGTCGCTGCTCTCCCATCCGTGCGATTCAAGACGAGAAGGTGTGAAGGATTCCGCAGGTATGCTCAAATGATGGTCTGCTTGGTTTGCACGGTGCATGGCTGAGAGATGAGATAAGGCCTTTTGCTGGCTCATGGGTTGTGGTTCTTTCGGGTCGCTGCTTGACGACAGATCTGACAGAAGCTTTCGGGTTCTGGCGCCTCTTTTCGAACCTGTCTTGGTGCAAAGCTGGAACAAAGGTATTGGCTGAGAGGATGCCAGGTCCTGGTAGTTGTCCAGTTCGTGGTCTTCGTCTCGGTACACGGTGGACGTTTTGGTGAAGAGTAGACGACGAGACGCCATGGTGAAGTTTCGCTGGTGAACGACGGTGATAGACAGCTAAATAGGGTGAGAGATCGGAAGAAACGAGGAAGCTAGTGATTAAAACAATGAGATGTCGGGGTCATGCCATGGAGATGCAGACGGAGTGACGCACTTGCACATTGTAAGTTGCGAAGCGTACCTGCCCACTTCGGGAAGTGCTATCGTTCACTCGTTTGAACTGTCGAGTTTGCTGGGTTTGCTGTGTTACGCCGCTGCCTGTGTCTCTGCCAATACACCAGTGTTTCTGTCAAGACAACAACACATTTCATGCTGAAGGCCCCGCAAGCACTGTAATGTAGCTGATCTCCATGACTGCCCAACCATCATAGAATGGGTTCGACCAGCATCGAAGCCAGAGTTCAAGTAGACATGTGCGCGAACAAATTCTCAAACTACGCAGTATCTTCGAGGAGATTCGATTACTATTCCGCATATAAATTACCGCATGTCCATCATACATGTGTATTAAATAAGTCAACCTTTGCATGAGACTGATGATACTTGCAAGTACCTCTACCATTGGTTCCGCTGCGGACCACCAGAGCGCACGTTGTCCGGGCCCATCGAATGGTAACCCATTTTGCCAGAGTCCAACCTGTTGGTAGGACTGTACTCATGAGATCCAGTGTCCTGGCCGTAGGTGTTGTAGCTGCTGTCTCCTGCACCACCGCCGAAGTCCTGCATCGCTCCACTGTCCATAGCCCGCGATTCATATCCAGTCCCTGAGCCACCGTATCTCTCCGTTTCATGTCTATAATCCGCAGAGCCAGATCCATAGCCACCAGTATTGCCATAATCGTAGCTACTGGTCTGAGATCCGTAGCTGCCACCATATTCACCACCAGTGCCCGAACCATATGTGTCCGTCCTGCGCTCATAGTCGCCAGCACTGTAGTTATCAGAGCTGGGCTGAGAGCTATAGGAACCATCGCCAGGCCCATATCGCTCCGCGCCGCCCGAATTATAGTTGTCGGTACTGGGCTTGTTACCCTGACCTTTGCCTAAATCGGGAATAAGTTAGAAGAAGGCTAGATGTAAATCCTAGGTAATTTAGAAAGAAGATATTCATACGGGAATTGGAATTGCCGTGATGGCCAGTCAAGGCATCTTTGACCTTGTGCATGAGATTCGACATCTTGATAAGTCTTAGGTAGAAAGGCGATAATCGCTAAAGCTACTTTGATATGTGATCAATGCTCCGACCCGGCATGTTGTGCGAGGTTAGCACACGTTCAAATAAGGTCCCAGTCCATTGTGAACGTCTGGCGGGGATGGAAGCCACCCATGCTTGTCACCACAAAGGGCAGGACAATGGAACGAACTACCGCGGAGGATGACGTTTGTACCAGCATCTGAGCTGATGGTGTGGGATGATGGAGGAAATGGAAAGCGAGGATCGGGATGTCATCCACGTCATGCCATTGAGACAGCTCCATCCAGCCCATGGAATTGGCCGGTGAAGCTCCGCGCACAAGCCACGGAACCCTGGGATGGCACGCCACAAATCAACCCCGCTTGTTTCCTTGCAGTACCCACAGGACCAAGAACTGGTGATGTTCTAGATTCCACAGAGAAGTGAAGAAGACACTGCTCTATAAAGCACGTGACTTCTTGTTAGCAATGAAGTAGACTCTGATCATGTAAGCGACAGGAATGGCATTGGTGCAAGCTACTTGATAGACAGATAGACAGTGCTAGCACTGTTTCTACGGAGTGGTTAGGTGGGGTTCTCCCTTTGACTCGAATAACAAACACACATTCCTAGGCACATGAAACGAACCCCCTGCATTGTCGATCGCTTTACTGTGTACCCATGAGAAAAAGCACTAAAGTCGAAGTCGACAGTGAATATTGCGCAGGTGTGGGGAATGACGGGAAGCCAGTTCTTATTGATCTGCGGGGGACGCAGAGAAGCAGTGGATTACACGGATTAAATTGAGGAAATGATAAGAGGGAAAGTTGTATTGTATGGTAAGATTATTGGGGGGGGGGAGGTGACACAGTCATTAATTACTATAGTTTACAGAGAGGGAATGAGATGTTGCCATGCGCCACAGCATATAGGAAGAAAAGGGTCTCGTGAATGGCGCAGAGTCACTAGTCATTGACTACCTAATTCTTAAGTCAAATTTTAAAATCGATGAAGTGCTGATGGAATTGGGCAGGCCAGCCCAGAATGCACGGGCGCAGGGTCTGTGACGTAGTAGGGGTGAAAAGGTATGGCGGTTGCCTGACAAACCTGAGGAAGCCACTAAGGAATCCCCCCTCCTCAGGCAGGGAATCCCGTGACTGAGTGCCCCCCCAAGCCAGACTGTCTGACAGAGAAACACTACTAAACTCACTAGTTAACAGTCCTGAGAGACACGGAGGGTCAGGAAAAGAGGCTGTGCTTGCGTGTCCGGCGACTCGCTCACAAGTTGATCATTCTTTTTTGCCTTTCTTCCTCCTCCACATCATCCCATCATCCCATCCCCATCCCCATCTTCATCCCCTTCTCCCTACTTCCTCTACCGTCCATGTCCCTGCTCCTCTTCGCTCCCCGTCATCCTTGTCCGGTTGGCTTCTAAGTACCAGCCCGTCATTGCTTGACCACTAAACTACAGTACTACTTACTCGCTCTCCTTTCCATCTTGTTCCTTCGCGCCTACCCTCCTTTCCTTTCTCCCGTGCTCTCTCGATGAGTGTCCGTTGTGTTGCGCTTCATCGACCGTCTGATTGGTCCTAAGAACATCGCCCTGCTGCAAGAAACCCGCTGGTCCTGAGCGTTGATCTCCCTGGGCTTCTTTCCTTCCCGCCCCCCCAGCCAAGCAATATCTGTTCTATTGCATTTCCAGCACATCCTCTCAACTATGCGACCACCACGTTTGATTCTTGTCGTCTTCTGCCTCATCTTCCTCCCCATCATCCTCACGTTCTTTTCTGCTTTAACCTCCTCGCCTAGGGTGTCCACCCCCGATTCACTCGCTGGTCGAGCGACGGGACTACACGCTCTCTTCTCCTTCAACATCCCCTCATCCCTGTTCCCGCCGTCCGCCATCATCAGCCTTACCGATGATAACTCTACCTTTTTCCTGGCCCGACCTGCTGCGTTTGGCCCTCTGCTTCCGGACAAGGGACTCAGCGGCCAACTCTGGATTGGCAGTGGCTTTGGGGAACGAACAACCGCCGGAGCGGAAGGGGAGCTAGGATGCTCCGATATCCCGGGTTGGGGAGAGGGAGATGGTCCGAAGGCGGGCGGAGGTGCCGATAGTACAAATGGGAAGTCGGGGTCTACTCCTGGAAACGAGCCGACCGTGCCACAGAGCCATCGTCAAGCGATTCCCCAGCCGGATATCGACCTGCAGCATGACTCTGGTACCAGAGCGCCATCCCCGTTGACAAATGACGGCACCGATGACCATCTCCACCACCCGCTGCCCGAGTCACAAGTACCGGACTCAAGGGCCATGGAAAAGCACGGGGAGTTCTATTCGAACCGACAAGCGGCCCATGCTGATATCCAGTCGTTGCAAGAAAGTGCTGAGATCAACGGCAAGGTCGTCCTACTGAGTAGGGGCGGCTGTGGCTTCTTGGAGAAGGTCAAGTGGGTCCAGCGGCGTGGAGGAATTGCTTTGATTGTGGGGGATGACACCCGAGGAGGAAGCCTCGTCACGATGTATGCACGGGGTGACACATCCAACGTGACGATCCCCGCCCTCTTCACCTCTCACACTACGGCACACCTGCTGTCATCCTTAGTCCCTCCGCAAGGGGAGGACTCGGGCGCAGACGATGGATCAGGAACACACACTAAAATATCCACTCACGGCAGTGCCGGGAAACAACGCATGGACGCCACGGCTACTACCTCTGCCACTGCGTCGCCAACTTCAAGTCACAAAGCAGTAGTTCACGATAGTGCGATGCCTCCGAAGCAGAAGCCCGGGCTCTTCCACGCTCTTCTGTCATTGTTCGGTCTCAGCAACCATGGTGGACCCGTCTGGTACCCACCAGAGGACAGTCGTCGCCCGCCAAGCAGCGGGAACATTAATTGGATTCTACTAGATCGCTGGGACGAACAGGAACCATCACAGGATGATACCGAGCGAAAGACCTCCCGAACGAAAACCGATGGCGTTTCCGAAGACCTCAAGAAATCCGGCACCTCGTCGAGCAGTACTGACGGTGATGGGTTCGTCATTGGAGTACAGGACTGGAGAGATCCAGACCTAGTAGTTCCGAAGGGCAGCGCCCTTCCGTCACCTACCAGCACCACCGACGCCGCCGGGAACAGGGTGCATACTGGTGTCAAGGGCTCGCACCCTACGCCTGCGACTTTAAAGGGTGGCAGCATCACTCCAGGAAGTGGCGAGTATCGCACCGTCGAGAAGTCCAGCGTTGAAAAAGAGTCGAAGGTGGAGGACTCAAGTCACAAGTCTGTGTATGATGATGTGAAACCAGGATCCTCTTCCCAGCGCAATGGTTGGTTTGCCAGGCATTTCTTCTGGGCAACGGACAAGCCAGGTCCGAGCCCAAGCTCCAGCGCCCATGGGCAAATTACTTCCGTAGACCAGAAGCTGCATGATGCGACAGCTCAGAACGGCCAGGGCGTGAATGCCGCCGAACACGACGGCTTGTGGGTCACACTCACGCCCACGAGCATGTCGACCAGCCCTTTCTTTGATACCCTCCTCGTCTTGGTCGTCAGCCCATTACTCACGCTGACTGTTGTTTACGTCCTGCTGTTGCTGCGGTCTCGTATCCGGCGTAGACGGTGGCGCGCTCCAAAGTCCCTCGTTGATCGCCTCCCTGTGCGAACTTATCATACCATTGCGAGATCGACCTCTTCCTCGGAAACGAGCTCGCCACGATCCGTTAGCCCTGGTCCAGTGTCGCCAACCTCGCCACTGTTGGGTGCGAAAAGCCGCTCAGGAGCCCAGTTGCCGTCTCGATCCCAGCAAGAGTCACATGTCTCGAATGCGAGTGCGTCCAGGATATCATCATCGAGGAAGGGCAAGTCGGGGTCCACTTTGTGGCGACGGAAGTACACTGGTCGGCAAGTGGAATGTGTTGTGTGCCTGGAGGAATATGTGGATGGGCAGAGCAGGGTGATGAGTTTGCCCTGCGGCCACGAGTTCCACGCGGAGTGCATGTAAGTCACAATGCTGGAGTCTGTTGTCAAGCATGTCCATACTAACGATACTCGCAGCACGCCTTGGCTGACGACCCGCCGGCGAACTTGTCCTATCTGCAAAGGCGACGTGGTTCGGTCAATGTCGCAGAACAAAGCGGCGGAGGCTTACGAGTCGGCAGAGCCGATGAACGAGGAAGAGCACCACCCTGACGCAGATTCTCAGCATAGTTCATCCTCAGCGCCGGTGCCGATCAGCGGAGTGAGCGAAGACGAGACCTCGGACCTTGAGCGGCATGCTGGCTCGGAAACAGGTCTTCTCGAGGGACAGGCGTCCTCTGCACCACCGAGTTGGAGGAACTTTGCAGCACTGAGCTATTCTGCTCTTAGTGGTGATACGATCTGGCATCAGGCTCAGACGGACGGCAGCCGGTGAACTGCGTTGTCTTGCTTTATATTATTAACCGCCCCTGGTTCCTTTAGATGTATGTGATGGTGGAGGTGGGGGTATTCTGTCTTTGCAGCGTTTCCTTTTGTGAGCAGCATTAGCGATGTTTTGACACCGTCCTTGCTTGGTTGGCGTTTGATGGATTTTATGGAAGCCGTAGCGACATTGGCAGGAACAGTTTAGTTTCAGTTCTGCACTCACTTGTAATATTACCAGACCATAAGCCTCCGGGAATAACTTTTCCCACCGGTGCTTAGGACGTATTCATTTGCTTTGGACATGAATATTGAGCAGATCCCGAGACAAAGTCGGCACGATCAAGGACAGGTGATAGTCTACGACAGCGTTAGTCTGATACCACGGGGTGTTTCAATATCACTTTCGCTGTCCAAGTAACTGGCATTGTTTCGAACCACCTTGACACACCTCGTAAGTAGTAAGTAAATGAAGATCAGACCCTTAAACAACTTTGAATGTGGGCACATGCCAGCATATCTACATCGGCTGGCCATCAACTCGCCCAATAACTCAAGTCCGACGGAACAATCAAGCCATGCAAATCCCTAAACTCCTTAGACATATACATCAAGTCATACACCGCCCCCCCCCCGCGGGATACATTACAAACAGACACTCACTACTCTAGAACTCACACCCCTAATGAGAATATAATCATTTACATCCATCCATCCATCCATACATACATACCCACAACCAAACTTACTATACATACATTCCCGTCATGACATCAGAATCAAACAACCTCAGGCACACATCCCCAACTACACCCAACTCTCCTAAACGGCAACGGCCTCAACACTTCCCCAGATGCCCTAGGTCCCTTCAACCCATTCTCATACGTACTGACATCCCACCACTCGATCCACTCTGTCCGCGCGAGCACAAAGCCCCGGTGACATGACGAGCAGTTCCTGCCCCCCGCGCTACGAATCTCTTTCGCTTGCCGGAGTAAGCGGGTCATCAGGGCCGGGAAATCCTCCATTTCTTCGTCTGTGATCAGGTCCGGGTATGTCGAGCGGGTGAATGCTAGGAGGGAGATTTCGCGGAGGGAGGGGACGCGGGAGATGCTGCTGCTGCTGCTGGTGTTTATTGTTTGGTGGTTGGTTTGTTCAGTAGGGATTTGGGAGGAGACTGGTACGCCTTCGGCGTTGTAGTATGTAACTGGGCCGGTAGCGACGTGTACAGGTGCCCATGCTTCCTCCGGAGGTGGGCCGTCATATGTTACTGATTTCAGTTGTGGTTCTTGGGTCTCTTGGTCGGTTGGAACGTGCCATTGGGCGATGGGCTGGTCTTCGATTTGGAGGAGGGGGTTCGGGCGAACGGTAAGGTGTTTGAGGTCGCCTTTGCGGATGAGGAAGAGGAGTTCCCATGGGAGGGTGGGGAGGCGGTTCACGGAGATGTTTAGTTCCTGGAGGAGGGTGAGGGAGCGGATTGCCGGGGGGATGGAGGTAAGTTTGTTGTAGCGGAGACTGAGGACGCGGAGGGAGTCGAGGTCGAAGATCTCGCCGGGGACTTGGGTTAGGGCGTTGCCGGCGAGGAAGAGGCGGAGGAATGGTTGGAGGGAGGTGTAGACGTCTTCGCTGATGGGGGGCTCCCTGATGGTTGGGAGTTTGGTGAGGTGTTGGAGGGGGAGGAGGAGGTTTGGGGGTATGAGGCGGAGGGTGAGGCCGCTAGACATGGATATAGGTTAAGGTTGTTTCTGGATGATGGGCGAAGAAATGTAGGGGATTACCTCAAATCAACACTATCCTCCCCCCTCTCGAGACAATCATTCACGATTCCCCGTGCGACTTGATGCTCGCGCGGTTCTTCCTCAACTTTTCTGAATCCTTGTTGTTGACTTTGAGTCTGCGGTGTCACCGTCTTTGAACCTCCATTCGCATGAGAGTTCAGCCAATCCTCTCCCAAATCCGCATCAGAAGGCAAGAACCCCGACCCCGGACCAGAGTCATAATCATCACTTCCCATCCACACACCACTATCCACCAAGCGCTTCTCCTTGAAATCCGCCCGTTTGCGCTTCGCGTCCTTGTCCTTCACCATCTCTCCCCACCACGTGCCGCGGTACCGGCGCTTCCGACTAACAGGCGCATTATTGTAGTTCTCTAGTCCTGAGGCGGGGATATCGTCACTGGAGAAAAGCGCTGGATCACTGGAAGGTTGACTGGAGCGGTCGTCAATGAAGCGCGAGGGGAGACGGTGGTGGTGAGCAGGGCGAGTCGCGTGACGATTGTTATTGTTGTTGGAGGGGTCGCGATGGCGGATGCGCGGTGGTGGGGGGAGTGGGATTTCGTGGTCCATAGTTGTTATTTTGCACGGAAGTGCAAAATATGTGCGTAGGGGTATTCTTGATTGGGAGATGCTGTGTGACGCGATGCGATGCGAAGGGATGCGAAGGAAGTAAGGAGAGAATAGTATTGATGCGCTCAGTGGCTTTGGGATGGATCACCTCACTCGGATCATGACGTCCGGGTGGAATGTCGATCGATCCGTCGGATGGGATGGATAGAAGAGTTCCGGAATGACGGGAGAACTCGAGGTCCAGAGGGAATGCTGAATTCTGATGGGCTGGAAGGGAGGGAATTGGTGTTGGTGCTAGACTAAGTTGTTTACGAGACGCGTCGCGGTGGAGCGGGGCGGTGATCCGCTTGATAACTTGACGGTGAACTGATTGATTGATTGATTGATAGCTACCCGAAGGACTCGGATCTGCTCGGTTCATTGCTCAGCTTTTCATGCAATCTCTTTCAATCGTCGTATGTAGATCCATCTCTTATATGTCTAGAACCTAAATCGAACTTACTATCTTTTGAACTCGTCGACTGCGGCACACATCTTCCATGGCAATCGCATCAAAAGTACCGCTCTTGACAGCTGAGAAAATAGGCATATCTTTAGAGAAACACATCTGAAGCCTGCAGCTAGCAGGCTCCTCATCAGGTGAAAAATATTATTGATTATCTACATATACTACCAGCATAAGGCACATCGGTTCACGCAATTGATTGGGTCGACCCTATACAAACACTATGCACAGCTTTCATCACGGCCGAACCCCGAAGCGAAGTCAAAAAGTAAAAAGGTAGAAATAAAGTCCATCCCAACTGTGGTTGTTCACCAGCAGTTAAGCCATCAACTCGTCAAATCCGAAACATCATAAGGGGTATAATCAAGAAAGTATCCGTAGTAGATAGGCCCATTGTCCCGAGCACAGTCGATGACAATGTCCCGTGGAGAATCAATATAGGCGGTCGAAGCAGAGAATAAAGATGTGTGATAATTGAGTAACGGTCGAAACCAATCCTCGCAAGGTTCCAGCGCGTGAAGAGTATGCAACAAAGCTGGCAGCGCTGAATTGACTTAGAGCGCACCCAGGATCAGCGCCATAGATCCTGCAACCAGTACAGCGGGCATCTTGGCAACCATGCCGTCGGCTCCAGAAGTACCCACGGCAGGGGAAGTAGCAGCAGCAACTGAGGTGCCGGCGGGGGTTCTCGAGGTCACGGTGACCGAAGCAAAGGACGAGGAGGCAGGCGCAGAGGAGCTGACGGCGACAGAGCTGCTGGCGACCGGGCTGCTCGAGACCGCGCGGCTGCTCGGAGTGACGAACACCGAGGAGGTCGAAGGCGCCACGCTGCTAGGAGCAGTCACCGTGTCGACGTGGACCAGTGTCGCGGTGAGATAGTTGGTCACCGTCGAGGTACTGGTGGTGTCGGTCTCCGCAGCGACAAGCTGGGAGGCCATGAGGCAGAGGACAGAGGAGGCGAGAGTGCTGAACTTCATTGCGATGAGTTGCTGGTAATTCCGATTTGTTCAATTGAAAGATTTTCGGGCTGTGGATATGTATGTTTGTCGCAAATAGGCTCTGGCAGAGACTGCGCGAGTAGAACAAACGAGTGACGAAGAAGACGCAAAAGAGTGAGCGTCGAGAAGAGCAAAGGTAGCGAGGGTAAAGAACGTGGGGAGCGCTGCTCGAGTCAAAGGATTGTGAAACGATGCGATGTCTGAAGACGCGCCGAAGGGGGAAAAAGGAGGACGAGGGGGGGTCGACTAAATATGAGCCCCAGAGTGCCAGAGGGTCCGTTTGGACCCAACCAGTCAAACTCGAACCCTCACGAGCGCTGCCCCGGAAAAATTGCTTGACGAGTCGCAAGGGGCACGTCTCGCCTGCCTATTGGCCTGGGGCACATCGAGAATGTGACCGGCCATTGTTCACGTCGACACGCCGTCAGTCGGTAAACAAATCACCCGGCCACGTTACTCGCCAGCGCAACAATGGATGCGCTGGCGGCGCCTGGCTGAGGCCCGGTCGGTGTGTGCCTGACTCCTTTTCGAGCGACGATCGCCAGTGTGCGTTGCTTGGCCGAGAATACGCCCTGCTCTAGTGAACTCACTAACCGCAGCGGCGTGAGGAGGAGCAGGACACTGGATTGGCTTCGGTTCCTGAGTTCTAGTGGTTGGTCAGCTGGAGTCGCCTGAAGATTTTTGATTTCTCCTCCACAACCGTTCGGCTGTGGCTCTTGGGAGCCGTGGTTGTCACCACGAGATGCCATGCCTTTGTCTCTCTTCGTTTCACACGCACCACGCTTCCGGTACTCCTCGCTGCCCCCTGGCCTGGGATACTAGTTTTGAGTCCATCTGAAACTCGAATGATTCGGGATTTAGCCGTCGATAGTCCGGGTTGGGAACTCGCAGCCAGTGCTGATTGATTCTCACAGAGAAGACCCCTGATGGGAGGGATGGCAGCGGATTCGGAAAGGAGAGCCGGCAGAAAGAGAGACAACTCCACTGGTTCGTTCCTGACTAGCGAACGCTGCATCCACTCACCATCCACTTGGTGGCCCCAATGACTCTCGCATTTCCTCCTCAACCGCTTCGCCAAACTCCGGCCTATCCCGCTAGTCCTCTCTAGTCCGGTGCAGGAACCAAGGGACCATTGTGCCCTTGCAGCCGCAATTAAACTCAATCGTGCGCATTTTTGAGCTGCGACTTCGCGCCATACGTATATGAACACTCTGGCCCCGGCTTCGATTGCTTGCTTCGTCTAAATGTCCGTCTTTCCGATGAGTTCTAGAGAAATCGGTGTGTGAGCTAATACTAGCATGCCTGTTTTCGTGAGGTGCATATGCCATATAGGGGGGTGCCGCGTCACTCCTTCAACTGTTATTATGAACAGCATTAATGAAAAATAAAAGTTTACTGAATACATTATTGGAGTACTTGCATGATAGTATCACCAAAACAACTCACAGTCCAGGCACCATTTCGGACAGCCCCTGATGCTGCACCGGTGAACAATACTAACACCGCCAACTTTGTCGCGCAAGAGACTGCTTATGAGAAGTCTGGGGCCCTCTAGCAGGAGTGCTTCCTTTGGAGATCACTGCTCGTATAAGGGACCAGAGTTGCCAACAAGGGCCTTTGCCCGGTCGGCTATCCTTGGTGGCTGCTGATGCCAATGTGGGGGCCAAACAGTAACACTGTATTAAAGGCCTTTAGTGATATCCGCTGTAGTGATAGAGCTATCTGGGAAACGATGACCCTGGCTTGTAGAGATGTTTTGGACAATAGGCGCACTACCAACTTCAGGGTTGCTAGAATCTTGGGGTGGCATCCGGATTCAATTCCCAGGCTCATCTGCAAGGAAAAGCTCGGCTGATCGTAAGGCTGAGCGTTTCGATCTAGCCCCATTTTATGTGCTTATTGAGGGCGAATACTGTGCTGATCTGCTTTCCGCCTTGCTGAGCGCCAGCTGCTGGACCCTGAATGTGGCCCTGTCTGCTGCTTTCGACTTTTCTGCTGAAGAGCCATCGGTTAATGTCAGGGGCTTACAAGCAGTACCGATGCTTGATACGGATGGCTAAGTTGTCTCGCTGGTATATAGGCCGCTCTTGAGATCATTGACACAGCACCCGTCTTCATAGCTGTTGTATATATAGTAGTAACCATAGATGCAAGTGTTGGCCGTGAATGCGTGCACTGTACAAGTAATTGACGCCGTATAGATGGCCACTAGTACGCTTGCGACTGTCAGCGCAGCAGCAACTATTGCCAGGCTCATTTGAATATAAGTGTCGTAAAGGTGGGTGGAATATGCGCCATGGAGCGGTCATTGACCCGGGTTCCCTTCAAGCCATGTTCTTGGGTCAAATTACCTGTATATTAAACTGTGTGGGGTGGGAAACCTGCATCTCAATCCTCACAAACACCTACAGCCATAGTCTCGAAATATTTGATGGAAATGGGCTATTTAGCGTCCAGCTCGTCATATATATTCAGAAGCGGTTCATTGAAGGCGGGTCGAATCACATCACTGCACATGTTGAACCACGTGGCTCAAGAACTGTGCTCATGTCCTAGTACTAGTAGTCCTGTCATTTTAATAAGGAATAGTGGTAATGAATCCGGGAGTTTGAGGGATGCTGTTCTTGCTTTAATGCCTCCATTTTCAGCAAATCTATGGTCCAAGAAATAGGAGACAAGAGGAAAGGGGGCACCACCGTTGCCACAATTATATGAGATGAGACTTTAGTAGGCCTGTGGACAGGCTCTAATGTTCGGTGCCAAGGTGAAGGCCCAATTGATCTTCCGAGCAGCAATTAATTCCCATTAAGGAACCTGAGACTCCAAACCAATGATGTGAAATAGTGGAAGCTTCTATTGAAAGTTTTTCCCAACGCCAGAGAGCAAGTCACGTATTCTCATAGTATTGGTTCTCCTCCTTCGGACAGCGTTACTTACAGAATGAATTTGATTTCATCAACAATGTTAGCAACTGGATCTAGATCATGCCTTTATATAACTTCTATCAAAATGCTTTCCTTTTCTACATCATCACCTCCAACAACCGTGTCATCATGTACCCATATGAGGTATTCATCGTGCAGTTTCCATCGCGATTACTGAAATCCATCCCATCCCGACTATAGACGTGCTGCAACATCCACTGACCACAGTATTTCACACCTTTAGTGCTTACCAACATCATCCGTCAATCCTTAGGTCAAGGCGCAGCCTTGCCCAAAAAGCGATCATGTGACTCCGCCTACAAGCAAGGCATCATCCTTCACACCCCGCTCATTCAGCTCGTATCCAGGAACATGGAGCCATCTTATCATGAATAATTGCATATTCCAGACATCTTCCCCCTACAATGTCCAAAACTGCACCCAACCCGACTTCCGACCAACCGGGGCTCGAAGTCTCAGTTGCTGATGGTCTCATCGTAGACCACCGCCAGATACAACAACAAGGACTATATTACGCAGGGGATGGATCCGATGCACCAATACCAGTACTTGCAGAGCCGGGGGCGGGGCTTGATACAAAGCAAGAGACAAATGTGGGGGAAGGGAGCAGATCGGAGAGAAGGACACTATGTGGTCTTCGTCGGCGGTATTTGTTTCTTGGGATTATCGTCTCTCTGATTGTCATTGCTGCTGCTGTAGGAGGAGGTGTAGGGGGCTCTTTGGCTTCACGTAAGAATTCCAGGTGAGTAATCGCTTTCTTTTTGGATTGAATTATCAATTATATGAGCGAATGATGAGTATAACACCCTTCATCTAGCTCTTCGACCACGAACACATCGGCAACACCCACTACTACCACCACCTCAACTTCTACATCTACGAGTACGAACGAAGCATGTCCTGCATCGAATGGAACAACGATCACTGTCCAAGGCATAGAGTATACACGGTTGTGTGGCATAGATCTATGCTCTTCGACTAATGGCTGCACCGAGATGACCATATCGGATGACACATTGAGGGATTTTACAACAGATTCACTGGTCAAATGCATTCAGCAATGCGAGTCGTATAATGATGTAATAAGAGGGTCTGAGTGTCATGGTGTTAGTTGGGATGCGAATGCTCCGGCTAGCTCGAACCATACCCATCGATGCTTCCTGAAGAATGCAACAAGTATACGAAAGTCGGCGCCGGATGGGTGGACGATAATGAGTGCGGTTCGGAGTGCGTGATGTGAGTATGTTGAATGGAAGGATATCTAATGAGTATAGTTGACTACATTAGACTCGATGGTAACGACTTCTATCAGCCCCAGTCAAGCTCATGTATTAATAGGTACTAACTAGCTTTAATATAGCAAGAACAACTTCGAAATTAACATCGCAGGCCAACCAAGAGTTAACCCTTGACTTTAAGCACAATATATACAAAACCCGTTACCAACCCATCTAGAACAGGACCTGCCTCACATCCTTATTATCCTTAATCTTAATATTCCTCATCATCAACACCCAAGCAATCGACAACCCCATGACAGCAGTACCCGCAATCATCATATTGCGCTGACTCCAAGCATAAGCATTCTGAATCGCAATACGAGTCTCGGACCCAACCGGATAACTCAGTTGCACATCCAACGACTCATAAATCTCCGCCCACTGATCCTTCGTCTCAGCGGGCAACAGCTCCCTCAGCTTCTGAGGAAGGGTGTTAGTCCAAATAGCACCGGAGACACTACTACCGACAGCACCACCCAGATTACCAAAAGTGCTCAGCAACGCCAACATAGCAGCGTAGTCCTCATGTCTAGATGCCGCCAGGACAGCAACCTGCTCAATAAGAATCAAGGTACCGCCACCAACAGCCAGGAAGATCTGGCACATGCACATGTATCCAATGCTGAAGCCGGGCTGGCGGAAGTAGATCATCAAGCCGCTGGCCAGGAGGTAGAGCGGGACAGCCCACATAAGAAGCCACTTGAAGCGGCCGGTGACGCGGATCAGATACCCGCAGCCGATCAGCCAGATGGGGTCCATGAGGTCGAAGATGGCGCTGATGTATCCGGCTTGGGTGAGACTGGTGTTGTAGACCACTTGCAGGAAGGAGGTGAAGTAGCTGGCCCAGCAGTAGTAGGAGACTTGGTAGGTTATGTCCAGGAGGCAGGCGCCGATGACGGTGCGGTTGGCGAGGAGGTGGTAGGGAATGAAGGGCTTGGGGGCTCCCCAGCGCTCGTAGGCGACGAAGCCGACGAGGACGAAGAAACCGACGATCATCATTGCGATGATCTTGGCGGATTTCCACTCGCCTTCGGTGTTTCCGGCGATGTTGAACGAGGTGAGGAAGAGGATAAGTCCGCCGATCATGAAGAGGATGCCGATGACTGGTTGAGGAAGAGCGTGTTAGTCGGGGGCGTTGGGGTAGTAGAGGTTTATTGGGGAGACGACTTACTGTCAAACTCGATGATGTAGAACCAGGTGCTCTGCCACCAGGTCCGGGTGCTTCGCGGCTTGTATTGCAAGCGACCCTCCTTGTCTGCCTTGCGCTTCGCCAGTTCCCAGGTTATGACCAGAGGCATTGCGACGATGGGAAGGATAATGCAGATGGTTCCGTAGGCCCAGCGCCAGTTGGTCTCGTGGAACTGGTTGGAGAGGGGAGAGCCGGCAAAGGCAGTGATAATGTAGGGAGAGGAGGTGAAGGCGTAGGCGATACCTCGATTGCGGAGCGAGGATGTATCGGAGGTCATCACGTCGACACAGAAGATGACACCGGTGAATCCGACGGTGTAGAATGCCTATTAGTGTCGCGGATTTAGTACGCTTGGGCATTCTTGAAGCATAGCAGATGAGACGATAAGAATGATCGATCTCGTATACACAGAGGGTAAAAACTCACCTGAGCAGCACAGTACGTGGCAATGTTGTTGCAGCCAGCCATCATAATCAGGCCCATGATAGCAATCAACACCATGATGCAGACACCCAATGTACGATCCCACAGGTTCAGTACCTTAGCAATAGGCATGACACAAGCAGCACCCATGACACTAGTAACGACAGTAATCACAGTGAGCAACGAGTGCTCAGAGAAATCACTGGTGATATACGCGGAAAGGTTCGCGGTCAAGCTGCTGTTCAATCCATTGACGAAATACAAGAGCCACATGCTATACACCGTTCAGCAGTCGCTCCAGAGGAACAGAAATCAAGCCACTCACGAAGCATAAGTGATAATCAGAGATTTCTTCGACCAAGAAGCAGTAACTGCTTCGGCGACACGAACACCATCCTGCTTATCCTGTTCATCCTCGACAGGCTGTTGAGGAGTATCGGGATCCAAAGAGATCGGATCCTCACTGACCCCGGTAGTGGTGGGAGGCTTTTCAGTGGCCATTTTTGAGGGGAAAAGCACAGCAATTATGCCCAAAGTGCTATATCATCAGTGGTAAGAGAAAGTTTCAAGAACTGATCGGCATCGAGGAAGGATATGCGCCATGTTATAAAGGCTTGACATGGGACGATGATTTCTTCGCCTCCCACGCACGTCCCACACCATCCCAAAGCTTTCCAAGTCCCAATTTCCTGAGCGGCCAACGCGAGAAGGAATTTGCGCTGGCTGTGGGTGCTGGTTCAGGCTTACAGTGGTAGTGGAACTCTAGGCAGTCTTGTCCTCTTGGCAAGCTGGCGACACCCCGTTCCACTTCGGATCAGATAATTCTCGCAGCTTGTCTCAGTGTGGTTCCATCAGGAGAACCTTCCCCAAAGGTTTTCCTGCAAAAACGGTTGATTTTGCCACATTTACATACATCTAGAACATTGCATCGAGCTCACGATGATTTCATATAGTATGTTGTAGTAGTCTCCTAATGCTGGTGCAAGGGTCTGGTGTCCCTGCTCCACTTAGAGACTCCTCCCCTAATTTGTTTCCTGGCTCCTCATTGCACCATGACGACTTGTAGCCCCCACTGTTCCGCGAAGTGCTGGTGGTCTGCTATTTTCCCGGGGGGCCCGAAAGGACCCGATTTCAACGCAATGATCTTGTTATGGTTCCTAGTGACGGTGACAAGCGGGCCGTGATAACATCGAGACCCACGGACATGGCACTGATGATGGAAGATAAGATGGATAAGAGTTCAAGCTGGATTTGAGGGCAGAAAAAAAAAAGACCAAGGAAGATAAGTAGGCCTTCAATTTCGTTAATGCATGTCATCCGTGCAAGAAGACTGCAAAAATTCCACGAGAGGACATGATCATCATCACTACATAATGCTAGGGGTGAATATGGGCCAGCTTCTGCCCTTCCCCCTCCATCGGGAAAAGCCCGGCCATTTTCCCGCAAGACAAAGACCGCACCAGCCGCACCAAAAACAAACCCTTCCAGCCTGTTTTAACGAGGGGCCCTGGTAAGGGAAAAGGTTCCAAAACAAGCCTAGTCAAGCCCGAAATATACTTGGCGGGTGCCACTAAACCTTATTGGCCGTATCTTATCTGATTTTGTATCGCACAATACCAGATCAAAACACACATCGTGCAACCCACTGCATGAAATTCCGAACATTACACCCACCCAAAGGTTCCTTCGGACCATGCCAAATTCGGACTCTGAATAGGCCTGGGGTACTACTAATTACACTGCTCCAGATAGTATCGTCTCCCCGCGGCTTATTTAAATGGCTGCCTAAATCTCTGCCCTGGGTTATCCCCACCTTCGTAAATATTCATACCTACCTCTCTCTTCCAGAGATTGATAACGCATGACTCACTCGTGACCTACAGCCAAGAAGTAAGCGAGGTGTGGATCATGTTGTGCGTAGGAGTGCGCTCTTGGCATGTCCTTGGCGGGTTGAAAGAGCTTTTCCGCCGTTAGCTGATGCTGGGCATCAACTGGTGGAATGGGATTCTGTGGAAGGCATACGTAGAAGTAGACGCTTCAACCAATAGCTCAGCAAAAACTCTTTATGTCTAGACATATACGAGCTGGAATGCTACGTAATGGACTTGAGTCATGGACTCATTGAACTAAATTCCGTGTTTCCAGACATCGGACAAGCAGCAAGAGAAAACGGAGGGTAGAGCCGAAAAGCTGCGATATCAGTCTAGAAGTATGATACCCTCAAAATTTCTAAGTTTATGTGGCAAGCATATTTGCATACTGGGCCGGGCATGTCCGTCCAATCGAGTGCCATGTGTAGCCCTCTCTTGGTACAGTGGAACTGCACCGTCTTTACCATGGCTCTTCGTTCCTTTTGTCTCTGAACACTAACCGAACAAGTACTACTTTCACTCTCACAGGTAGAGACATAAATCACAAGAGCGAAGTCGCTCTACCTTCCGTTGCCTCGTCAGGACAGCAATCAACTTCCAACTCCAAGCCAGTCAGCTCCGCGGTGGCCAAAAACATGCCTTTGTTATTACCCGACCAGTCATTATTATAGAAACGAATAGCCTTCAGCCGCTCAGAATATAGTCAGCCCAGCTCCTCAATATAGGCGCCAACCGCGCTATAAGGTCGTACCTGAACAAGCCGTCCCAACACCAAACCTGTTATGGACCCCCGCAGACCCGGCTGAAGCAATGTTACTGGCCATGAATAACGAGACTAGTGTCTCTTCAAACGGCCTAGGGGCTATTGCCAAAGGATTTGCTCCTCAGGGGATCTCCGATCTCGATATAAATCTGTCGTCAGCGCCGCTATCGGCGTTGTGTTGTGTACCCATATGTCCTGTGGCTGGAGGAAAGGGCCAAGGATGTGAGACGTAATCTTCGCACTTAGTAGCGGTGTTCGATTTAGTGTAACAGATAGTAGTTTCTTGGACATTCTGACAATTTATGGGATGGCTTTTGTGATAGGAAAACGCATCTTTTAACATGAATAATGAGAGCGACTCGTTGAGCCCTCCTGACAAAGAAAAACAGGGGGAAGAGGAGAGTAAGATCGGGGTTCTTAGTATCGTATCCACATATATGATGTACAAAATAACCGTTATTTGTAGGGACGATTGATTCTCTTCTTCTGACAGATTTTTCAAGATCAAAAATGTGACTATTTACTTATAGCTCTACAGACTAACTCGGTAATGGAGGCACCCGTGCAGGCTGACTACGTAGGGGCTGCTGAAACAGAGGAAGAAGTACTTTTACTACTGTCTACCCATAGGGTGATATTTACCTTTAGAGTAATAGTATTGATGTTGCTCCGAGCACGGCTTGTGCATGAACATATGCCTGGTATCGGAGCTAAGCCGGGTCTCATCGCCCAAAGAGATCAACAATTTCGTGGTACTTATTGATATCTAACGGTGCTGGCTTAGGTGCAAAAAGGAATAAAAAAAGAACTTCCTAATTAGACAGCCCGCCTTCCTCCTTAGCCTTCAATTTTATCTGAACGAACTTATCCATCTCTTCTCTTTCTTCAGGTGTCAGAAGCTTGATCCGATCGTTCAGATCGCCACCACCAAAGAACCTCCGATCAATCTTAGCCCAGTATATCATGTCGAATGCCCAGCTCTTTCTCGCGGCATAGTTGAGCCAGAAATCGCCACTTTGCCAGCTTCTCCACATGTGCTCCGAAAGCCGATCGGCCTCTTTTAGATCCCTCGGTCAATGGCTGCTTGCTCCTTATAGTTAAGCACTTTCAGGAACGTCGGCAACACCTCCTCATATTTTACCGTCCAATCATCCAAACCCGGTTTCCAGAGTTCTGGAAGCTCGAGTAGCAACCAAAAGGGTGGACTGTGGGCGAATCCAGGAGGCGCGGCGTAGGTAAATTCCCAGTCCACCACGCCTGTCATCTGGTGATGGTCGTTCGCAAGGACGTTGCCGGGTCTAAGGTCATCACAGAACAATCTGAACGGGCCAGAGTCGTCCTGGCAAAGCTGATGTTCGCGAGTGATCTTGCGGAATAGACATCTTGCGATGTACTTGTTTCGGCAGTCTTCCGCAGAGTCGATAGCATCGTTTCGTTGGGAAGACAGATGGATCATGTGCATCTCAGCCAGTGCTCGGTAATAAGATGACGCTGTTTTGAACGTGCCCTGAGGAAGAAGGTCAGGCGAAATCCCGCCTAGTTGGACGAGCTCATTCATGTTGAAAGTGAGGGGACGATGCTTAACAATCCACGTATCATCGAATTCTTCATTTTCTTTGGCTTTGCCGATGCAGCCAATCTCCGCAAATGAATGCCTCGATACCTGGAGCACGATATCTGCCATCTGGCCATAGATCCATTCAAGTCGCTCTTGTGACACGTTTGGGTCTAAGATCGGTCTGTCGTCGCGTGACCGGCCCGGTATGAGGGCATCGATGAAGTCGCCTTCGTTGCTTATGTGCTCCATGATGATGAAGGGTCCAAGTTCTTTTGGACTCTCCTTTGTCATTCCATGGTGAAGGATGTGAGGTATGCGTAGATTTGTAAAATACTCCAGAAAATGCATCACTGCCACTTCGCGCTGGATTTTCTCTTCTCGGAACATGGAAATCGAATGATGGCAGAGCCTCCATCTTTGAACAACATCCATAGCCAAGCATTGACTGATCCTCGTTGAGGTGCAAAAAGCTCCTCGGGGACCCCTCCTCTATGCTTGTCGATGAATCGTCCTATCTCTCGAAGAACGTCCGTTTCGAATATTTTATCTCTCCAAGGTTCGAATATTTCATCACATCGGGCCCATGCGACGTCGTCATATTCCATGCATCTTTCGGCTACGATGCCAGCAGCTGGAAATGGTGACATACTGGGTGACAAGATAGAACAGAGAAAGCCTCTATCTGGCGCTGCAATCCTGTTTGTTTTCCCTCAGGCACGCCCAATATTTTCTAGGCGCGAATCTATGGAGGCAGCGATAGAAAGAGATGCGCAAAATCTTATAGGTTTCTGATCATTGGAAAAGGGGAGGGGAGGAACAAAGGCCCTTGAATAAGGAGATCTACCAAGCCACCTTTGTTGATCACTTTGGCGCTGAACGCTGAATTGTCCTTTGGAGTGCCGGCGGACTCAACGGAGCCCGATCAGTCATCATTTGAATTCATAGATACATTTTTGACCAATTTTGAGCATTAGAAACTCGTCCAATATTACACATTTACATATAAAGCTAACAGCTAGTATGAGTAAAGGTGTATTTTATCCTACATCTCATAGTAACTTATAGTTGGCTTTGGATAGTAATGCGACTAATGTGGGAAGTAGTACATTTCATGCCATACTAGTCGATTTGGAATACCTACGTCAAGTGATATAGGTATGGCTAAAAGATTACGCCCAGCTTGCAGGTACGATGAACGCAACCCGAGCCTTGCGATATGATGCTCGTAGATTGTGTGGGCTATATGCTAGCCAGGATATGCCTCCCGCGTGTCAAATTGAAAGTTACTTAAAGAGGCTTTGAGGCGCTTGTGGGAGTTGGCCTGGCCGTCTTCGGCGTACGTATTTTGTCGTATTAATAATACGCCATAAGTAGAACTAACGAACCTCAATGCATACAAGACCGCATAGAGCACTTTAGATCATCTAGGTAGCTCTTATCAGGCTAATATAGCGTAGGCAGCTTCTAGACAATTCGTGTTAGATACGCGATAAGCAAGACGCTAGTCCCGACCACTCAGCCGTCGGACTATCGTAGGCCTAGCCAGCCTGGGGCTTACGCACCCTCTCCCTGGTTAATAGCGATTTGGGTTAGACATTTTTGATAGGAGCCAATTACTCTGCTGGGGACATCTGTCAACATCAGCAGCAACTCTGTACAAGAATGCGACGACAGCCTCGTCGAAAATCATTCCGGTTCAACCACCACTCCTGCACCTCATTGACCTGTACCATATCCGAACAGTCACACAAGTTTAAAGTCGTCCGGCTAAGAAGATGGAGAACCAAGATACTTTCGAGCTGTACTCGTTCTGGTGTTCTTCATGCTCTCAGCGGATCATAATCGCTGCTCATCTCAAAGGCATCCCGCTCAAATTCAATTACGTCGACTTGAGCGCAAGAGGGCACCATGACGCAAAATACAAAGATGAACTGAACCCAAGTGCTAGTGTGCCGACCCTGGTTGTGCATCACCCCGACGGCAGCAAGACCGTCATCCGACAATCCATGACCATCCTAGAGTACTTTGAAGAAAGATTCCCGGATCAGAGTCCTCTGTTGCCACCTGTTTCTGCTTGGCAGGATCGCATCAAGGTACGCGACCTAGTCAACATCATCGCGATCGATGTTCAAGCGCCCACCAACTCCCGGATTGCCAAGCGCGTCAGGTCCGTGCGAGATAACGTGGAGGATCAGGTCGGCTTCGTTAGGCAGGCTTTCACAGATGGCTTCCAGGCGTATGAAGCCCTGATCTCCGCATCAAGCAAGTATTCTTTCGGCGAGCAGGTGACATTGGCCGATATTGTGTTAGTTCCCGCGGTCGATCAGGCATTGATGTACAAAATGGATCTTGAATTTGTGCCCAAACTCTTGAGAGTCTATCACTCACTAAAAGAGTTAGAGGCTTTCAAGGCCGGAGATGAGAAAAACCAGGGTGATACCCCGGAGCAGTTCCGGGCCGCTTCCCAGTAGCTCTGGCCATTATGCGGGGTGTCCCAGTTGGTGGGTACTAAATACGTCTGCCGGGACACGTTTGTACATACCATCTCTGTTCCATGAGAATTTTATAGTCCCGTAAAATGACCTGACAAGTGCAAATCTTGAATAGATGATATGGTGGATTATCAGAATGGAAGACTCGTGCTGATTGGGGCGCTATTGGCGCGACATGATGAATCTGACCTATCCAACTTGAAGCAAAGCTAACAAACAATATGCATGATTGTTACTTCTTGGCGTGTGCAACTCGAAGTGGGTGTTAACGTGGATCAAGCTGCAAGCCTGGCACATCTCAGACTCGACACGAGTCGGTTGACACTTGGATATGAAGTCTGGCCCCTGCTGCTTGGCTCTTGAGATAAGATTCGTTTCCTTAGCAAGGTGCCCTGGTTATGTATATGTCTCCACAGAGTGTGTTGTAAACTGAGAAGGACTTCGGGCTTCCATGCAAGACGTAGATAGCATACCAGCCATTTCCCTATTATCTGTGGCTTCAGGTGTGCGGAATGTTGCTGCTGATATCGGGTTAAGTCGCACAAAAACTAGGCTGAAGGGCGACTGCAAGTAGAAGCATAGCCCTGATAGTACTCCATGTATCTCCTGTTCCGGCACATATGCCTGGTTTCACTGCTTGCATGGTGCCAGTATTCCAAGAGGTGATAGAGAACGTAAGCAACCGATATCAATGCAGTGAAATACATGCTGTTAGTGCTTATTCCCATCTACCAATTCTCCCTCTGGCGGTCTACTTTTGTGTAACCCGAGCTGCCATATGTAGATCGAAGTCGTAATCAGCACATGTGCTTCCGGACAGTGCTCAGACCACACACAATGGCATGAATTCGAGTTATGAAAATTTGCGATCCTCATGTTTGCCGCGCGGGGTAAAGAACGCTTGTTGTAGTATGCCAGAGCCTCGCGCCTCGGAAAATCCACGGTTATTCCCCATTCAACTAGGATTCCGATCGCGAAAGTTTATGAGGTCGGTCGGCTATCTTGGCAAGTCGGTGGTGTCTATTCTGGCCCCTCTTCGGCAAGGGTGTGTTATCATAATTCCCATATCTCATACCCGAAAATATGTCTTGACGAGGACGAGAGGAAGGAGAATGGTGTGATGCCACCTGTAGAGGTTTCCAGAGTAGTGTAGAAGCAGATAGATCACTCACGACTAGTCGAGTCGTCATACTTCGCAGTCGCCTTCTGACTCGTCTCCGGAAGTAAGTCAAGGTGCTGCAGGAAAGAGGCCATCTTGGACACGTGGGGCGTGTTGTTGTTGTTGTTGTTGTTGTTGTTGTTGTTGTTGTTGTTGTTGTTGTTGTTGTTGTTGTTGTTGTTGTTGTTGTTGTTGTTGTTGTTGTTGTTGTTGTTGTTGTTGCCTGTTAAGATCCTTGTGAGTACCATGGTTATCATGGGGTAAATACGCTCCAACCGAATGACCAGCAGAGTGGTTGAAGGCTTCTGATAACTCGGTGAGGGAGTGTTGTAGTTGAACATTGTGGCCGAACTGTTGTAGGAGGTATTGCGACGCTAGCTATAACCAGCTTCACAATGTCAGCAAAGCCATAATTATGAGCATGATACGCTGGAGTCATTGCAAGATTTTGCTCAAGATTATTTCTGTGTGTGTGTGTCCGTCAAATTCCGAAGCGCGGCCCCTGAAAGGTTACTTAGTAACGGTTCACGGGAGGCACATCCGGGGACTCGTCTGGCTCCGACCCGGCCAGTTCACTAAATGGGCAATACATCCTCGGCGATTGGCGGAGAAGGCAGGCTGCAGGGTGCTTGAAAAGCTTGCGCAGACCCCGGCACACCATCCGGTTGCATTGGAGGGGGTGAAATGCACCAGGAAAGCCAGGTCAGCATGAGGAACAGTGGGAGAGAGTGGGGATGGCTGGCTGTTAGAGAGCGGGTAAGGCTGAAGCACATCCCACTCGCTTTGCGGTACCGGATCCACTGCACGCGCTATTCACCCCCTAGGGCCCTCATTCTCTGTGCTGGTTTGTAGGAGAAATGGTGGCTCTTTAGTCACGCTTGGAGGGGAGATGAGAAGATTTTCTGTCGCCTAGATAAGAAAAATGATCCCTCTCTTCGTACTCAAGCATCCCTCCATATCATCCCAATGTCCATCTCTACGCTAAGTCCCAGTCTCTGCTTTCTTCTGCCAGGATGCAAGGCCTAAAGCAGCATCTTACTCTGTTTAGGAAGCTCACACTAAAGCTCCTATGTGCTGCAATCTGCTTTGGCTTATCGGGCGCTGCCCGGGGTCCGTTGTCCCCCTCCCTTTCCCTGCGTCCTGGCGAACTGACTCTTTATAGGTCTTGATTCTGGGCTTATCGCCAGCACTGTTGCGGAACGGTCGTTCGTTGACCAATTTCATCTAGAGGCCAATTATCTCAGTGCGTCCCAGAAAGCCAATCGCTTGTCGAATATCACCTCTATGGTCCACATAGGCAGTCTACCGGGGGCTATAGTCGCATTCTTGTGCAGCGAGCGCATCGGAATCCTTTGGACCTTCCGTCAATGTTGCTTGATGTGGATCATTGGTTCTGTGGTGTTTATCACATCCCGTGACCTTGGGCAGGTATATGCCGGTCGCTTTATAATGGGTCTTGGTATTGGACAGTTTGGTGTGATGGCCCCGATCTACCTCGGGGAGGTGGCACCCAGGGAAATTCGCGGGATGCTTGTGGGTTTATACGGCATGTCAGAATATCTAGGAATTATGATCGGGGTGAGCATAATTTAAAAGCCGTAAAAGAACTACGTGGCTCAGCTTGCTGATCTTATGCAGTACTTCTCAATATGGGGAGCGTCCATTCACATCCCCAACTCGAGTGCCAAACAGTGGGTCATCCCACAAAGCGTTCAGATTATGTGGGCAGGCCTGCTGCTGATCGCTTCCATGTTTTGTGAGGAGAGTCCTCGCTTTCTATGTCGAAAGGACCGTCCTCAGGCAGCACTCCAGTCTCTTGCACGACTATGGAATGTGTCCCCACTGGATCCGGGGATTCATGTGGAGGTCTCGAATGTCAAAATTCAGCTCAAACTTGAGCGCGAGGTGGCATCACGATCAGGCCTTATTGGAGTGCTGAAAGAGCTGTTTGGAACAAAGTCCCACTTGAAACGGATCGCTTTCGTGTTTGTCCTGCAGTGTTTGGGCGAGTGGTCCGGTCCAAACTCAGTGACTAGTAAGTCTCAGCCTCGGAATCAACAGTATGCACCCTCGGGCTAATCTGCCGTACACTAGCATATGCCCCCGAGTTATTCGGACTCTTCGGTATCCAAGGACAGTCGCAAAAGCTTTTCACAACGGCGGTTTTTGGTGCTGTCAAGTTTGTATTTGCGCTGATTTCGGCAGTCTTCTTTATAGATTATTTGGGCAGGAGAAAGACATTATATATCGGTCTCGTGCTCCAAGTTATCGCCCTGACCTATGATTCGATCTTTCTCACAATATTTAGCTCTCTATCTGGCCAGTCGCAAGATGACCCAGCAGTAAGGCATGCGGCAATCGGCGCGATTGTGATGATTTACTTCATCGGCATTGGATGGGCCTTGGGCTGGAATTCAATCCAGTATTTGATCACCGCTGAATCCTTCCCCCTCGGGGTTCGGATAGCAGGGGTCACTCTCGTTACACTGTGGCACTACGCCAACCGGATCGGCATTTCCAAAGTTGGTTCCCTGTGTATCCTTGGCGCAGATCGACTGCCGGATGATATTGACTAGAGTTCCCTCTTAGGCAACCACATTGATGCTGCTCGACCACGACTCTCTAACACCCAAGGGTACTTTCTGGTTTTTCACTGGGATGTCCTTGCTGGGTCTCCTATTCACATGGTGTTTCCTGCCCGAAACTGCCGGTAAAGGGTTGGAAGAAACGAATGAGCTGTATACGGGGGATCGGAGTGGCACAACCCCGCATGACCAAAGAAATGCTGATTAGGCTCGGAGGATGAGCGGAATTCGCCCGCATCTCTGTATCTACTTCAAAATGGGTTTGGAACGTTGGGAACGACTAATGTTATATCCGTTGGCAGTCAGAAGGCCGCATATTTCCGTTCTTCTTGAAACTAAGATTGGGGCTATCGACTTACCCCGCAGGCCAAGTTGCACGTAATTCTCCTAATTCTCCTTGCTGACACGGCAAAGCTCCTTCTACTAGTGGATCAGGTTAATCAACAAGCTCCACCACAATTAACTTCAAGCGGGGTAAGCTTTGAGATACTGCCAAAGATTGGCTGGCTGCTTATCTCAATTGGCAGAGGAAGCTCAAGCCAAATGGCGGGTGGCTGTCTGAGCGGAATACTATTCCACTTGGGCGCTTGCCCTTGCAGCTGTACAGTCAGGTTTTTGCGAAGTATAGCGGCGGAATGGACTCCATGCACCGGTCACACCAGTGTATCCTCGCATGCTATAAACCCGAACGTGTCCGCATGGTTTTTCCCGTGCTGAGGGGTTTTCTCACAGTTTGGCTATCATTACTTGAGCCACCTTTTGGCTAATTGACTGCCCTACGCAACATGGAGGATTCCTACGATTATATTATCTGCGGGTTAGTTTTCACTTAGTATAGAGTGTGCTCTTTGTCTGATCCTTGCCTTCATCATGGCTAACTGTTGTTTCCTTCTACTCTCAGGGGTGGCACCTCAGGATGCGTGGTGGCCGGGCGCCTGGCTGAAAATCCACACATAAGGATTCTTCTTATTGAAGCTGGACAGCATAATAAGGACCTCGAAAATGTCCACATGGTCGGCGGGTTCGTACGCGCATTACACTCCTAGATATCGGTCCAACTTTCTGACTTAAATAGCTGGGGTAATCTGCTCGACACTACAACCGACTGGAACATTGTCACTCCGCCCATGCCCAATGTCAATAATCGCCAAGTAAAGCTCAGCAGAGGCAAATTTCTGGGTGGCTGCAGTGGCTGTAACGGCACAGTTTGCGTACGCGGCAGTCCGCAGGATTACGATGACTGGGGTCTGGATGGCTGGAGTGGCAAGGAATTTTTCAAGTACATGCAAAAGGTCTCGGCTGTCATATCCTCCAGGACGTGAGATCGAGACAACAAAGCTAATACCCTCTATTTAGGCCGAAACCTTTCACACTAAGCCCTGGTTTAAGGCGTCCGATCGGCATCATGGAAACTCAGGTCCTCTTCACATCGAACCACATGACCTCGCGCCCATTTCCGAACTTGTAATGGACTCTTTCGTTTCGCAGGGCCTTCCATTGGATCATGACATGTTCACAACTGGTGAAACACCCCATGGTTGTGGCCATGTACCACGATCAGTGTACAATGGTATCCGCACTACTAGCGGAGACTTTGTCACGAACGGGTATCATCGCAACAATGTTACAATAATGACAGACACCACTGTGGACAGGGTACTCTTCAAGAAGACCCCGAGTGGGCTCAAAGCGGACGGTGTCTCAGTGGTAACAGCAAATGGGCGACGGACACTGTATGCCAAGAGGGAGATAATTATTAGCAGTGGATCTTATTGTAGCCCTACAATCCTAATGAGGTCTGGGCTTGGTCCGAAGGAAGAGTTGCAGAAAAACAGTATCGAGTGTTTGGTCAACCTCCCGGGGGTCGGGCAAAATCTCATGGATCATTTGGTAGGTGCTGTATAGCAGCTTCATCTATGTATATGATTTGCATTTAACCAGACTCGTCCAGATCGTTTTTATGTTCTACGAGACAGAAAAGCCCGGTCTGACGACCGACCACCACGTCTACCATGGCGAGAATTTCAACACAACCTATGAGCTTTGGAAAGAGAAGAAAGAAGGGTTTCTGTCAACATTTCCTTTTGGCGCCTTTGCCTTCGTGCGTCTTGATGAACGTCTTAGGAATGAGCCACTGTGGAAGAATGCGCCACGACAGCCAGGCCGTGATCCCATGGGTTTGACACCAAATCAGCCTAATGTCGAGCTCTTCACTACGGAATGTTACGGTGGTCCTAAACAGTACGATCAATTTCCCATTGATCACAAGTACGCATTCTCAATTATCGCCGAATTGTTCTCGCCCAGGTCTCGCGGTAGTGTGACACTGAAATCTAAGGATCCCTTGGAGAAACCTGTAGTGGACTGCAACTACCTCGCAGACCCACTAGATCTGCTTGTCTTAACCGAGGCGTGTCGATTCGCAAATGAGATCATCACCAAAGGTGCTGGGACGAAGGACATCGTGAAAGGCTCTTGGCCCCCTCATCTGACACACCACACTTACACGAAGAGAGAGGAGTGGATCCCTTATGTGAAAGAACATGCGACAACTTGTACGCCCCTTCCTTCTGTCTGTTGGAACCACTCATACTGATTGACTTATACAGGCTACCACGCTGGAGGTACCTGCGCAATGGGCCCAGATGGCGATACCCAAGCCGTTCTCGATAACAAGTTGCGTGTTCGTGGCGTGACCGGACTCCGTGTGGCAGATTGTAGTGTCATGCCAACCCTGAACGGGGGACATACTCAGATGCCAGCTTATGGGATTGGCGAGAAATGTGCGGACCTCATCAAAGAAACATGGACATCGTCCCAGACCTTCAATGTGGCAAAACTCTGAGGTGTCGTACCGCGTTGGTGCCAACAACGAGGTTTTGGTGATCGACAATCCCCTGGTCCTGGCAATGCTAGAGCTTTCCTTGGATATTTATGTTGCCTATGTCATGGGCTACTAGTACCTCGTTCACTGATGTGCAAGACTTCGATTATTACCATGATTCCGTTTCCATTTTTCTTGTTGTTAGACAGACGGGACGAGACGAAGTAGAAGGAGGGGCCACCGATAAAATTCTTATTCCACTGTCGCCAAGCTGGTCACACCGCTGTAGGTTTGTCCATCGATCATCTCTGATGCCTCGAGAGTTGAAGGGTAAGCCTTGTGTAAGCTTACTTGTTTGCGCGCTTTATAAGTCCAACCTATCACGATCTTTCAACAACAAGGTTGTGTAGTGTAATGGTTATCACTCTGGATTCTGATTCCAGCAATCCCGGTTCGATCCCGGGCACGACCTTTTTGCAGTCCTTGACTGCATGGTCCGAGCCATCTTTTTAAGCCCACTACCATATGGTTATTATTATTCTTAGCTAAATAAACGTTGTCATCTTTTCCTTTTTCTCCCTATGATTCAGCATCCGATTGACAATGTTATCATCCACCCAGCAACCCCCAAACACCCAATAACAACCACCTCCCTCAGCCTTGTGGGCCCAACCTCCAATTCTACCTCAACGCTACCCACTCCTTACGATGCCGATAGCCCGGGCTACCAGCCAACCCACCCCAATGCGCTATTGCCATTTGTCCGTTCTCCCTTAGGGCTGCCGCAGTAAGGCTGATAGCGTGCTTGCGTGCTCCCAGCAGAAAATGGCGCGTGGAAGGAGAAGGAAAAAAGCTGCGTTGCTCTGGATAACCAGCCAGATGTTCCAGTTTCTTTTTTTAATTTTTGCACGGAGAATTTCGTAGTAAGGGGTAATTGGCGCCCTTCTTTCATAGTAAGGTTACGTATCTACCTATGGAGATATTCTCCCCTCTTAGGGTTTAGGGTGTTGAAGAGGGGGTGGCTAGACGCTGTCTCTTCTTGCCATCCGTGATAGGACTTTGTAACTTTGCCTTTAAATCTATTCTTTTCTTTTAGCCCGATATAGTCGGTGGTGTTATCATCGCTTGCCGCATGCATACTTTATCTTAACCTTATCCCTGTACATATCTCATCACCTACTATTCGGTGTACTACTCAGGAATGTCAGAGCCCTTTCATCCCGCGAAATCACCGGCCCTCCCGGTCGTGGAATCCTCCACCAACACCAAATCCCCTCACTCTCAAGAGACGAAAGTGCGCCGGTTAAGAGAAACTGTCGATAGCAATTATGCCGACATCATCTGTATCATTCTCTGCTTCGTCACGGGGCTTTGCGACAGCTCCGCATTCAATGCGTGGTCATGCTTCTTAGCTATGCAAACCGGTACGTCTATCTTATCCCCTTATCCTACTACACCACTTCCCTCCTATTACTCACATACTGATAATATCCTTGAATTAAACAGGAAACACCGTCGTCCTCGGCCTCGGCGCCGCCTCCCTCCCCAGAGATGACAGCGACAGCTGGCTAAAATCCCTCGTCTCGATCGCCAGCTTCGTCACGGGTTCATTCACATTCAGCTTCGTCGGACGACACCTCGGTCCCGCCCGTCGCGGCACACTTTTCGCCTCATTCATGGTGCAAGTGATTCTCATCGTGATCGCCGTCTCCCTGATACAGTCCGGACTTATCGCGGAATCCGAAGATGTCGTCACCTCCAAACACCATGGCGGCAAGCTCCTAGAGCTGATTCCTATTGGCTTGCTGGCCTTCCAGTCCTCCGGGTCTATCAATAGTACGCGCTCGTTAGGTTTCAATGAGATTCCGAGTGTTGTTATCACGAGCGTGTATTTTGATATTGCTTCCGATAAGAATATCCTCGCTGTGCAGAATGTTAAAAGGAATAGGAGGGTTGCTGGGGTGGTGGCGCTGTTGATTGGGGCGATTGTGGGTGGGTGGTTGAATAGGAGTGCTGGGGGTATGGCGTCGACTTTTTGGTTGGCGGCGGGGATTAAGTTTGCGATTGGGTTGGGGTGGTTGTTTTGGATGCCTGTTAGGGGGTAGGGGGTATGTTGAAGTAAGTTGTTGGAGGGGGGTTTGGGGAGGGTGGAATGGTGGTGAGTTTGTGGTGTGTGTAGATGGGTGTAGGATTGTATAGTATCTTGTTTGGAGGGCGTTTATGTATAGATGGATGAGGGATAGACTTGAGGTTGGAAAAATCAAGGGTATAGATTTCTTTTCTTTTTCAGTGCTTGTTTGCAGAGTGCCATGGGTGTGAATGGCCAGTAAGTAGTATGATACTTCACTAAGGTGAAGCTGCGATGTAGATGACCACTATAGTGATGAATATACCAGCACTTGCTATAGCATGCATCATTCATGACTTCCATTATGATTAACCCAATCATGCCAGGACGTTCAATACATTGCAACGCATGGGTGACTAGCGGACAGGGTTGAGTTGCCCTTCGATATGTACATGATACTGTCACTGCTGCTCTGCTCTGTCTTGACGTCTCGGCGATTAACTTGTCATTCCTTGCTCCATGTTTCAGGATACGCTATCGTACAGTCTTCCTCCACCTCGCAAAGCTCACATCCCTCAATTGGTATAATTCCATCATCTCATCAAATATTTAGTCGCGCATAGGGCGCAGAGGGCTCTGACGGGGGAGCATCATCGGGGGTCCGCGAGCGCGGAGCCAGGCATCGTTGTGAGGGCCTTCGGTACGAATAACGCTGCCGATGGACATGAAGAGACTATCAAAAGAGTATGATTAGTATTATCCAGTCGAACATACAGAACCGATAAATAGACATAGAATCGCAAGGAATTGCGCAGAACGTACCCAAAAGTAGCACCAGAACCAAGCATATATTTACCCAGGGTACGCATAACACCGTTAGGTCCAGCCCCGTACTGGAAGATGGTGACAGTTCCTGCTCCATATTAGTCGGGTTCGGAGGAGGGGTTACGTTTGCATAGACGAACCGATGATGAAGCCCATGATACCTCCAACAGCTGTTGGGAATGATTAGTACCGTATTAATCAGCTTGCACACTTCTTTAACCTACTGGATCCCATCATGGCACCCATCTTCACTGTAAAACATGTTAGTTGATCCGTACGGCAGACTGAGGGCGAAACTCATCCAGCTGGTGAATGGCATGGGATCCGTTTAACTAACTCTTCTCAAAGGTAGAGGGACCATGCCCTTGGGGGGGACCAGCAACGACGGGCATGTTGAATGATAGTAAATAAATATACAGCGAGCGCAAGAAATTTGACAGCACAAGACCAGTTTCCCTCAGACGGTCGTTTCCTCCGGCTTCAGTCTTCTAGAGTCGGCAGCAAAGCTCCAACGGTGGGCGCATCGAAACCCGAGGCCCAGAAGCACGTGACACCGCCTGCCGTATTAAGAACTAAAGGTCTGTGCGGTGTTACCTAAGCACACGTGTGTTAACACGTGATTTTGGCCTCAGGCGTAGGGAGACGAAGGAAGCCGTGAGCTGATCGGCTCTTCTCTCCCGCCGCAAGTTGGTGGCTCTCCCCATGAAGTCTGCTCCTGAATCGTCTGATCTAGTGCCTCGACTTACCATTTCGGCGGCTTAGGAGCCTGTGCAAGGCGGTAGTTCCGTCTCGTGCCTCCGTCTTCTTCGCTGCCCGGTCGCTTGGTCCGTTCACTCCTCGGTTCGGGCCAAGACCTCCACGCCTCCTTGGTCAGGACTGAAGCGCCTTCTTGCCTCCCCATCAGATCCCTTTTTAGACTCAACTGTTCATACTCATCCTGCCGTGGTAAGTTTGACTTGCTAGCTGTTGGGTCTCGTGTGTCCCTCGACGATGGCAGGCGCTGTTGCGTCGATGCGGAACCGGAGTCGATGTTTATATGAGGGTCGTCCGGACAATTGCTAACGTGACCTCTTACCAGCCGAACGGACTGTATTCACGATATTTCCGCGCGCCTACCGTCGCTACAAACATTTTTGCCTTCGAGGTCCGTCGCGACGGGCACTCACGGGCGGCTAGCATCCGAACGCTTCTCCTTGCATACTTTGACGATCCTCTTTTTCCGTTGAGCGGACGAGCGCCTATGAGATAGAGCTCCTTTCCATCACACTCACCATACGGTATCCTTCTCCATGACTGCTGTGGCATCACCACCTAGTGTGCAATCGGGCCCTCACTTGGGATGGTTCGACTCTGGTAACGGGGGACAAGGTGCTCTGTCTTCAATGGACGCGGAAGAAGTTTCACGCACATTTTTGCCGCGAAGGACTGTTCAGAGATCGAATTCCTCCTCTTCCCTAGCATCTACTTCATCAACCTCGACCGCTATAGTTACGCCGCAACCCCCTAATGCGGGACACATGAACAACGTTGAACACGCTACATGGTCAGCAAAGAAGAAACCCTCAAGAAATAACTGGACAAATTCTAAGTCAGAGCCGGTGGCTGGGCTGAGCAACGCCCGCTCCCAGGCCATGCCGGCCTTTTCTTCGGGCCCAGGAGCCTCTTCTACTATGACCGCGATCCACCAGCCGTCTTCCATTGTTCCATCTCAACACATGCTTCAAGCATCACAGCAAAATGGCGTACGCGCCGCAAGCGCACCAGCAGGCGACCCCCCCGCCATCCTTACACTCCTACCCATCAACGGTACCTTCGACAAGAAGCAGATCAACGTACCGTTTTATCCGGATCTACTACGCATAGGTCGCCAGACAAATGCCAAGACCGTGCCAACACCGGTGAACGGCTACTTCGATTCCAAGGTGCTGTCTCGGCAGCACGCCGAAATCTGGGCAGACAAAAGCGGAAAGATCTGGATCAGGGATGTTAAGTCCTCAAATGGTACATTCGTTAATGGGCAGCGGCTGTCTCCAGAGAACCGCGAATCAGAGCCCCATGAGCTTCGCGAGAACGATACTTTAGAGCTGGGAATTGATATCGTCAGCGAGGACCAGAAAACGGTTGTCCATCATAAGGTTTCCGCCAAGGTTGAGCATGCCGGCGTATACAGCAGCATTCCGAATATTCTGGACCTCACCCTAGGCGACTTGGATCCTGCTTCTGGAAATGGACTGCTCCCGTCTCCCCTTAGTCAACCGATGTCGCATCTCAGGGGGCGATCGGGAAGCAACATGAGCAACCGCAGTGCCCAGAGTGCAGCTAGCAGCCAATTCAACGCAATTCAACAACAACGTCAGATGAACTACTGGAATTCACCTATATCTATTGAACAAGTTGTCAAGCGACTTACGGTATGTCATTCGGATCACATTCGCAGCGAGCTTGCTCTAACGAGTTTTCAGAGTGAAATGAAACAGGCTAAACAGCAATCTCAAGAGCTCCGGCAAACCGACGAGTTCTTGACTGCCATAATGAAACCCGGATATGTGGAGAAGGAGAAAGCGAAGCCTCCACCAGTGGATAACAACGCTCCCCGTCCAGTAAACGGGCGGCCAAAGATGCCTCGCGTAGATTCTTTCTCTCGCTTTTCCGACCCTCCAGCTCCTCCACCGCAACAACCATTGCCCGAAAAGCCCGATGCTTTGCCGCGGAATGGCACAGACGCCCTATCGCCGTTGAAGCGATCCGAGACAGAAAAGTCTAAGCTTGGCCCCAACTCGCCTGTTACACGTGAGAATAGCCAGATCTTGTCCCTCATTGAGGCTCTGTCCTCCGCCAAAAGGGAGCTCGATAGCCAGGGCGCTCGTGTCAAGGAGCTTGAAGCGTTACTTATTCAGGAAAGAAATGCTCGCGAATCTGCTGAGGAGAAGGCCCGGAGCCTGGAAATGAAATCCACTCAATTTGCTCCAGGCCCAACCGCAGATGCCGAACCTGAAGACGATAGCACCAAGAAACCGACTGAAATGGAAGAGCCAAAGACTATGCCGCCGGATGCCGACATTTCAACCGATTCCGATGCACCCACTTCTGAAAAGCAGTCTTTGGCAGAAAGCCAAACAGATGTTTTACAACGTCGTCTCGAGTCAATGATACTGGAGATGGAGGAGATGAAGAAGCAAGTCACGATGTTCAAAGACCGGGCAGATGTCGCGGAGAATGAGGCTGTCGAGGCGCGGAAGTCGCTGGCGGAGATGATTGAAACTTTGCGGCAAGAGCGCGCAGAGCGTGCTCAGGGCAACGCAGTGTCCGGTGCGCAGACAGATGCT